TATCTTAAGTCAATGGTGATAAACCTGATCGGTTATTAATTATGTTCAATTGCAGCAATTTGATTGTTTTCCCTTTTGTTCTGTATTTGTAATGTGCTACTTTAGATGATTAATTAACGTGTCACGATTTTTTTTTCCTTTTTATTGTTATCTTGTAAGGCCTATGTAAAATTTATAAAATATTTAAATGCATGTAGGGAAAAGCCCTGTGGTCCGGGTTTTACCATTTGAGGTTTATTGGGCCTTCACGTGGTATGTTGCAATGACTTTGCTAATATTCGTGCAGATCGCTGCAGCCGTTCATTTGTAAAACAAAAGCAGGAGTGTAGGATAAGAGCTTCGCTCGCTCCGCTCAATAATAGTTATAATTGGCTGCTCTATAACGGTCCATTTTCATCTGGTAATACTCTAGTATACTTTGACTATTTTATCAACTATACGAATACAGTCAATCCATTTTGAAAGTATAACTAGTTTTCGAATTTAAAAAGGTTGTAGTTCATAAACCCCCAATAAATAATGTTGTTCTTAAACCCGTTTGTAATAAACTATTCAGGTTTCTCCAACATAATGTCAAAATCATAATAAACTTTCTCATGAATGGTATGAAAAACTAATGGAAAAAATAACCCCAATGGTAGCACGTTCAAACGGCTCCTCCAGTTATCGATCTAAAAGAATAAACTTGTAAACAATCTCTTATCTCTGACCTCACATAAGCATTGCTTGTATTCTGATACTTTCTAAACAGCTATCGGTATTGACATTCGATATATTTTGGTTTCGACACATCTCAACGCATATCCATTTCACTAATTACTAACGTCAAACATTCTACATGATACCATTCAAATAACAATCGGTCGGATATCGATTTTTCATTTATCGGTATCGCTATCGATGTATATCGATACGTGTCTACTAATTAGTGTGTTTCACTAATTATTAACGTCAAACATTCAACATGATATCATTCAAATGACAATCGGTCGGAGAATCGATTTCTTGTATCGGTATCGGTATCGATGTATATCGATACATGTCTACTAATTAATGTGTTTCACTAATTACTAACGTCGAACATCCAAGACAATCTGTCACGTGTTGTAGAGTTAGAGTCAATGTTAATGTGATAAATGACATAAACTTAACAGTATTCCCAATATTGACTCTCTAACCTAATGGGTTCAGTAATTAATGCTCTTCACCAATCTATATTTCACCTTTGCGTCTTATATTGGCTGATTTTATTTATAGTTTAATTAATGATACGTATTCGTTGGTTTTTTTCTGTTGAATGAAATCATTTGATTCCTATTACCTTTTTGCAACTGGCTGTTCTATTTCTATGTCAAATTCATAGTCAGTTCTCGAATTACAATAAACTTGGTTGAAATGAGTCTTCGACAGAGAGCGCTGCTGTCAATTAAAATTGCCAATTACTGATTTTTATTTACTTTACGCAAATTTTATAACACGTACAATAAGCATTGTACTGCTATCAAGAAGTTTTTTTATACACCGAATTTTTACCCAAACATAACTTCACGATGAAATGATTGTGAAGTAGTCTGTTATACCTTACAGTTTCAAAAACTAAGAGCACAATAGGATGTTGAATGTTAACACTACAAATTTTGATCACTGTGGATGATTCATTCAGCTATGTTTTTTTTTTCGATGAATAATGGGCAACAGTAGGTCTATCTATATAGTTGGAATGTCTATCCAATCACTTTACATTCAATAGTAGAGTTAAATACTATCTTGTCTGAAACGAATTATTTTGCGATAAGTAACACTTCTAAAAAATAACCTTAAAATATTGGATTGAGTAACTCGTAAATAGTTTTCTTAAAAAGGGTATCTTTGCCTCTTTGCAAGACAACGTTGATAGGTAAAACCAAAAGTAGAGTTTTGCACGTTGGGGATAAAAAATATACCTTCGGCATGAACATAAATTGGTTATGCGCAATTAAAAACTGTTCATTTATTTCGTATTCAGCTACTTTTCGAAACATTCCATTATTTAAACTATTATTTTCAGGAACAGCTCCTTTCACCATCGTTTTCTTTGCATACTTGACTAAGTACCTACGTATTACGAAAAGTGAAACATCACAATTATATTTTTGACACTGCAAGAACACTTCTTATCTTATAGTACAATATGAAACCACCTATTATGAAAATCTATATATTGTAAGTGTAATATCTGGTTACATGCTAATTTGAAAACTATTTTGATCCACACCACATATTACACAAGTTCAAATAGTCGAATGTAAATGATCAGTTTGTTCCTGCAGTGACGAAGTACTTTGATCCGTCATATTTCACTTGAGTTTTATGAGGGATAATCTGTTATCTTTGTTCAGTGAGTACTCTATATCAAACACGTCGACTAGATACTGTGTCGACTTATCGGCTACTTGTATGACTACTACACAGTAGATGACCTCATCCACTCTCAGCTGCAGTACGTGTTAATCCGCAATGTTTAGAAAATAACTACTTAATTTTCAATAACGAATTTAATTAGAAACACGCACTGCTTTAGTTTTTTTTTTTTTTAGAATTTAGAAAAAACTGCTGTGTGTAGATCTACTACTAAGAAATTGTAGTCTTTAGTCTTTGAGTTAAAGATCGTCTGAAAGCCAGACGGTGCTATTATGAAATAACCGTTTTATTTCACAAACATAAGCTGTTCAATCAGGTTAAAATAAATGGGAAGTTTACCATAAACTCTATTAGCGAATATCCCTATAGGGAAGTAGCCCTATAGCCCTATATATTATATTTGGTTTGAAGATGTAAGGCGGGATAAACTTGAATGAGTTCGTGAACTAGCATGATCGGACGATGGGAACGTGGTTTTACGGGGAGTTTTAAGGGGTTAAAATTGGGTTTTCTCATTTTTTAAACATCAAAACATAAGATTTCCCGATTTCTCTCTAAACCATTTTAAAGAGCTAAAAAGGCAAATAATTTAGTATATTGAAGTGTTTAGTGCGGTTATTGGTTACGGAGAAAATTCAAAAAGCTGTAAATTTAAAAACCCCATGTTATTTTTATGGAGAATATTGTAAAATGTTGTAGTTTGCTTGTTTATGGGTATATCTTGATCAAACTTGTCAAATTTATTTATTTTAGGCCTATACTATGCTGTTATAATTTAACTAAAAAAACGTACTTTATTAGCCTCCCTGTAGCAGCAACCCTAGGTACTCGTTTAACCTAATGTTATTTAAATATATTTAATTGTATATCAATTCAGGCAAATGGAAATTCGCTTAGTCTGCACGGTTTGCTGCGGTGGGGGTATTATATTTTATCACCACCATCTGCCATTGTATGAAGAGCGAAGATAAATAATCTTAAATCATATTACACAATAGAAGGTTTGATACTTCAACAATGTTATCTTTGAGCACAAAAATCAATAAAATAAATGACTAAAGAGAAATAAGAAAATTTGCTAATGGTAACGTCAAGTTAAATTATCTATTGTCTGAACGTTATGTAATTCTAAGACCTGTTTGCATTGCTATCATGCTGTCTGCTTGTATGAAGTTGGCAAGTTGTTTAGTATAGTAACAATAAATTGAACATATACATTTATGCATTTATCATTAGGCCTATTCTGTTAACTGATGAAAATTTTAAATTCTGTTTCCGCACAACAGGTTTTGACGGTATATTTTTAAGTGTCCAAACTTAGAATTTTCTGTTATATAATTTTAAAGGCAATTAAGTTAAGTTAACCAGTTCAACTAAAAGGCCATTGCAAGTTCTCTTGTACTGCAAAGTTCTCTTTGTTGTTGTGTTCATTATATTTTGTCATACCAAGAGTCAAACACATACGTAAAGCCCACAATAAAAGAATTTCATAAGGTCTAAATCAGGGAATTGTACATCAATATTGTTGGGGAAATGCATATGTTTTGGGTTAACCTGCATCAATACAGCAGGCCTGTTTCGAAGTACCAAATCAAAACTTAATTGTATTATATTTTGCAATATTTTCGAACTAGTATAATATTTTGACGTATCACTATTTAGACATTTACTTGAAAACAAGGAGTTCTTTCCAGATATTCTAAAGAGCTCCGAAAACGTTGCATGCTTCGCGTTGCATGTCCTATTGTTGTGATTTCACAACATGTTTACCTCACCTCGACAGCAGATTTGATCCCGTTCAAATGTGAACCTAGCAAAGAATATGATATAACAAAATGGATCTTAGAAGTTTTCATTGCTGTGCTGCTGTGCAAATTAATTTACTACTTTCTCCCAATAAATGCGTTGGAAATAAATAATCTATTTTACGTGGTGTTAGAACACTGACGAACTGGAAATTTATAAAGTCAATATAAATGCATCAAATCTACGAATGATGGCATATATAATGGAAACTATTATAACAGGACCTTCCTCTAAGAAGAATATGGAAACTTAAAAGATACCTTACTAATACTAGGACGTGGTGGCAATAATGAATAATAAATATTATAATAAATTATATGCAGTAGAAATTCCTAACCTACTTTATTTCTTATAACCTACACTCCTGAAATAATGCATTGGAAAATAAGCATGCAAGTGGGGAAGATGTTGGTGTCACCCTGTGTGGCATCTTCACGGGTCTTCTTGTGATTTCATCTTAGCTTCCTTGTACTTTGATAATAGTTTGGAGTGAGTTATGTTCAAGAGGACCCCTGAAGGTGCCTCACAAGATGGTAAAATGCATAGGTTGATACAAACATCTTAACTACAAGAGCTCCTGCAAAGCAATGTAAATCTATTAATTTTGATGTTCTTGAAACTGGGATGACAAAGTAAACTTTATTCCTCTTAGAAATATGCATTGGAATATAATAAGCTACCTCTCTCATAGAAGGAAGCCTTGAAAGATATCACTCTACTTTACTCCTAGAAAGCTGAAAGCAAATTGGAAAATACTATATTCCCCCTAGACGCAATGGAAAATAATAAACTACCTTTAGTGATCGTGGGTCCTGCTGGTTGCAGGAAATCAGATGAATATCCAAATGGAAAATCCTAGGATACACGAGTCATACGCGAAACACGGCACAAACTGCGCTACATACTGATAACAAGGTGATAACAGTCAGGTGTTAGAGAGAGACGTCACCCCACCTCTCTCTCTAGCTCTCTCTCTCATTGTATCTGTCGACCTCGTGTCGTCAAAACATACATGCTGCGGGTAGATGTAGAGGGGACTCTTGTATAATTCTAAAGAAGTTTCAATCTTGTTCGGATTTGGAGGGTAATGAGTTGCATTATCTACCTCATGAATCTGGGTTCGAAAAGCTTTTTTAAATGTTGTGATCCTGTTGTTTGAAAAGCACCTTGAGCTGTAAATGTTTTGTGAAAAGACGTGTAGATAGATTAGTTTTTAAGATTGGTTTTAAGTGAGTCAGACTGTAAAACTAAAAGCAATGGTGTAACTCATTTCTTAATTAAGTCACATTTATTAAGATATCTTCCAAACTCGGTGAACCCTACCATGTTTTTAGTTACGGTACCCTAAAACCTGAACATATATTAGTGTAAAACTAAAATGGTTACAAAATATCACGAAAATTGTGAGTGCGCTAAAAGCCTTTTTATATGCTTAAACGTACACAGGACTATGCCAAGGTCGTCCCTCTGTCTTTAACGATGACACTTATTGAATTTCGATAACCAGTTTTGTTCAAGCTCTTGGGAAATCATTGAATCCCCAACACTTGTAAGGTACCCTACCCTAAGATCGAGTTAAAACTGAGATTTGGCTGACTCACCTTTTCCTATCTTTCCTCCAAAGTTTGTGAAAATGTATCACTTCCTACTTATACAATGACTGTACTTACTAGTTCCGTTTATTTGTTAGAGATAACCTGAAATGTTGTAGAGTGGTCAAACCCATATGACATCAACAATTCTATTCGTGGTCAAAACTATTTATATCATTTTGTTTTCAAATGTTTGTCAAGTTAGATAAAACATATCATCAACAAAGCTATTGCTAAGCACTTTACTCAAAATCTAAACAAATTACTCAATTGGTTGCAATCGACTATGTTTGCTTGATCCCTTGATCTCCATATTTGATGCAATCATAAATTTGAATATTTAAGAATCTAGAGACCTTTGAAAACACACACACATTTCAACATATAAGACAATGCTGTGAAAACACAGTCTTTAGAGCGTGTTTGTGAATGAAGCACGTGCAAATGAGGTTACGATAGCAAATAGTTCGTTTCTAGAGCCTTAACGCTAGAAAACGTTACATCATTCAGCAACAGAAAGCGCTAAACAAGACGATCTTCCTTCCCCAAAATAATGGTTCCTCTTTGTCTATAGTTTTAAATCCATTTATTATTTAAGTGATTTGCGTGTTTCGTAAGGGAACGTCAAACTTTGTTAGGCAGCGCCATTTTGATATCCATCCGGAATCTATTTTAATTGATATTATAAGGTCTTACCTTACCAATCCTATTTTATTGATCTGAAATTAATTTCGGATCAATAAAATAGGATTGCAAAAGCAATACCTTATCATATCGATTAATATACGAGCAATCCAGAGGCTAAAATGATTGATGAATCCATTTTACTTGAAATCTAATTAGTGACCTTCATGTAGGATAGGAAGGCGAACATAATAACCACTCGAATGAACATACAATTAATTATTAGACCGCAATTGTTTGTAAATTACCGTAAAAAGCACTCAAACTGTAAATAAATTGTTATAGTTGCTGTCTGATCTAATAGAAAACTGCCTGGGTGGTGTTGGAGTGGTTAAAGGACGCACCTGTCAATCTGAAGGGTGTTGATTCGATCCTAAAGGAGCTCAATTCTAGACTAAAATCTTATTTGTCAATTAATGGATCATCAAATCACTTCACCAAGTGTTTGGCCCGTTTAAAAATGTCAATCGCTTCAAAAACTATAACAATCACTCAAAACATTCTTCGTGAGGAACTGGCAATATTCGTTCAATTACATTTTTAAATAAATAATTCACCGATATGTTTTTAAATTTGGAATATGTGAGGTCTTTCGCCAGCTATGATGGCCTCGTCAGTCACATATTCCTAATAAAAACTGAAGGTTATGTTTACAATGAATATAAAAATTTTAATCTTACATATGGGGAGTTAAATATGAAAAATAATGTTTTTAAGTACATTTAGGTAAAATTATATATATGTATAAAAATATAATCTTGAGTAGTTAACCATAGGTAAAACATTGGTTAGTCTAAGGCTGAACTTATATCTCTGTAAATTTGGAATTGAATAATGTTACATTTTGAATTGGACTGCTGTCATTGTTTACTAGATTGTCCATTTTATTTATGAACAATGACTCTCATGCGTTGGGTCAAGGCTTTACGAGTTCTTGTTTAATTTAGAATTATTTTTAATTGACATTGTGTGGTCCGTTTCTAACCACTGCCTCTCTATTGCAGAGTTTTTTGGCTTGTGTGCTATGTGAGAATTGTTGAATCTAGTTTTTAGGTTTCTTTTGTTTGTCCAACATAATTGTTTTGTGCGTTGACGATGGCGTAGCTGGCGAAAGGCATCATGAAGTTAAAATTACAAAGTCATTGGCGAATTATTTATTTTAAAATTTACTCAAAAAACCCCCTTCGTTTAGGAGTCTAGAGGCAACTCCTTTAGAACCACGATGCAAGAATTCCTCCCCAGTTTTGGTCGGACTCATAGATATTAACTGTACATCTTGGGTATCCATATGTACTTCGCACGTGATCTATTTACTCCAAGATAGTACCAACACTCCGCCATGTCAAAGCCCTGCACATGACACCCCGCTATTCTGAGAGACGCGTCTATTTTGGTCCAGTCTTTACACACAGTCTTCGCCGCGTGGTTCTAGCCTTGCAGTGGTCCGATTTTGAGTTGTGTTCAAATAATGAGGGAAATCGTACATTTACAAGCTGGACAATGTGGAAACCAGATTGGTGCCAAGGTTAGCTTGGATTTTAGGGTTTTTAGTGTTATACATTTTTGGAACTAGTATTTTGCTTATCACTTGTAGTTACAGTGTTAGAAAATGCATCAGCGGTTTTATTCTAGAATGATTACTATTAGGATGGATAAGAGTTTCTTTTAATTTTCACAGTGAGATTGTGGTATTTTGTGTTCAATTGTTCTGCAGGACTTACCTTATTTACTTTATTATTACTTATATACTTATTACTTACTTAGGTAAGTCAGATTGTTCCAATCAGTTTATTTGTTGTTCAATTGCTTGAGTTGGATTCGTCGTTTTAATTTGTTTGGTTGTTAATTTCTACTTGGTTGTTAAGGATGACTTGACGTTTTAGTTTTTGATTTGTTCACTGTTTTTAACTTTTATATGATTTCAAACTTAACAATTTGATTTGTAGGGTCGTTGTTATTTAAAAATAAACTACAACTAACGTATTGCACAACATGGTGCAACATACATTCGTAACTTACACACTATTGTTTGTAATAAGTTTTATATGAGATGTAATTGTTCCAAATTAAGCCATTCACAAAATTATTCTATCATAGTTCTTAAAAATATTGTAAATATATTTTGAGCGTGATGTTTTGAAGTTAAGATGGTTATAAAGCCATACCTACTTTAAAACAAAAATCTAACATTTTGAACATTTTGATGAAAAGATTTTAAATATTTATCCCCAGATCAAAAAATCTAATAATTTTACACAAGAATAATGTTTAAATATTATAGGTCTACTATTGACAACTGTATGGAAAAATTATAGATTGCATGATGGATCAAATCAATTAATTGTTAAAAGCTAACTTACAAAATACTTAGATGAAAAATTGATCAAATTGATTTATTTATGGTATCATGTTTGTAAAATTGTCTTTAAATGCGATGTCTTTATTTGCTCAGTTATTTCAATAATTTGTGTAGAGCATATTTTAATACTTTTCAATGAAATGGCGACCATACAAAGTAGGTATTTTAAGCAAGGTATGAATGCAGATGAGTGGCTCGATCATGTAGTCTTGCAGTCTGATCGGGATATAACAAGGTTAATGTGTTCATACTGTTTGCAGTTCTGGGAGATAATTTCTGATGAGCACGGGATTGATCCCAGCGGCATCTATCACGGAGACAATGAGCTTCAACTGGAGAGAATAGACGTCTACTACAATGAGGCTGCTAGTGAGTAGAAACAATCATTGATTAAACCATTACTAATGGATATAACAAGTCTGTGGCCTGATGTATAAATCACACTTGGCTACATTAATGTCGACAAAACATTGGTTTTCTTATATTAGGATGAATTTTATAGTCTAAATATTAATAGACAAGCATGTTTCTTTCCTTTTTCTAAGCTCGTGTGCGTTGCAGGTAAAATCTAAGTATGTGTTACTGTTAGAAAGATATTGCTCTCTAAATGTGCAAAATCCGTTTATAAATTAAAATAGGCCCCAAAAACAAGAACAAATATGAATTTACAATTTAAAATATTTACATTGGCCTCATGGGTTGCCATGTTGGTGACGAAATAGCAACGAAATATAAACACTAAATCAAACAAATTAAAGATTGCAGTCAGGTGTTTTATTTACAGAGTGGGGTTAAAATAGAGAAGTCTGTACATTATAGTATATTTCGTACCTAGGGCAGAAAATGAGGCTTTGCTGGCTCAAGATAGTTTTTAAGTTCGAGACCAAGTCGAGAACTTAAATCGATCGAGAGCTGCAAAACCATTTCAGTCCGTGGTACGAACGCTATTTTTCACCACACTATAACCTATTACCACTATTCGCAACAATTACAATGCACAATGAGAGCCAACACAACTACAACTTTAAGGTTATGTGATGAAATAATTTGAGGAATCAGCAAAAATAATAATAAATAGTTGCTAGGTAGCGGTGACAGTAAAACAATTCTATTGCAATGCTATGGATACGGATTGTGTATTTAATATGCATTCATGTTTTAAGTAAGAGGGTAGCTGATTTTGCGGCCCTAGGAATGTAAAAACTTGCTCGGTCCCCAAATAACGCTGACAGCTGGCATGGCCAGCAAAACGTAACTTTCAGTCACCAATTAACGTATGTAATACAGCCAAAAACATCATAGTGTGGTGAAATTTTCGGCCCTATGTACGAAATATACCTACTATTAAACTGTGGTCAAAATTACAACAAAAATGCTTTAAACACATTCTTGCAGCATGTGATCTTTTTAAGTGTGCCTGTAGTAAACCAAAAGGTAGCAACCATTTCAAAAATTCATACCGGTATTGAACTGTATATTGATTTGTTTTTCATAGCCTAATTAATTCGGTATACCAATCAAATAACTAATTATGTCCAATAAAATTACAATAATAAAAATGTGTGAAAAGTCTAAAATACCTATTAATGCCACACCTACATTGTATATTGTATATTCTAACTGTAAACCTGAACCTTTTCTTTACCTTAACTTAGGTATTTTATCATTTTTAATTTTTTTTTAATACCCATTGCAGTAATAAAACTAATACATTTTCAAAAACATATTTTTAAAAAAATTTTTTAAGATCACAACAGTATAACAATACTTTCTCTATATACTATGGTATAGGAGGAGAAAGTTAATTTGGAAAGCATAATTTTAAGATACAAAAATCTATCTGTCCTTTATTTACCTAACAAATACAAACAAAACCCTGAAGAAGGTAAATTAAAATTCATGAATCTGTACAAAGGGTGAATAAGAAAATGTAAATTAGGTTGGAACAAGGGAGATTAAAGATAAGTTCAAAACGTGAGGGATGCCAAGGGAAGGGGTTGGATGTATCTTTATTATCAATCTGAAACAGAACTACCTCTGTTGCCGAAATTATGACCACGTCAAAAGATTTAAAATGTATAATTCCTTAAACTTAATTGTTTATTCAAAGGATTTTAATCTATGTAGGCCAGCTCAAGTAATGTTTATATTCAATTATCTTATAACTTTAATGAGCCCTTAAGTGTGCCCAGAGTGTTACTGTCAAAATTATACTTTCTCTGTGATTTATTCCAAGTGATCTCTGTGTTTTAGCTTATTTCTCTATGGCAAGTAAGTATTGCCATAGGTGCCACTGTAAGACCTAGACCCTAGATCGATGTACTTTTTCGTTTTTATGTCCCCAGAGCACCGTCTGTTCAAAATGATTATGGGACGGGGTCCTTTGGGGTTTGAATTTCCAAAAATTGTTTTTTTTTTATTTTTACCCTTTAAACATGGAAATACCTAATGTTCATCACAACCATCTTGTAGAAATTAAAAACAAATAGTTTTGTATATTGAAGTGGTGTTGTATAAATAAAGGTTTAGGGAGAAAATTAAAAAACAAATCTGTATATTTAAAACTTTCATGTTATTCTCATTGAGGAAATGAAAACTGTTGCAGTTTGCTTGTTATGGATATAAAATGTGGGTTGACCAAATTCGGCATTTGTCAACTGTATTTATTTCATCCTGTACTAGACCTATTACTATTTGGTCAAAATAACACTTTTAAGCCTCACCGTAGCAGCAAACCTTAGTACTCTTTAAAGCTAATGTTATTTAAAAGGGGAATAAATAAATATGTTTTTTTAAGGAAATACAAAAAATAAAAAGTAAAAATCCAATCAAATTGAGATTTGCCTAGTCTGCAGGTTTGCTGCTGAGGCGGGACTTATTTTTCAAATAAAACATTTAGTTTAGGACATAATAATAAAATTAACAAACTACATTACTAGTTCATTAAAAAATCATAAAATATAAGTATCAACTACAAATTCACGATATATCTACATACTTTCTATTCTGTTCTGTATGTGACATATTCTCTGCTAGTTTATCCACGAATCTTATCTTAATAGAATTGCAGCCTACGTGTAATCAAATCTAATCAAATAATTGCGTGAGAACATTAAGTCATAAAACAACTCTTATCATTGTTTGAATTAGTTTCGACAAAGGTTTTCTATTAGGTCAACAAGCACTACTACAAAGGTTTAATTTCACAGGCCATTAAAAGTTTCCAGTTTTATGGGTTATTGTCAGAAGTTTAAGTCCCTTGCGGCATTTAAAACTGCTGACATCTTTAGGTTGATTTAGCATTTAGTACTCAGCAAATTATAACTTAATACATTCTTTACTTCAAGTTTAATTAGAACCAAAATTGAGTAATTTAAATTTTACCTACTGAAAAAAAAATCTTTGTATTCATTTTCAAATATGCGTTTTACTGAGTTTTGAATACGGTATGTTCGAGACATAAACAAATTACGTTTTTGGCCCTAATCCAAAAATCTAAAACGACCTTATAACCATAGGTCTCTTCGTTTGATATTATGTTTTTATACTATAATATCATTAACATAATATGGTTTAGACAGACCCTAAACGATGTTAAATAATGTTTACCTTCGGGCCAAAAACGTCATTTTTTATGTTTATGATCCATACAACTTCGTACATTCGTACACAAATTTTGTACGAAATAAAACTGCAAATCCTTTCAAAATAAGTATTAAATTAAAGGATGTTAGCCCAAATGCTGCTTTAGTAACAAAAATACTATAACAAAAATAAAAAAGGTTGCTGCTTTCAAAATGGAATCAGACGAAAGACTGTCGATCTTCCGCTAAACTGCTACAACTAAATATATTGTTAAGCAATTTGGTACACATTTTAATCCAGCTATTTTAACCATATTAAATCCAACCAATTTAATTAAAAAAATTTGCCTGGTAAAATTTGTAAAAAAAAATGGTTTTGGAAATATATTTCAATCACTCCATCACCATAACCGTTTTAAACTACTAAGACTTATTTTAACCAAATTAGGAATGGAACATGAGTAAGATGGCACATTATGGAAGTACCTAGGTTTGTTACTGACTATGACTAACGGATTTTCAATAGGGACTGTTTATCAAAGGATATCAATACTGCTGGGTGCAGTTTAAAACCATCAAAAAGCTTTTACATGACGACCTAGGAACTTTTCTTGAAACGGTAACAATCAGATTGTCAAACAAGCACTTTGCCCCTGAGCTATAATATAAAATTGTTGACCAAAAAAGAATTTTTAAAAAATGTTGGAATAAACAGGGTTTTTTGTTTCAATTCCATTCTCTAATTTAAATCGTCGATAAAACCATTGTGTACACAATAAATCTATTGATTGATTGTAAAATTTTACAACAATGGGGGAAACGTGTTGATGCTAATTGGTAAAACATGTAGGCCTATGTCAATTTCTCACCAAACAGCCAAATGTTTTAAAACATTTCACACAGATTCCACTTGTATTACTGTTGTAAAGCGAATGCATCGGCACAATAGCAACTAGAGACAAGAGATTGGCTTGCTTGCCTCTCGTCAGCTAAATCCTGAGTTAGGTTTTGTGAAGGGATGATTCAGTTGTCACCGAGCCATTATGTTAATTATTCAACTGTTTTAAACTCGTCAAATTGGATAGTTTGTTCTCTTTTACAATATTAAACGTCTGTCGCTAGTATAACGGAAATAAATTTATAAACTAAATAAGTTTGTTCCATCTTATAGTAATCATCAGACTCGTCTAGTTCTTGCAGTGTTTCTGCAGTTTCACGAAGGTTGTACAAGATATGTTAGTAAAATATTTATTTTATTTTTTATATAAGATTATTGCAGACATGTTCTGTGTTCACGTTTCGAGATCTGGAATCTGATCCCGTCCTAATAATATATTTATGGATGAACCGATGGTGTTTATGGCCCCTGGGGACATCAAAACGAAAAATAATATTGATCCCAAATCCACGTCTCACCACGAGACCTTAGACCTACTGTAATTATAGCTTATTCCCTGTATGGGAAATTCACTAAAAACATAAATTCCCTTGAATAAAAAAGTCTCTACCTGAGGTGAATGTGATTAATTCGTCATTTAAGCCGGTGAATGAGCTCACTGGGATTTTCTAGAACTTTGCTCCTCTTCAGGCTGTCTTTCCCTTTATCTTGCCTCAATAAGATCTGTGCAGCTCAATAGTGGGTGGTATGTATTGTTCTCAAACTGAGAGAGACTATGAAGTTAGCAAAGCTATCTGCAGTATGTATTTCTAAAAAGTATATTACAAAAAAAAAATTTAGATATGAAAAATATTGGAATCAATAATACGGTACAATGGATGAATATTAGGAAAAGGTTAATCACACATCTAGTTCATAGAATCATAGAAACAACTTGATATGCCTTGGTTCCTTTATCTGGAAAGGTGTGCGGCTCTTCACAATTAAATAAATGTCACTTCTGCTGACTATAGTCCATTTTAACCGATGTCTGGATAAGTTAATAATTTTTTTACGTCATATTTACATAAAATTGAGTGAACTTTTTACTTTACATTAGTGTTATATTTAGGTCATATTGATTTTTATTTACGTCAAAATTATGTGTAAAATATTATCGAGGTTGACCGTTGACGTCTTTTTTACGTCAAATTGATGTACTTGTGCTATGTGGGATTGTTCCGTTAACTTCTATGTTGTAAGTTAAACTCCGAACTCCTCTTTATTGTTATGTTCTAGGGGGGAAGTACGTTCCCAGAGCGATCCTGGTGGATCTTGAGCCTGGTACCATGGACTCTGTCAGGTCGGGACCGTTCGGACTTCTATTCCGCCCAGACAACTATGTGTTTGGCCAAAGCGGCGCTGGTGAGTAAAATGATTTGCGTTTAAACTAAATGGTTAAAATGAAAGAAATGAGTATTAAGAATTCTCTGTTATGAACAGTGGAATGAATGATATAGTAATTCATCTAGTAATTAAAGCCTACTCCTTTATTTCATTATGAAGTGAGTTGAATAGTTTTTGTTTTAGCTATAGAGGATTGCTGTCAAAGCCATTATGTTTCTTTTCTAGTAATTTAACCTAATCCAAATAAATGATTGTAGGGTAATGTTTGTAAACTAAAAATGGCATAAAATACAAAAATACTAGATATAGAAAATTCAATCAAAACTATAAATAATTACAGCTTGGTAGGCCTACTAAAGAGAAAAAAAACTTAAGCTCCTTAAACTCCATAGATCCTTTCTTGCTTGGCAGGTAGGAGGTTAATTAAGGAGAACTGATAGAGAAGATATTATATATGTTTACCTCACTCCGCTCACTCTAAGAGAGTTTTGTTGGACTTTGATACAAAAATTACCTAACGAGAGGCAACAACTGATTCCAGTGCTTCCACCTGGCTTAGTCTTACAATTCTACACTTAGTATTATAGTTAACGGTTCAACCTAGTTTAGTATTTACGAGGAAGTATGTTTAACAATTGCCTCCCTCTAGGCAACAACTGGGCCAAAGGACACTACACGGAGGGAGCAGAGCTAGTAGACTCTGTGCTGGACGTGTTACGACGAGAAGCAGAGAACTGTGACTGTCTCCAGGGGTTCCAGCTGGCCCATTCCCTGGGCGGAGGCACAGGCTCCGGAATGGGAACACTTCTTATTTCCAAGATCAGAGAGGAATACCCAGACCGCATCATGAACACATTCAGTGTTGTCCCCTCTCCGAAGGTGTGTTGAAGGTCTATAATTTCAAAATTCAAGTAAATGGTGAATTAAGGGTACATTAATTTGATTGTTTCATTTTATGCATCTCCAGCAAGTAGAGTGAGTGAAACGGAGTCAATCTTTTGATTCCCCCTGGATCAAAGACAGGCCCTCGGTTTGCAAGTGACGTGCCATGGGGCCAAGAGATAATTAAACCCCCTTCCCTCTCTACCTTGTGGGAGAATTTTTCTTTATTGAGCTTTCAACAAACCTAAAGCATCTTGCACCCCTGAGCCCATGCTCATTTAATAAAACTGCCCTGATCAAGGAATGAGCCACTGAGTGAAAATTTAAAAACGTACGTTTTCAGGAAAAGCACTTTGCAAATTTTTTCCCCCTTTTTTCAAAACTTTTATTATTATTTTTATTTCATTAACATTTTAAGTTTCATAAAATGTCCATGGTAACGCAATATCTTTGGTAGTTTTCTTTTTAAAGAGCATCTTTAGTAGAAAAACACAAAATCCTGTCACGACCATAACGGACGTTTAAATGAATATTAAAAATAGTTAATATTATTTTTATAACTATGTTTTGCTATAAACTAATTTACTTTTATGACCATTATACAATAAAAAGGTCACTGAGCTTTTGGTATATTTGGTCTTTCTAGAAAAAAATTTAAAAAACTCAAAAAATAGAAAAAAGCCAATAAAATCTTTTTAAGTTTGTATAACTCCGAAAAAACTTACCTGAGACCCGAAAAATTGTTATGTTTGTATAGAGGTGTGCTTCTTTTGTGTATAAAACATTAAAATATGACGATATTTTAATTTTTGAAATTTTTATGATAGAAATCATAAACGTGATGGTCAGGGACAAGCGGTACGGTCGTGAATTGTCTGGAATGATCTAAATCTTTCCAAACAATCCTTCAATTATACTGTTAGTTATAATAAAACTATGTGTTTCAATTGAACTAAACTGTTCAATTTACAATTATATTAAAGTTATTGTCACGACCAAACTCACTATAATCCATAAGGCTGGATTGGTCGTGAAAAAAAACGCGATGGTCGTGAAACTTTGGTCGTGAAATTACGTGTTATTTGGCTCTGTTCTGGCGGTAGCCCTGCACCTCATGTTCGAGGATACAAAGTGGACTTCTAGGTTGATCTAGCAATTGAAATATCTTATAAACAAAAATTAACACCATGTCTACTTCATCGAATGACTACGTACGGTCATGGACACACCAAAATTACAAAAAACACAATCTTTCCTTTATTAATCTTGTAATTCCTCCTTTAAACTCAAAACGACCGGCACTACAATCCTGACGTACACCCCGAACTAGTTTCTAAAACCAACTGCCTCCATCGACGCCAGGCTTGCCACTGTCGTGCTCCAAAGTTGAAAAATTTTCCCAAATGGTCGTGACGCCAAATCGAGGGACAGACTTATTTTGCCATGGTAGTCAGTCTGCAATGACAATAAAATTATAATATACTCCTTTTTTGTAAGTTTAATAACCATTGATAACATAAAAATATGACTTTATATATTTCGGCATGAACAATTAGTCTAAGTTAGGAGTAAGTAGTTGGAAAATGTACCCTAGGGACACGTCATGGTCGTGAATTTCGAGACTTTAAAAATACGAAAAAAATACCTAGAACCTATTTAAAACTATATAAATGTGTGTAACATGTTGCCCCCGTCCCAAAAAATATTAAAACACATAATAATAAACTACAAATCCAGTATCTGCAAAGTAAAAGGCCAGGGACATGAAAATGTACGTTTTTAAATTTTCACTCCACTGCTCACTATTACATGCCTCTGTGTGTCACAGCAATTTAATGACCACCATAAAAGCACATGATTTTTCCAAGAGTTTCATTTTCACTCTGTAAATTGGTTCAATATCATATACAGATTGAGGTCAACATAATAGCACCATTCTATCTATTTGTTAGAGCAAAATTAATGTTTAAGCAATTGGTACCTTCTGAAAGGTTTGGTAGGTTGCTGAGTAATGTAAGTGCTAACCTTACATAATCAGAAAAGTAGCAGTAGTATTCTTAGAGCCTTATTATGCGCGGCCACTCGAGTCGCGCGCGACCGCGACTGCCAGTCGCTTGGGGTAGCCACTGGTGTGGCTTGGGGTAGCGACAGGTGTGGCGAGGCCACGCGACTGACTGAATTTTTTACATACAGACATGAAGTTTCAAGTAAAGAAGCTGAACTATTTATTTTACTTTTACTTAAGCGTCGTAAACGTAGACGAAACTAAAGTATTGGGAGGCAATCCGTTACTAAAAGTAAGACCTCAGGGGTATTTTTCAGTGTTTATATGATGATTTCAGAGATGACGACAAGATGTATTTTGGTTGATTCCGGGAGACGAGACGTCCTTTTTAGGAAGAATATAAGGTGACTCATCCGTATCGCTTAAGAAAATAAATAATTTTTTTTCAGCTAAGGAGAGGCAAGCACTTACCTTAAATTAAATATTATAATGGTTTTGACTTGATTTAATCATAATACTAATACAATATTAGCAGCAAAAGTCGGCGTTGCCCGGGTCAACATAGTATTCACAATAGTGGTAATAATTGAGTAATACAGACAGTATCTTGAACTTAACTGATTCAAATGGTGTTAGCATCTCAAATGAAAGCCTTTGTTTTGATGGGTAGTCCCATTTTAAGTCTAAGACATTTAGAATAACTAAAAATGGAGTTGCGTATCATTAATTGCAGATAAGTGTTAAAATAATGATTATTATTGTTGATTCGTGAATCAGTAGCGTGCTTCACGTACGTCCGATCTTAGTAATTAATAGCTCAAAATTAAAGTTGGCATTTTACTGAATGTTCTTAGACCAAAACATATAGGATAATGTCACAACTGGCGAAATACGGCTTTAATTGAAGACTACATAGACATAGACATAGACATAGACTTTATTTGCACAAAACATTCCATACATGTCATAACATTTAGAATAGGTGCATTGTCAAAATTAAATCCATACATAAAATATTTAAAATTAAAACTTTTAACTTAAAACTAAACACTAAAAAAAAAAAAATCTAAATTGTAGTTCTGTAAAAATCTTCAATTAAGTAAAAAGCCTTGTCAATAAGAAAATTATCTATTGTATCTTTAAATTTGGTTTTGCTTAGTGACTTATAGCATGGCGGAAGCACATTGTACAATCTCAGCCCAGCGTACAATGGAGATTTTTCATATAGGGTCAAACGGTGTCTGGGGAGTCTAAATATATTTTCATTTCGGGTTTCATACCTGTGATTAAAATGTATTGTTTCTGGTAGCTCATTTTTAACTGAATGTATGTAATTTAATAATTCTAGTATATACAACCCCGTTAATGTATGAATTCTTAAATTTTGAAAATGTTTCTTACAAGAACTGCGTGGATGAGAGTTGGTAATAATACGAATAATACGTTTTTGTAACCTGAATAAAGTTTTAATACCAGTAGCTTGACCCCATAAAATTATGCCATATCTTAACACTGACTCCACATAAGCATGATAAACTACTTTAAGTGTCTCAATAGAAACACAGTCCCTTAAATGTATGAATAAAGATGATATCGACCTAATTTTGTTACGTAAATAATTCAAATGTGAATCCCATTTAACTGCGTCATCTACGTAAACCCCTAAGAATTTATGAGCTTCAACTAAATTAAAGGAACAGTTTTCCATATTTTTGTGTCTAGTAGAAAATTTAATAATATTTGTTTTTTCAACATTAAGTTTTAACCCATTTTCTAAAAACCATTGCTCCATGTCCTTAACCACACTTTGCAGAGAAGAAAACATTTCAGCTGTATTATTATTTTTGATCAAAGCAGTAGTGTCATCGGCAAAAAGAATTAGTTCTTTATTAATAGCTTTTGGAAGATCATTAATGTAAATAAGAAAAAAAAGTGGGCCCAATACTGAGCCTTGGGGAACACCTGTGGATATAATTTCCCATGGTGAATAATGTTTGTTGTTATCTTCTAAAATTAAAGTTCTTTGTTTTCTTTCAGAAAGGTAAGATTGTATTAAAGAAAAGCAACTTCCCCCAATCCCATAATCAATAAGTTTTAGCAACAGGAGTGAGTGATCCACACAATCAAAAGCCTTAGACAGGTCACAGAAAACACCTGCTGTGGCCTGAGACCTGTCCAAGGCCTCTGCAATCTCATTAACAAACTGAGTAAGAGCAGAAACTGTGCTTAAGTTTTTTCGGAAACCAAATTGTTTATTGTAAAACAATAATATCATCATCAATCATAGACTCCTTTTATCTATGATTGAAGTAAGAATTTAAAAAAATCTGATTTATTTTTTTGGTCGAATAATACAGTAGATACATAAATGATGATGCTTGGTGGCAAATTTGTTCGTGAATACCTTTAATTTAAGACCAAAATTATAAAAATCGGTCAGGTAGAAGAGCCGAACCGACTCAGAAAAGAAAACCAATATTTATTAATATATAGATATTATAATTAATATAATATTTTGTTGAAACAAATATCAGGATTGAGGCGAGTTTAGAGAGTAGGGTCCACTGTAGCCCGCGACTGTGGCCGCGCGTAATAAACAGCATATGATAACATGGCCCGCTGGTGACGCGACAGTCGCGTGGGCTCGCGACTAGTAGCAAGGGTGCGCGACTGGAGTGGCCAGTCGCGGCGACTGTCGCGTGCCTCGCCACAGCAGTCGCGTCGCTTAATAAGCTCCATATGATAAAATGGCCCGCTAAAAGTGGCCTTTGAGCAGTCGCGGTCGCGCGCCACTCGAGTGGCCGCGCATAATAAGGCTCTTAGTTTAATCCTAAGAATAGTCAGTGGTTTTTGATAATTCGCAGGCCTACTGGTACCAGCTGTTCTTAATTTTTGTGCTTTTGATCAACATTGTTTTTTTTTTTACAAACAAAAAACATCTGTTCTTAGTCAGTAACAAAGTCTAACAAGGAATCTTAATCCATTTTGTACACTAATCCTACACTATTCAATTTGAAATGCCCAACAGTCTGTGTCTTGTGTCTTATTAAAATTTATAAATGATGGACTATCCTCTATTGCATCAGCACACCAAATGATAAGAGTGTATTTTCAGTGCTTTATACATTCAAAAACCGTGTAACTAACCTCTAATGCTTCATAAGTTCAAATTGTTCTCCCACAGGTGTCAGATACAGTGGTTGAGCCATACAACGCAACTCTCTCAGTGCATCAACTCGTAGAGAACACTGATGAAACATTCTGCATCGACAATGAAGCTCTCTATGACATTTGCTTCCGCACGTTGAAGTTGACCTCGCCGACTTACGGCGATCTCAATCACCTAGTTTCGGTGAGCTACTTAACAAACGTTGTTTGTCTTAAAGTTCAAAACCATCTGTTTTGTAGAAAGTTTCCTAATTGAAAGAAATTAAATCCCTCCCAACTTATTGCTCATTGCCACCCTATACTGAATCCAAAAATATAGAAAAAACACATCTCAATACAAAGGCAATACCATTGTAAAAATTCCCAGAACATCATAACATTCACTGGGTGGAATACTACAGACACATGATGGAGACTAGATCACATACAGATAGGTAAGATGTTTGGTATTCTTTTGTTTATTTTATTTTAGTCTGGCTCCAACACATGTTTTTGGGGGTTTCAATTTTTTACTACATGTGATTATTGTTATTTTTAATATTATTGTGAAAAATGGTCAAGAAATACATCACAGTTTTTTCCTAATTCATTTTGCATTTATTTGTTGGTGATTTTCTCTATAGCTTATGTAATTGTATTTTAAAGTTATATAAAGGACTTTCTCATTCTTCGACAATATTAACCTCAAGACTAAAATCAAGATTGGTAAGATATAATTAATTATTTGTGGTAATCTCTATTCAGTTCCATTACATCAAGCCTAAAACTATTCTCTCCACTTTAAATTCCCTAATAATTTCAGTAAGATGATAATCAGTCTGAGAACTCTCAGTTGACCAACACTAAAATAGAACCGTAAGGTAACAAAAGAAAATGTACTACAAATTACATTCAAGAAATCTTACAGGTGACCATGTCTGGCGTCACCACATGCCTGAGGTTCCCCGGGCAGCTCAACGCAGATCTCCGTAAGCTAGCAGTTAACATGGTTCCATTCCCACGACTCCACTTCTTCATGCCAGGGTTCGCTCCTCTCACGGCCAGAGGCAGTCAATCATATCGGGCCTTGTCAGTGCCAGAGCTCACTCAGCAGGTATATAACATTTACAATGAAACATCTTCCATTTTTATTTATTTCCTAAGGGCTCAAAGTATAAATAAATGGTTGTACGAATGAGAGTGTAATGTTGATGTAGTACTCAAATCTGCAACTTTATGTTCACAGGCAATTAGTTTTATAAATGAAAAGAATACTTTTGGATACTGAATAGGACTGAAATACAATTTCCATGGAAGGATAGGAAGAACAGTTGCTCAATGTGCAGAAAAGATACTCAGTCCAACTAATTTACCAATATTGCAGATGTTTGATGCCAAGAACATGATGGCAGCGTGTGATCCCAGGCATGGAAGGTATCTCACAGTGGCAGCCATCTTCCGAGGCATGATGTCCATGAAAGAAGTGGATGAACAGATGCTTAATGTGCAGAACAAGAACTCAGGGTAACTATTCAAGCTTTACCAACGTGGCATATTTCATCCTTCCTGATTTGGAGAATGCTGGAGCTGTAAAGAACCTAAAAGCTGCTAAAGCTGTATAACACTACCTTTATAGTATTATAAAGCTGAAAGATTGTTTGTTTGTTTGAAACTCATTAACTACTGGACGGATATTGGTCTGAAATTTGGTATGATGATAACTCATTGCCATTCATAATATATACAGGCCTATTATTATCTCGAAAGTCCTTGTGGCCTCCGCCCCAATGGCTCTGGAATTTCTCATGTTTACCTAAAGGGTATTCATATTTTTAAAAAAATCAACAAATCTTGACAGCTGTTTCATCTGAACAAAAGTTGAGTCCCATGATATTCAATATTAATTGTTCTTTTAAAAAGTTTCAAGTTTTAATGACAGAGTGCAGCACTATTATTTTTGGGTTCTCCCCCTTGCGAGGCACAGATACAGCAGCTCATACAGCTTTTGCAGTTTTTTATCTTTTGTAACTTCAGTTCCTGAACTCTCAATGATAGTGCGATTGGTATTAAAAAGTAGGATGTGACGAAAATCTTGCTACAGAGAAATTTTAATGACCTATTATTACCGTTTTGAATTTTTGGTTCTATCAGATGGCATAACAATTTACTGCTGCCACTTAAATTTAACTGCTTGGTAAAGAAACTCCATAACATCTTAGGGCGTGAATTTAAGATTTTTATCAAGACTTATTAGCAAATTAAAAGTTGAAACCTAACATGCTTAAAATCTTATCCTTGTTTTGTAGATACTTTGTTGAATGGATTCCGAATAATGTCAAAGTAGCAGTATGCGACATTCCACCAAGAGGGCTCAAAATGTCTGCAACTTTCATCGGAAATACAACAGCAATACAAGAAATTTTCAAGCGTATTTCGGAGCAGTTCACAGCCATGTTTCGACGAAAGGCTTTCTTGCACTGGTACACTGGAGAGGGCATGGACGAAATGGAATTCACAGAGGCCGAGTCCAACATGAACGATCTGGTCTCAGAGTACCAGCAATATCAGGTAAATGGTATTTGTGTTTGATAATACCAACAACTTATGTGATACAGTAGACTCCCTCTTATCCGGACACCTTTTAACCGGACATCGTTTTTACCAGACTAGACTCGGGAGAAGTGACATCTCTTTATCCGGACAATCTTTATAAGCACATCGGTTTAACCGGACTAGATCGGTAGGAAGTGGGTGGTACTGAAACGACTTTTCTCGTGGGAAAGGTTTGAGACAATCGATCACGTGTCTGTTATCCTAAATTTAAGTCAAATACTGTAGCCTATACAGTATGCATTTTAACGGTCAGTTTAACGAGTTTTTTGGAACGTCGGTTTAACCGGAAAAACTGTTATCCAGACTGGCCTCGGTCCTGAGGCGTCCGGATAAGAGGGAGTCTACTGTATTTGTAATTTAATGTATATGTGTGAAGTTTACAATGTCTATGTCAGGTATCTTGTTTCTTCTAAGCTTAAGAATCCAAATTTGCATTCAACATTTTATCAAGGTAATTTGAGTCAGTGGAATAGGATTTCAACTCCTAACATTTTTTTAAACTAGGATTCAAAATCCCATTCCTGTTTTGGTTCCAGAGTCCATAACACCTTTTTCTGTGTCACAATTCCCAGATCGACTAAATAAATTAAAATCAAACATTGAAATTTCTTGTTTCTACCTATAAACAATTCTGGTATTTTTGCTGAAACTGAAATCCCTCTACCTTTTCATCACAGGGAACATAGATGTTAGGTTTATTAAATATTCTTTAATTCAAACATTCTATTTAGTGTCCTGGCATCATCATTTTGCCTTCTATCATAGAGAAGATAGTTTAGTTATAGTTTGATTTTTAAGGGAAAGCGGCTGGAGCTCGGCCCTACCTGTGAGGGACCTGACTCACGCACGCACACTCACCATCACCCTAATTGCCTGAAAGCCCCTATCCTCTTCACTACCTAGAAATATAAATCTATTGTATGATACCTCAAAATCGCAAATCATTTTAAGTTAGATATACAGTTAAATAATGGTTAGTGTTGGTAAATTTGATGTTTAACCCCATGAAAACTGAGTCCAAATACGAAATTATTATGAAAAGAAATAGTAGAAAAAATATTCATAACTTCTACATTTTACAAGCAAAAAATATATTGTTTGGTATCATTTTATTGAACATTTTGAGCTGAAGTCAAAAGCATTAACAGATTTTATAATGAAGAAAATTAAAAAATTGATACCGGTAGTTAAATTTCTGTTAACCAGTGATGACTAACACAGCAGGTCTCTGGTCTGTCTTAATCCCTGTGTCTGTGTGTGTGAGGCCTGGTGTGTGTGAGTAGGGTCGACCCTTGAGCCAGCCACGTTCCTTTAACAATCATACTATAGTTAGGACGTTAGTGTACCAGCTATATGTTCATAGGAAGTTCGATAATGCTGTTTTGAGTAGACAGGATGTAAAAACACAATGTGATCTGTTGCTTTACGTGGCAGTGTGTCTAAAGGACAGCAACTTTGTAAATACTTAAGTACAATTTGTACTGTAAATTATGGATTTAGTCCATGACAAAGCGATTTATACAACCTTCCCGTGTATTTAAAGCATAACAAGCTACTAACAGTTTAAGCTTAGATAGGTTCTTGATATAAAGTAGGTCATGTGCTTTCATGGAACGATTGACAATATTTTAAATTTTGTAGGAAGCAACAGCAGACGACGATGTTGAATTCGATGAAGAGGAAGGGGAAGTAGCGGCAGAAGAGACTGAATAAAATTATAATTATGAATTTATTTTTAACGTCACGATGTAATAAAACATTTTCTTACACATGGATTGTACAGCATGACTTGATTTCTAAAACATTTATTATAAGAACAGTATTTAATTTTATTCATATTTCAATCTACTTAATTGATGAGAACAAAACATTTAGTAAGTATAGAAAAACTAAAACCAAACTTCTATGGTAAATAAACAGAAGAAGTGCTTCAGAGAAATAAAAAAGTCAACATAAAGTTAAATTTAAGTAGGAATCTTGATAAATCTAGTGATGGGTAAAAACCTTATCTCAAATGTCAAAACCATCCAAACTTTGTGAAATTTTCACTTTCGAGATTCAATTGGAGTTTCGGTTGTAAGATTTGAAGTCACAAGCCTTCTGTTTTTGGTTGTCTCTTTACTGGAGACGTTGTGGATACTAAAATCATTCATTTCCTATCGCCTGTCTGCTCCCAAAATATTTCAAAATATTTTACAATTATACTAATTAAAATATTCTGAACTGCAACAGGTATAATAACTACCAATTCAACCAACAAAGTAGGCACAATACAGCTTATTATAAAAGTGTTTACTAAACACCAACAAACATTTACTGCTAAATGTTATAACTGAAGATATTCATTTTATTATGTCAGTGTTCAAAATATAATTTGTACTAGTAATTGTTGTTTATAAAATATTAGGTTTAAAGTGTACTAGTCACATACCTGGGTTGGCAGGAGTTCAATTTATTTCAGTTTTGATTTTAGATTACAGAATTATCTCTATTTTTTCACTTTAACCAGGCTAGTAAAAAGTCTTGCATTTAGGTTTAAATATTTGAGATTCAATTGTTTTAAGTTTCAGTTTTGAAATTCTAAATTTCTAGTTTCGACCATCACTAGATAAATAATATGTTAGTGAATATCTTAACAATATAATTAAAAATTCAAACAATACTTAAGGTAAACCAAATTACATTTAATGTTGTTTTAAAACTTCAATGCTGATTCCAAAACAAAACTAAGTTCAAGTAATTTTCTTTTAACTATTTGGAATCTTTTAACATATTGCATGTTGACAAACATATCCAGTAGAAATCTTAAACGTACCGGTACTTAAAACAAATTCATATTATTTATCAATCAATTTCATTAAATCTTAAAATCTAAACAATATAACAAGTCAAGTAGAAGATATTTAAGTTTTAGCTTTGACGCTACATTTCAGGTTTTAACATAACAATAAAAAAATGTATAAGAAAAACAATATATAATCTATGGCAAACGTATTGCGTTAGTTTGATATAGGTTAACATTAAAGGGCCTAGAGCAGTTTTTAAACTTTGGTTCTTGGTTTGTATAGGCTTGAAATAACTCAAAAAACTTAAAGAAAAGTTCATTAACCTGTCAGTGATCAAAACATATATCTTGCTTGATGAATGTTCAGACCTGCCTCAGATGCATTCATCATGTCAATAACTTGCATATAAGTTTTCTAAATGAATGTAAGCTCTTTACTTAATCAACTATTCCTGCCAAACTCTGCTAATGATTGATCTGCCCCAACTTTTAATCCAAAGGAAACAATGCAGTGACCACACCTAGGCAACTTTTATTGTAATCGTTCTTAACGACTTACATATGACACTTCAGATAATATCAAGCTAAACAATACTGGAGAGGTTTTATTTTACTTCTTTAAAGCTATTTTAACATCTTTACAAGATAACTATCACCACTGGTTTAACGGAATGAATAGAGGTGTTGTCGCCGAGGTAATTGTACTGGACACTTGTTCCATTAATGGTATTTTTTTAGGGCTCTTTTCAGGGTTTGAATGCGTCTGTTTATTCGTGTTATTATTAGTGTAGAAGCTCTGTGTAGAGATGGTGCTTACTACTTCCCCTGATTCAACCATAGGTGGCCAACAATCATTTTCTTTTCCGTTGTTTCTGTTGCTTTCAGATGTAGTTGCAGATTTATTAAAAGATCCGTGAGAGTCGTCTTTCTTTAAAGAAGTAAAATAGTTTTGAATAGTGCCGAGTTTACTGGTTGGGCTAACTTTCTCTGGCTTCCTCTTCTTTGCTTTTGGAAGGGAAACATCACTCAATGTTCTTTTCCTTTTTGAATTTTTTGCCGAACCATTAGTTAAGTCAACTTTTGACTCACTACTCTCTCCTTGAAGACTTTGGGATTCATTGGATTTCAATTTTTGTATACCTTTACAACTTATACATCTTTTTTTCGTATCCTTGGCTAAATACCCATTTCGACTCATTTTGATTTTAATTTTTGGGAATTTAAAAGACTTGATCGCATAATCAATTTTAGGTGTACAGCTAGTACTTTGACGATCATTTTCTCCCAAACTATTTTCTATTACTTCCTGGGACAAATGTGGGTTTTCTAAACTGTTACTGATGGCATTTTCTATTTTTCCAGAAGGAAAATTTTTATTGCTTCCTCCAAATTCTTCAAGTTTTTTGTCTTGGTATGAGGAAGAGAGTTTATCCTGAGCTGCATCAACTCCTTCATTTTCACATTGTACATTTCCTTTTCCATTGAGACTTTTGCAGTTGGCATCACTGTCACAAATTGCACTGTCCGACCCATCTGTTGGATGAGACAAAGAGTTATTCTCTGTAGTAATACTGCTTAAGTCAACAGAACTGTTATAATTTGCAGTAGTTTTCATTTCTTCGCAAGTCATGTCAGCAACTGTTGGGTTGGAACTCGGTACACTCAAATCAGTTTCATTGGGCGTAACCGTCTGGTCACTGTACGCACTATCAGAGGAGCTCAATCTTGGTGAATATTCCATGATGCCTTCGATAATTTCATCAATCAGTGCCCTGACAGTAACGTAGCTTGAGTTACTATCAGTAACAGAGTTATCATCAGTAAATGAGTTATCATCAACAATTAAGTTATTATCAGTAACTGTATCATCAGCAACTAAGTTATTATCAGTAACTGAGTTATCATCAGCAACTATGTTATTATCAGCAACTAAGTTACTATCAGCAACTGAGTTATTATCAGTAACAATCGTGTTCAGAGGGAGATCTGGCTGCATTATGTATGTGCTGTTGGGTTTCTTAAGGTACTCATCAATTTTCCTGCCTTGCCATTTAGTTAATTTTTGTTTCTTACTTTGTTTGGGATTCTGATCAGGTGATGAGTTATCTTTCTCTTTTTCAGGAGTTGAATTTTGTTTGTGTTCAGATTCTTTCTCTTTTTCCTTATGGTCTGTTTTTTTATTCTTGTTTTCTTCTGATCCATCTGAGAAAAAGAAATTGGTTATTGCTGTGCTGATGAGTTTTTTTATATCCACCTTTTTCTTCGGACTGCTGTTCTCTTGATTTTCTTCAGTGTTAATGATTGTTGGCTTTTTTCTTTGCCGTTTTGTTTTTACTCCACCTTTTGGTGGTCTTCCTAACTTCTTATTTTTTGGTCTTCCCATTTTTTTTTGTGGAGGTGAAGCAGTTGATGGTTTCATCTTTTTAGCAGGTCTTGATGGTAAAGGTGTCATTTTTCTTTTAAGAGAACTGAAGGCGTAACCAAAACCCAAATCTCTTCTTGGTATCGAAAACTGGAACCAAATATTAGTTTACGTTACATTTTCGTAAGTTTTAGTGTAAAATATTTGCAATTTGAACATAGAAACCCCCAAAATAGAATAGATCTAAACAGATTAGAAGAATATGTTGTTGTTGTTTTTTTTTATTAAATTAATAGTTTAAGGAACTTACTTTTATTAGTAAAAGAACAAGATCATCAGCAAAGCAAAGATCTGCATCAGCTTAGACAGTAGACACACACAAAAATATCAAACCTGTTTTATGGTATTTTAATAGTCCTTTCTGTTTCCTAAAATGTCTACAAAAGAGACACGTGTTTCAAATAAATTATGCATGAATGATAAACTTAACTCCAGTGATTTATTGTGTTTTTGTTCAGATATAATAACACAATATATTATTTTGTTTCAGTACTGTAAATTTCTTTCGTTTGATTGGAAAATTAATTTAAAATATTAACTTTAAGTTACATAATAATAAACATACCGGCAATATTTGTGCAGGAAACAGTGAACTAGAAAGGAAGGTGAAACATGAAACTAAAGCATCCAAGCGGGAAACAAAGGCTTGGGAGGTCTTCAAGGAGGAAAAAAGGTTTATGCTAGCAGTACACTATCACCGAATGTTTCGCCGAATTTTATACTTGATGTGCGACGACAAATGCTGCCAAACCTGAACCACAATCTCACCCAGTACACGCTCACCCTTGTTCGACAAACACACTTGCTGGTAGTTAAACTTCCGGCACTTGCCTTTGCTTGTCTCCTTTGACTCGTCCCAAAAACCAAAAAAAAAATGGAGCACAGGCGAGCACAAATCATAGCGACGCAAACTATCCCGAGTGTACAGAGCAGACCGGGTACACTATCGTGCTCGTCTTAGCTCGCCTATATTCGGCGATAGTGTACTGTTAGCTTTACAATGTCAAGGAGGAATAGGGCTTGCAATGTCTTCAAGGAGGAAACCAAGGACTGGAAACGCTTCAAGCTTGTAACGAGTATCTAGAAACTCAAGTATAAATTAAGTGCATGGAAGAACATTGTGCAGAGAGTAAATCAACTAAGAAGGATCATACAGTAATAGCAAAACCAATAAAACCAATAACCAATAAAAGAAACTAAGTAAGGACAATGTCTGCAACAGTTTTTGAGTTGTCAACAATGACACTCCTAACTTTAACATCAATAGAATGGTTATATTAGGTGAAAAATAGTTAACTTGCTAATGCAGCCATTTTTCACACAGTGATAATAATCACACAAAAAATCAAATACCGGGTGTCCCAAAAAGAATGGATCAAAAGTAAACTGACATAAACACTTTATTATTAAAGATAAAAAGTTAACTTTATATAACATTTTTTCCTTAACTTCCTAAGCTCAATATATGAAAAGTTATAAACAAAATGGTAGCATTAAAAAAACACTGTTATATAATAGGCTATTGAAATTAAAAGGTAGTATTAAAATACACTTTTATTCAATATATAAAAGGTAAATTGTAACTTAAAGTTGGTGAATCAGTGGGAAATTAAATTGTGCTAGTATAGGGTGGACTTCTCAAAACTTGTTTTAGACAATGTTTTGATAGTAGCATTTTATACAGACTAACTACTCTAAAGGATGTATTTTTATTCCACTAAATATTAATTTTAGCAAATTAGGGTTTTTAATCGATGTTGGATTTTATTACAAATAAATGTCACTAAATCTCATCAGTTTTGTGAAAATAATTTCAGTTGTATGAATAAATAATTGTTTTAAATCTTTTAAATAAGAGTTTAAAATTTTTAATGATCGTGCACCGATTTGCATGATATTCTTGAGTTATAATAACAATATGAAAAACGCAAGAAAAACAAAACAAAATATTTTTACCTAAAAATAACTTTAATAAAAAGAGTTGAAATAGAAACAATACAATATAACAAAGTATCAAACCAAAAGCAAAAATAACAGTTATTTCAAAGCTGCAAGCTAGAAAAGTAATTTCAGAGCAGGCAGAGGAAGCGTGTTTTTCAAGCGGGATGTGAAGCAGAAGAAGCATGCAGGTTATGTAAGAACCATATTTACAGACCTCAACAAACCCACGTTCGGAAACTCTATTCTTGAGTCGAGTCAAAACTACTACAGGGCTCAGTCTATCATTATCACATCGTCTTCCTCGTCGTCCAGAACTATGATGTTTGAACGATCTGAAACAAGTAAAAACACCAAGGTTTAGGTTGTTGATCGTAAATTAGCCAATCATGAGAGAATGGATTGAAATGGATTAAGGAGGGAAACTTACAATAAATAATTTACAAATAAAAAACTTTTTTAAATTAAAACGTTTTTAAACGCACTAAAAAGTAGAAAATAATTTATAAATATGTGGAGAGTATAAATACTTGTAAGATTTAAAACGAAAAACGTGGGGTGCATGCAATTGATGATTATACATTAGTTTAAATAGGTGAAGGTAATTGTAAATTATCTATTGCATGCACCCCACGTTTTTCGTTTTAAATCTTACAAGTATTTATACTCTCCACATATTTATAAATTATTTTCTACTTTTTAGTGCGTTTAAAAACGTTTTGATTTAAAAAAGTTTTTTATTTGTAAATTATTTTCTACTTTTTAGTTTTTAATGTGTGTGGATGTTAAATCTATTTCAAGCATCTATATGAGACTAGCTGTACCCGCGGGCTTTGCCCCACTTTATAAGTGAGCTCGATCGCATGGCTCAATCACGTCCTGGTTTAGGTTGGAATCAAATGTTCAAACGTTCTTCAAATGTTGCCTTGCCATCTCCACCACCTGTCTGTTAGAAAATAAACCAATATACAAAAGAGCTTTGCACTACAACCTTTTAGCTCAACACTACCACTAACATGCCTCAAGAACCATGATTTCATGGCTACAGGACAAACCATACTACTCAGAAGCCAAATTCCTGAACAAACCCAATGGAGCTCCCCCTCAATTCTTCTAAAAAAATAAAGAAAATAAATACTGTATTTGTAACTAATTCTTGTAATTGCTTGTAATTATTTACAATTAGGCCTATTGACGCCTGTACTATTCTCAACAAATATGTAAATAAAGGAATGTTTATTGTCTTACCTTGCCTGCGTGAAGTGGTCCGCTGGGGCGTTGAGATTGAGGCGGCCCCTACCCCTGTGTTGACGGAGATTTGGATGTTCGGCATCTGCACTACGCCCATGGGACCTGCCCAGCTGCTGTTATCGCAAGAAAAATACTGTAAGAGGAGAGAGAAGCATTGGTAAATGTGCTTCCCTCAAAATTAATGAGAAAACACACAACAAAAACCTACAAAACTTCAAAATATGTCAGTGAAACTTGCCTTCAGATTAGCTAGCTGATTTTTTGCCAAGGTTAACTGTGTACTGGTATTTACTAAGCATCATAAGTTTAACCCCTTCGCTTAAACTTATTTTTACACCTAACCGGGCCAAAAAAATGAATTATTTCTGTGTAATTTTACACAATTTACAATATTTTTACCTGCACTCAGAATTTTGTATTTGTATATCAAATACTGTTATTTTTCTAATCAGAATTGAATTTAGATTAAAAAAAAACACACATTTTATTGGTTACAAGTATTTTTATTATTTTTTTATACCATATAATACAAAAAAAAATTTAAAAATTTTTTTTATTTTTGCCTTTTTTAAAAAACTTTGACTATAAAAGTTAAAAATATCTTACTGTTCTGCCTTAAAATACTGATTGACATGTTGTAGACTCAAAAAGATATCAAGCAAAGTTCAACTTAGTATGATATGTCTTGAAACATTCGGGTAGGTGAAGCGCAACAAGGCACATTTCGCACTCCCACCGACTGTCACTACGCTTCCCTTGTGCACTACAAACTTTACAGCGTCTTGATGGGTTTTGCTTTACTTCATTAGGTGGGATTTGTCTTGGGAAATGACCCCAAGAAGCTGCTTGAAGCCGTAGAGGGGTTTCAGATGTTGATGGCCGCCCTCTTCGTTTGTAGGCCGGTAGTTGTCTGGTCTGGAACACTTGCTCCGTAAATTTACTTTTGAATTCAGCAAATCCTATCTTCTTCTGGGTGATTTTTTTAAAAACAACATAAGAGTTGAAGAGAGCTATGTCCAAAATGTAAAAAAAAATCTTCTTATACCCTTTAGCATATCTCCTCATCGTAGGAAAAGAAGCGAGCTGTTGGTCTTCTCGGTCGATACCGCCCATCGAGCTGTTGTAATAGAGGATGGGTTCAGGCTTGGTAATCACCTCACCGCTGACTCTGTCTCTCTTTCCAGTTGTTTTTTTGTCTCCCTTACTGTGGAAAGTAGACAAGACACACACTTCTTTCTTGTCCTGCCATCTAAGGGCCATCATGTCGTGGCTAAACGCAACTTCAAACTCACCGACATCAAGTTTTCCACTTTTGAAGCTGTCAGGCATATTTGTCCTCCAAGAGTTCACCGTGCCGATCACATTGAAACCAATATGTTTCAATCTATAGTAGAGGAGAGGTGAGGAATACCAGTTGTCAATTGTGAGGGTATGACCATTACCGGAACATTCCTTGACCATTTCAATGACTATGGCCTCGCTCACCAAAAGTTTATCATCCTCAGCAGTGTCTCCACCCCCTTCTTCCACTGTTTCACCTTGTTTCACTTCAGCACCGGTGTATATTTTAAATTTTGTACAGTATCCACTGCTTGACTCACAACATTTGTAAAATTTGATTCCGAACCTGGCTCTTTTCTTGGGGTTGAATTGCACATACCCCAACCTCCCACGAAATTTCATCAAGCTTTCATCTACTGCAATGTTTTCATCGGCCAAATATAACCGTGAAAACTTTTGATTCATGTAATCAATGACATACCTCAGTTTCCACAGTTTGTCATTCTGAGGCTTATTTTTATTATCACAAATATGGAACATTGTTGATAAGAGCAAAAACCTACGAAACGGCATAACTTTTCGAAAAAACGGAGTCTCAGTAGTAGCAGTAGGGGCCCAATACGATTGAATGGTCCTTTTCTTCACAAGTGACATCAAAACACATAGACTGTAAAAACATGCCATTTCATCAGGAGTTGTTTCAAACCATTCAGAGAGTAACTGTTTATCTTTACCACTTGCATTATTTTTTTCAATTGTCTCTTCGGCGTATTTGTTCGTTTCTGTAGAAACATGTTGCCAAAAATCATCCTCGACAAACGCGTTGAATACTTCAACTTCAGATGGAGAAGGGCCTAAATTTCTTGCTAAGCTTGCCCTGACACCAGGACAGCCTGTAAAAGGTATTTTGAAAATACTATTGTCTTCTATGGTGTTGGTCCATTTCCAACCTTGTTTTTTCTTTTTCTTAGCTGTTTTAGGTTGGCCCTTAGACCGTTTAGTAGGCTTAGGTAGCACTAAACTAGGATTTTTTCCTTTAGGCCTACCTCGTTTACTTCCCCTTCCCCTTGATCTACCAATAGTTGCACCTCTACTATACTCAGGTACTTGACAAGGAATGGTTTCAATAAAACTAGGGTCATCAGCCTCAGCCTCCTCACTGGGTGTAGGAGATAGTGCAGGTGCAATTACCCTACCTCGGTAAATTTTTTCCATAAATCCAACAGGGTTTTCATCATCAGAACTTTGCTGTTCATAGGACACAGGACTAGGCCTATAAGGCACATTTTGAGGGGACATAGGTCGGGCATAACTACAGGAGGGCTGGTCATGCAAACAATCATTATTTACAGGCTTAGGCCTAACATGCAGGTCATGCAAACAATCACTATTTATAACAGGCCTAGGGCTAGCATGCTCTGTCACACCATTATCAGCTAAATCTTGAGGTTCACAGTCAGCAATACTTATACTATTGCATGCTTCACTTACGTGTTCATTGTTTATTTCTAATAATTCATCATCACTCTCAAGCCTTTCTTCAAATAAATAACAATCACTGTCTGAGTCACTGTCACCTTCAATTAGTTTGGCAATTTCACTTTCGTCCAATTCCCTTCCACACTCATCAACAAATAAAAAGTTACTCATCTTATTTATTTTATAAAACAACTATTTGCAAACGAAAAATAGAATTCAACATAATATAAATACTGTTGTGAAATGACGATGTAAACATAAACAAACAAGGCAGACAGCTGCCAAGACAACGTTCCCAACGTCAGCTGGTAAATCGTAATTTTCAATTGATTGTTTTTGCCGATTGGGCAGGCCGTGGACGACGAAAATACAACCAAATGAAAGCCTGAAGCTTGCAGAACAAGAAGCATATGCGATCTGTTGGATTTTTTGGGAACTAACTCGGCAAATATTGGTTTTAATGGCGGACGGCGATTCGCCGTCGCTTCACACAATGGCTCGCGGGAGCACGACGGCGAATCGCCGTCGCTTTAAGCGAAGGGGTTAAGATAATAATTATGCTCACTGCCCACGTTTTGTTTTGCTTATTGCAACCAGTTTGACCAAATTTACATAAAATTATTCAAATTTTTCTGAGGCAAGATTTCAGATCGAGTTGCTAGTTAGAGATTTTTACAAGGGATCAACATGTTAACTTTGTGAGGAAGTCATTGACTAGGAACAATTATCTGTGCTATGAAATGCTCACATATGATGGGGACACCCAGATACCAGTCCAGCATGCTAGAGCTTATGAATTTACCATATTTAATTTATGTAGCCAGAAACATTACATTTTAAATGTGATTTTAAGACTAACATCTATTTTTTTATTTTTTTTATTCGCCCACCAAAAGGGACATTGAAGAGGACAGACAAAACTTATTTTAATTTAAAGTTTCTTCCCTTAGACATTGCTTTTGGATACAGTTAAGTAAACTTCCTACTGTAAAACCTGAAACATGTTTCAATGGGTGTTTCATTCCCGTTAGGCCAAAGCTGTGTCAATGCTAAATAAAAAGTTTTTCTTTTAGTTTTTAGCATAAGTTACTACTTGTTAAAATATCAAAAACCGATATATGTATTTATTTGGTTTGAAATGGCATTCTAAAATGTTTAAAATAAGTAATAACAATAATTAAACCTCAAAACACTAACTGCACTGGACAAAAAAACCTTAAAATTATCTTCAGCTCACCAAGGTATGTGATTTTAAATTATCGCTTTTTAGTTTTAGATAATCTAACCAGCTCGAGAAACTCTCACATAACACTCATCATATTTGTATTATGAGTTGAGTGATGTGATGATACGACCAGTATCACACCATCACCTGACAACTTTATCTAGCCTACTTTAGAAACGGCAAGTTTGGTGTTCCGGTCATTTTAGGGTTACTACTTACGGACACGGGGTGGCTAGTGCTTGGTTTGGGGTCCTGGGTTTGCACAAACAAAGGAACTAGCATTACTGAGTGTTAGACCAAAGTATTGTTACAGTCAAGTCCCACAAACTCACTATTTGATAGCTTGGCAGTGAAGTTTTTTCGGCAAACCCATCTTTTGAAATTCCACTTTCACACAATGATTTTATTAATAGCCATGCAAGCAGCCATGTTAGCAAACTACAGAACTCAGAAGCTGCAATAATTGCATAGTATGTTGCCTTTGTCATTTCCACTTAGCGCCATTGCAGTTGTGGCCAGGGTTGCCACCTTTGGTTAAAAAAATCTGTATGTGCCCCTCCTCCCAAAAGATTCACATAAGCAAAAGCACGGACATAAGGGATCGCAGTCAGGACTGTCACGACAGAATCGGGATGAATGGCAACCCTGGTTGTGGCCATTGATATAGGAACAAATTAGTAACGCATCTGACAATCGGAGCGATAGCCAGTTACTCTATCAGTTAATGAACTTTATGGAAAAAGTAGGTCATAAATTGTTCAACAAGATAAAGAAAAATATAGGGCATGTCTAAATTCTAAATTAAATTAGTTAAAATAATTTTTTTATAAGTTTTTTTTTTGTCTTAATTTTTTTTCATGATTAAACCAGCATTTCTCAAGCACCACATTATGCCAAGTTTGTAGAACCGTACTGTACCATTTTTTTGTGAAAACACACAATGTGGCTTGACTTTTTACAAATAGTTATAATCAAAGGTACACAAAGCTATTGAGCTATTGAGCTATAGTGAACTAGTGTTTTTATATTAAGAAATAATCTACATTCTACATATTGTTTTATCATTGTGTGTGTGTGGTGAACTCAAGACAGCAAAAGAGATATGTGGAACTGTTAATCTAGACACAAATGTTTAATCTCTAAAAGGTAAGTAGCTTATACTATTTAGTATAACTAGGAGTTGAATTAATTTATGAAAAAGGCATTAGACCTATCAAATATTTTTAATAAATCAAAAATATTGTAAAACTCCCCTGGTTCCATAACCGATTAAAAGAGTAAAATGTATTCTATCTATCAAGTATAGTAAATATTTTGTGTTTGTTGTGCCAGGATGAATTCTTTCACTGAGGTTTTACGCTTATAAACAATTCTACTGTCCAATAACAATAACAACTTACCTGCATAGGAACTTGAGTTGGCACTGGTTGGACCTGGGGTTGAGGTGGAGGAACACTTTGGGGCACCGGCACCATGGGAGTATAGCTTCTATATAGCACCGTCCCGGGCGGATAGTCCTCTGGGCGGAACGTGGCAGGGTCGACGATCACAAACGGTCCCAGATTGGCAGCACCTTCAGGTAGCGAGGCGGTGGAGAAGCTCGTCGATGGCGTCGGACAAAACGTCGATGTGCTCGGTTTTGGTGAACGCGACGGAAGACTATAGATCACCTCTTCGACGATGGGCGACGGTTGTCTTTTGGCTGGAGGTTCCCTGTCTGTGATGTCGACGACCTCGTCAGGTATATTAACATCCCCTTCAACGTTCAGTCTTTTATCTACACTATTTTGCACTTTTATGATTGGAATGGTGGACCCGTCGTTGGTTTTCAAACAGCTGTTTCCCTTGGGACCTTCGACAAACTGGAAAAAAAATTGTGTTAGAGAAAAATATCAGAAAATGGATTAAATATGAAATGGATTAGAGAAGAATGATACCTCTGTAAAAAACTCCATCGCAATAATTATTGTAGTCATAAATGCTAAAGGTAAATGGGAGAAAATAAAAAGCTTGGAAAAAAATAAATATGATTAAAGGATTTTGATTATAAAAGGAACATTATTTCCAACATTGAGCTGTCTTAATTGTAAAATATTGAGAATCGATGGAGAAAACTCAGTTTGGAGTAAATGAAGGCAGATAAATAGTGTGGGTGAATACCTTCATTAGTAGGCTACAAAAGGCCATGAGAATGATAGTAAAATATAAGTAAGTAAATCTCCAACACTTACTTCCACATCGTCGTCATCACTATCTACAATGACAACAGCGTCACTGTCCCTGGAGGTGTCTTCTCTTTGAGCTGCACTGGCTGAAGGTACTCTGTTTGCATGTTTCTCCGGCCTTTTGTGCGTCCTCGTGTCAGTGTCTTTAGTTTCCACAAGGGGAGAGATCGACCTCTTACGCGTGCTCGTTTGAACAGGTTTGGTTTCCACAGGGGGAGAAACAATTCTTCTTCTTCCTCTGCGATTTGAAATGGTAACTTTCTCACTCTCATGAGAATCGTCGTCACTATCCTCCTCCTTAACAGTCCTTTCTCTTTCTCTACAAAAATCAATTCTTGATTAGTGATATAAATACACTAAACTATAGACTGATACTATACGGCAAAGCAATGGTTTAAACTGTTTGTTTCATATTTATCGTTTACGTCATATCTGCATGTGTTTAGATAAACTTGAGAGATTGTTCAGCCTTTACCTATCAGCAGAAACAGATGCTATACTGATACTATACGGCAATGGTTTAAACTGTTTGTTTCATATTTATCGTTTGCGTCATATCTGCATGTGTTTAGATAAACTTGAGAGATTATTCAGTCTATCAGCAGAAACAGATGCTATACTGATACTATACTGCAAAGCAATGGTTTAAACTGTTTGTTTCATATTTATCGTTTATGTCATATCTGCATGTGTTTAGATAAACTTGAGAGATTGTTCAGTCTTTACCTATCAGCAGAAACAGATGCTATACTGATACTATACGGCAATGGTTTAAACTGTTTGTTTCATATTTATCGTTTATGTCATATCTGCATGTGTTTAGATAAACTTGAGAGATTATTCAGTCTATCAGCAGAAACAGATGCTATACTGATACTATACTGCAAAGCAATGGTTTAAACTGTTTGTTTCATATTTATCGTTTATGTCATATCTGCATGTGTTTAGATAAACTTGAGAGATTATTCAGTCTATCAGCAGAAACAGATGCTATACTGATACTATACTGCAAAGCAATGGTTTAAACTGTTTGTTTCATATTTATCGTTTATGTCATATCTGCATGTGTTTAGATAAACTTGAGAGATTATTCAGTCTATCAGCAGAAACAGATGCTATACTGATACTATACTGCAAAGCAATGGTTTAAACTGTTTGTTTCATATTTATCGTTTATGTCATATCTGCATGTGTTTAGATAAACTTGAGAGATTATTCAGTCTATCAGCAGAAACAGATGCTATACTGATACTATACTGCAAAGCAATGGTTTAAACTGTTTGTTTCATATTTATCGTTTATGTCATATCTGCATGTGTTTAGATAAACTTGAGAGATTATTCAGTCTATCAGCAGAAACAGATGCTATACTGATACTATACTGCAAAGCAATGGTTTAAACTATTTGTTTCATATTTATCGTTTACGTCATATCTGCATGTGTTTAGATAAACTTGAGAGATTATTCAGTCTATCAGCAGAAACAGATGCTATACTGATACTATACTGCAAAGCAATGGTTTAAACTGTTTGTTTCATATTTATCGTTTACGTCATATCTGCATGTGTTTAGATAAACTTGAGAGATTATTTAGTCTTTACCTATCAGCAGAAACAGATGGATGGATTTCAGCTGTCCGAGCTGTCCCGGTCAACCTGTGCCTGTTGCCTTGTGTTCTTGCGTCTTCTGAAACATTTCAAAATGCACCGTTACATTAAGTACCTTCATTAATTAAGGTAAGGGTTTAAAGTTGAAGAAAGTTTAAAAATAAAGAGTGAGTTAAAAAAATAAAGAGTTGAGAGAGATGGTCTAGCCTATTATAGATCAGATGTCTATTTCATTGTGCTGAATGTTTGCTTTTAACGAGATTTCATTGGTTATGTTTTGGCATTCACTGTCCCAAAATTATTAATACTATCTTTAGGCCAATAGACAACACTAGGAAGCCACTCTTTTTCTCTGCATTTTCTATGACTAGTTTTCTACCAGACAAAAACTCACCTTCTTCCGACTCCATATTTCCTGAACAGATATCACAAATAAACTCGGGGGACTTCCATTTGAGCCGGCCACAGCCGATGTGCATTCCTTGCGAGCCGCAGAATTTGCAGAGCACCAATTCCCATCTCCTGTAAAACAACAAAGAAGGAACATTTCTTGAAAATATAAAATGAAAACTACAGCTTGTTTAAAAAGCTGTTATTAGAGATGTTGTTACATCTCAACCATTATAGGAATTTACTTTGAAGTTTGTCCTTGATTTCTTTAATTTATTTGTACTTTTTTTTGTTTTACTAAATGCCAAAGTACAATAATTCTTCAGTCCTATAAGAACAGAAAATCTTGGTTGAAATTTTGGAAAATATTGATGTAAAAATTTTCCTAAGAGGTACAAATATTTTTTTAAAGCTCAATGGTGAATGGTAAATCCCATTTCTGTAAACATTACGGTTCAAAAGTAATTGTAAATTATGTTATTTTCCCATAAAAACCCCATAAAATAACGGAAAAATCGGATTTCCCCAAAAATGGCCCAAACGATTTTGATAAAAATTTAGTATGGTAGTCCTTTAAATTCTGAACAAAATTGTACAAATCCCATTTCCGTATATTTACTCTCACCGCTTACACATGATAAAGGCTGTTGACAAACTTATGGGAGAAAGTATGTGTCAGAATGCTGATACCGTTTATTTTATTTATTTTTTTTCTCTAAGGTAGCTAAACATTATTGCTTTCCAAAATCAACGGCAATTTTCCTAGAGGGGAAATTTTCCTAGAAGTGCATTTTTTGTTTGTTTTAGGAACATCATATACTATCCCTTATTTAATATGAGAACAACTTAACACGTTCACTGCGGGCGTATCCGATCGCTGCTGTTCAGGTGCTGTTCAGGTGCTGCCCTAACCGATCGGATACGCTCGGCAATGCCTTTCGTATATCTTCGTTTTTGCTCTAGCGTCGGCCGAAGGCGGACCTATACCACATTAGCGTGTAGTGGGTGACTTGCTTTTTGTTGTGTTGTAGGTTGGTAGTAAAATTTCCCCATAAAATCCCCGTCTGGCAAACTTAATAATCAACTTGTTGTCCCGTCTTTCTCCCTCCAATTGGAAATACAATGGGACCAGCTACGTTCCAAGCAGTGCTGCTATCTGTGAGTGTTTAGCAAACTACATCGACTCTCGTTATAAAGCAGGACATCACAGCTTGTTATTAGCTATTCGTCATACCGAAATATGAGAGCCAATCACCCGGCAATCGGGTTTGTTCGACCCTGCGGGCTTCGCCGCACTGGGGCTACGCCTGCCATTTCATGACCCGCAGCAAACGTGTTAATGCCCAGTTGACTACATTTCTTAAATAGCTATCAAAGAGACCCAAAAGTAAAGCCAGGTTGAATCAAAATATTGATTTACTTACGTTCCCTGGTTATTGAACTTGCGGCCGCGAGGACAGCTACAGGCCACACTGTCGCATGTGTCATGTCTGACTAGCAGATCTTGGTACGCATTGGGTACACACTCCCAGGACGCGTCCCTGCACACGTACACACTTAGACCAAACATAACTTTGTCCTACAGCACAGCCATACAAGCCCTTTCTCACTCTCATAGAAGCTTAGTCAATTACGTTAAGATTGAATTTTTATGAATATATTGATAGATTGTTTGATTCAAAGAGGACCTTTTTTAGGCACTTGCCGCACATGTAGTTTTTTCCCTGTTCTGTGCCACAGGGCTTGTCAAATTTAGGTTGCTTGATCTGAAGCGTCCTGTCTTAAGAATGCATTAAGGTAGAAGGAAGGGAATGGATTCACAAAGATCTCAAGAAAAGTGTGTGAGTTTTGTGCAGTTTATTATACAGAAAGGACACAGCATAATTAATTGATTGGATATTTTGCCTATAAGTGGGCTTCTTCCAAAGAAAGTAGTACCTATAATGGCAGTCACAAAACTGACACTGTTCTCAATATTATGTTGGTTATGTATTCATCCCTTCTTCCCAAATGTGCATTTTTAAGCCAAGTCATCTTATTTTAAAGAATTTATGAAATCACGAGAAAAATAGAATTAAAATTATCATACAAATTTGTATTCAACACCATTCTTATGACAATTTGGGGAAAATATTAACTCTGGTCTCAAACCTGAACTTACTTTATTATCCCTTTTACAAATTGAATTTTGGCAATACGAGTATATAGTAGTGTAGTTGAAAAAATACATGCAATAATTAAATACAAGACCTTTTGATTACCAACAGTAGGCAAATTGGTTTATTTCTTCAATTATTAAAAAGATTTATAGTAGTATAGATAACACAGCGACCATGGTGGATAAAAAGCAATACTAAATAGATTTTTCCTTAAATAGATTAGCCGATGTAACATAAAAGACACATAGGCCTACCACATGAACCAAATGTATAGATTAGCAAAAATACAACAAATGAATAGTTTGCCCCATTGGTAAACCAAGCAAAATGGAAACAAAACAAACACAAACCAAAATGAGTGAGCAAACAATAAGGCGTGTATGGCTGTACTGTTGAAGCAAATAATAAATCAACTTAAACCAAAACCATAAACATAATGAGGATAAGGGTGGAACATATAGCACAAAGGGTCTAGGTTCTCAGAATTTGTTGTGAGGATCTCAGGCTTACCTGATGGGAAAGAGTCCAAACTGGCACAGTTTGATGGAAAAAGCACAGTTTGGACTCGTTCCCGTTCAGGTAAGCCTGAACTTATATGTAATCCTCACATATAAAACCCCAAAAACGTAAACCTAAAGAATGCATATTATAAATGTAACATAAACATGACATAAAGCAATAGGTTCAACAACAAGTAAATAATAATTTTGTAAAATCAATATTTTATAAGTTTATATTAAACAATATTTCTTTGAAGATAAAGAAAATGTCCTATTGTGATACGCTTGAATGAAACCTTTTCTACTGCTAGCTATGGAGACAACCCTAACTCAAGTCTGTAGTTTGCGGTATAAATGGTGTCATAACTTTATTTTTATATTTACTAGTAGAGAAATTTGTTTAAAGAACCAAATTCGATTTACAACTCTGGCATAAGGTACAAACTAATAAACATCATACAAAAAGTCAATAAAATTTATCAATTAGGCTAGCAATAATTTACAAACAATTTTGATAAAGTTACATCACTTAATACATTGGAATAGGTAGTCATAATTGAGTTATCGAAAGTAGATATGTAATCTTTGGCTTCCACATTGGGTGTAGATAAACACCTTAAAACTCAATGATCTTTTGTGACTTCTATGACTAAAAGATATCCTAAAAGCCATGTTTTGTTACCAAATAGATGTCACCAACACCCAAACCCAAATCACTTTCCCTCCAACGGGTGATTCCCTTCTGTTAACGCAAGCGTTTACTTACTGCTCGGGAATGTATACACCAAACTCCTTCATCTCTTTCTGGAATGTGCTTGTGTTGTTGCAAAGAGGGCATTTGAAGAAATATCCGGCACTTGTTGCCAGTTTCTGGAAAACAGGATAGTTAAAATTACATTTCTTAAGTTATAGGACCAAGACTAACTGAGTAAGATGTGTTCAGGTGTGTTGTAGTATAGTCGAGTTTTTGTTTTGAATCTTTCACAGACAGGAGCCATTGTAATTTAATCATAGAGTGTCTCAAATTTGGAATATTTTCAAAAATGTAAGCCTTGTGGGTACTTAATGAGGATGTTGGATTGGGATGTAGTTTAACGATCGTACCTGAGAAGAAATACCTAAGTTCAATACTAAGACATAATAATATCAATTCTAAGTTAAGTTAGCTAAATCCCGAACATTCTCAAGAAAATATGTTATGTGTTATTAAAATGTTATCAAACCAATTACAAAAATGCATTCTTCTTGAATGAAATCTTGTATTTTACAACAACAGGTTCTCTTAACCTAAGCTTGTGCAAACTAACTGATAACACGCGGGAATTCCTTTTTTTTTGTTATTTCAGTTATTTAGCTATTTTACAAAAACAGCTATAGCTTCCTTATTCAATATTATTTTGTCTTATATTATTTTAATTATTATCTATTTCACTTAATCATAAACTGGACGATTGCAGCATTTTGACACAAAACATAGCCTCAATATTTCCACTTGTTAAATATTTAGTTTTCTAAAAGCCTGTTTTTGTGACAAAAGAAACTGGAAATACTATTGCAGATTATAATGATTGCAGATAATTCTTAAGATATTACTATTGAAGATTCGCAGAAAAGATTTTTGACCCAACAAAGGATGCGATCCCTCAGAACAATGTCAAACTAGTACCAATGTCCCAGGGCGGAACAGTTCCTTCTGTGAATGCCAAAATGAATTAGCAAAGGGGCGGAAATGTTCCATCCAAGTATGCTAATGAGTTAATAGTAGGACGATCAACCTGTTTAAAACCGGCAGAAAAAAATCACTTAGGACTCCTGGGTTTTTCCAAAATTAATTATTACAAAAAGTGTGTAATTATGGTTAAAATACGTAAAACATACATAATACCTTTTGTAATGCATCAGGCAAACGCATAATCTATCCATATATAAAAAAAAACTTTAATTTAGGGAAATTAAAAATATGTCAGTTTGACCAACCGAGCCATTATAAAACTGTGTTTTGATGTTTTTCTAACTAACATTATTTGTTCAATCATAGTAACACAATGTTCAGCAGCAAAAAAAAAACATATACAAATCATTAACTGGTATTAAGACTCCCCAAATAAAAATCTTTTAAAATAAATCTACACTATACTATCTTATCATATAATCAACATAAGTTAATTGACCATTTGAAGATATATAGGCTTAATTAATTTTTTTTTTTAAACCATTTACTATACCTGTACACAGTCCCTGTGAAAGAAAGCGCTCTTTTGACAACAAGGTGCCCAAAGGGTTTCATGGATAGGTCGTGGTACGACCTTTTCGTAGCATATCCCACACATTGCGTTCTTACTTGATTCAGCTAGGATTTTTGCGCTTATTTTTTGTACCGGCCGATGCTTGGCACAGAATGACCTGCAACCACATGGTATTATTTGACACACATTTAAAAACATGTAAACATTCATAGTTGGTTTCTATTTTGATTTTTTCATTGTGATTGAATAAGATCAAATTTAGATTTTTGAATAATTTTAATTAAGTTATGAGCTACCCGGTACAACAATAATGACATCTAAATTGACTTGTAGAAACGGTTTCTGTTGAGGGTTTGTTTAATAAGGTTACATAGGAAAAGTAGCACTATTACTTTTTCAATTCCATTGAACTTTTACTAATTGCATATTTTTCTTTAGCAGCTACTGATTTCATGGAGCAGTTTAAGTCCAAGGGTAGATGAAAAACGAAGAAGTTATAAATCAATCCACAACAAAATTGAAATGATTTAACAAAAATGTTATAATCACTATGCAAAAACAATGAAACAGAGAATATTATTTTGTGAATCAAAAATATGTACAAGGATAATGACTTACTTGAACTCTCCGAAAAACTGGTGCAAAGTTCCGTGCTTCATCCCGCACGGAAGGTGAAACACTACTTTACATTTGGCAACAGCACATCCTAAAGTGGCACCTCCACTGCGACAGTATGTGCAGTACTGAAACGACAAAATGAATAAAATTTCATCATATTCAACTGTAGGATTAATTAAAATAAGTTTGTCTGAAGTTATAAAACTATTAAGAGGAAAAGGAAATGTCTACCTACTTCAGGTAATGTATCAATAGTCAAATGTATTTGACCTAGGGTCAAGTGGGGTAGGCCTAATTGGGATCAGAAAATCATATAATCTATTATATTATTAAAGTGATACAATCAAATTTTATGTAAACGGTTAAGGCCATTTACCAAATAAAAATATAGGCATATGGCACATCAAAATTAAGCTTAGAGTGTGTTGATTTGCCGAAAAGTATTGATATGGACGAATTTCCTAAGGGCTCTGCCCCACTGGCTGATTTCCAAAGGGCTACGCCTGGCATGCTTCCTAAGTTTACATGATTTAATTTAATTTAGTTTGAAACAGCTGGTCAGTACAAAGAACTGGTGTTTGTTTATTTACTCAAAAAAGACGTTTGTGACGCTTTATGTAGATTTAGGAGGGCTATGTTTGGTTTTAAAGAAAGAATTGCTCAAAGTTTCATTTTGTAATTTATATAGTAAGCTACATGTAAAGAGGCTTGACTAAAGTTGAAGAATTATGGTAAAACATGTCATTCGTGAAGCATCAATATAAAGCAATTGAGCTATTGCTACGCTAAGGTATGTTGTCATATTCTTTTGGATCGACTAACATAAAAAGTAAGGGCTTGAAAATAAGCAGGTTTACACTTTTAAATCAGTTTATATTTTCAAACTAAATCATAAAGTTGCCGTATTTTAAAACGCACATCAGAATTACTTTAATAGCTCTCTAGGTCACATTTTATTCCCGTTGCAAAGCACGGGTATAGAAGCTTGTTCATCTTTGAAGTCACACAGTTTTATTTTTTTTTAGTCAGTATAGAGCTATGAAACTTTGCACACAAATAAATTGGTATCTTAAGTGATTGCTGATTTAATTACCAATTTTTAGGTAAAGTAAAAGTATGGAAAAAAATGGCACGTGGTCCCAATTGCCCCACCACACCGGGGCAAATGGTATCACAGTTGGTATTTTCCAAAAGCTTCTACATAGATCAGTTCTGGACTATTGGGATATATTCCATGTTGTCAGTTTTCAGAGAAAATTAAAATTTTTGAATTATGTTAACAACTTTGGGAGTTACAAGCTTTTTTGCGGGGCCATGTCAGAGGTGAAATTACTTATTTTGGAAATTACTTATAAAAATCATGTTACCGGTAGACTCCCTCTTATCCGGAATCCTCGGGACCGAGGCCAGTCCGGATAAAGGTTTTTCCGGTTAAACCGACGTCCCCAGAATCTCGTTAAAAGGGACCATTTAAATGCATACTCTATACAGTATTTGACTTCAAATTAGGAGAGCTTTGTATTTAGACACGTAATCACTGGTCTCAAAACTTTCCCACAAGAACAGTCGTTTCAGTACCGCCCACTTACTGCCGATCTAGTCCGGTTAAACCGATGTGCTGTTAAAAATTATCCGGATAAAGAGATGTCACTTCTACCGAGTGTAGTCCGGTTAAACCAATGTCCAGTTAAAAGGTGTCCGGATAAGAGGGAGTCTACTGTACTTATTATTAGAAAAATTATTATTATTAAGTAGGCTAAAAAAAAAATAATAAGTAATTAAATTAATATTTTTTAATAATTAGGCTACTTTATAATTTTAATTAAGTAATTAAAATTATTAAGTAATTACCAAATTACTTATATTGGAATCATGGTGATTCCAATTACTCACACCCCGTGATTCCAATTACCCCATGATGCGTTTTAGGGGGTAATTGGGATCACGGCTATAACATTTTATCTGTTCATCTAAAGCTATTGTTGATATTTTTTATGGATTCCTTGATGAAAAATAAGTAAATTTCAAGTCTTCTTGTCATTTCAACACTTCCAGGAAAAAATCAGAAAAATACCAAAAAATCATAGGCCTAATAAAATTTGTGTGACAAGTGTAAATGCAAGCATTTAGCAAAAAAATCACAAAAAATAATAAAATGTGAAATTGTTATGAAAAAAATTTGTGGTAACTGAAAAAATACCCCCGCCGCAGCAAACCTGCAGACTAAGCGAATTTATATTGCCTGATTGGATTGACACTAAAATCATAGATAAAACATACTCCCTTAGTAGATTAGTCATCCTAATGGAAGCCAATTTGATTGTTAGTTCTGTACGTCCAACTACATAGGTTATGTTTTGTTTACAATTTGTTTCTTGTTATTTCAGTCATTTAAAACCTCGTTTAACCTAATAAAACGATATAATCATAAACAATAACTGGTCTCCTAGTTATATAACCAAACAGTAAAGCAAAAATCATGAAAATAACCCTAAAATAATAGAAACAAAATGTTGTCTACACTAGCGATCAGTGTGGACGTACATGAACTAGACGCAAAAAACAAGCTTCAACATTTACAATGGGATGAGGAGTCTACTTGTGTTGCTTAGTCTATGCTAAAATGTCTCTTTAAAAATGTCACATTCATTCCTTATTTAACGAGTGCTTAGGTTTGTTGCAACCGGGGGGGGGGGGTAAAAGTGTTTGTTTTTTTTTTGTCAAATGTTAATAGTTTAGTAAGAAATAAATGAATTTTCCAAATTTGATCAAAATATGTTCATGAACAAGAAAACTAGGGCCTACAACAGTTTACTTATTTTATTATCTGAATAAGATGGGAATTTTTAATTTACAATTTTTTGGCATTTTCTCCGTAACCATTAGGCGCATAATAACGCTTCAATATACTAAATTATTTGTTTTTTTAAGCTCTACAAAATGGTTAAGAAATAAATTGCTAAGTTTTATGTTTTTTGTGCCAAACATGGGAAAAACTAATTTTTACCCAATAAAAACCCCCATAAACCCCCTTTCCCATACCCATAGTCCGATCATGCTGGTTCGCAAACTCGTTCGAATAAATGTAGGTTTACACGTTTATGGATCGGTCCCGGGTATAGGTCTTACCATGAGTACTACGGTAATAGCTTATTCCTTATATGGGAAATTCGCTAAAAACAAATGAGGTGTTATAAAATTCAACATGTGTAATTTTTGAAGCAAAAATAAGATCACTGCAACCTGTGATTCCAATAGCCCCTTGTTCCCAATTACCCCACTTGACCCTACTTGTTACTTGATATCCATTGAAACAACCAACTTGGAAATTTTTGTTACAAAAGGCTAGCCTACTCTTGGTGTCAAAAACTTTATATTCTCTATTGTTTTTATTCAGTTGGTCTACGATTTTAATATTAGGTCTCTGGATGGAATTAAGAGTGCAATCGTCTGTTTCTGATTACACAAGATAGGACTAATATGACTAACTGGATAAAAACATGATCTAGGAACTAATTCAATGCCCTATTGTTTCAAACACATTTCATTTTTAAAACAGTTTTTTTTTTCCTTTTAACATTTCCAAATTTCAGTAATATGCTATATTAGGAGGTCTCTATTTATACGAGTCATTAGACTACTATTTTATGATACAAAAAACATACTTTAAATTAAAACATAAGCCCAAAACATAACTTATCAAATCATAATTTTAAATAATTGCCTATTAGTGTTAGAAGAGGTGCAATATTTTTGTGATTAAGCTACTTACAAGTCGTGCCCCTCTTCTTACTTCTTTATGAATATCATTCCCTAAGAATCCCAGGATTCCATCAGAATCTCTTCCATTTTGTTCCATGTTCGAAGATAACAGCTGAAACAAAACAAAACCTTACAAACATATAACCTTGTTAAATACGTTCAAGATGCCTCAAAACGCCTAATTTGGGGCGCAACTCACATAAAATTACAAATCCTTTTAACTTACTTGAGCCATCCACCACTTATTTTTTTTAGGTATGCCTCTCAAACTAAACTCTGTCACCAGTGGAATAGCCTACTAATTAGTTGCACCGTAAAATCTATGCCTAAGTAATGGTATTTTACCAGGCTGTCTCAAAGTAGCAAAAACCATCCCAATTGTAAAAATTACTCGTCTCTGCCATCCACTTTAGGCCAATCTCCATACTACCAGCAAAAGTTTAACTGATGGCCTACCTTAAAACCAATAATTTGTTTCTGCGGTGTAGCATGGTTCCACGACCATTGCATTGATCTATCCATTAACTTAAAGATCTAACTTATCCAACAATGTCGGCCAAGGGTAAAGGACACAAATATCAAGTATCACTCACATCAAAATGCCATCCTGTATCACTCACATCAAAATGCCATCCTAATACTACTTTTTAGAACCACAAATAACAAAACAAACACACTTACCAAACAATAATAGTGTGTGATAATGTTCTTATGCATATAGACAGGACCGTATTTCATTTCATCTATATCTGTCTGGTGACAAAAGACACATTTCTGGTCTCCTGCCAAAGCTTCTAGCTTCTTGCACTCTATCTTTGTCTTCCCCATATCTGATTTTTGTTGCCTCCTTCTATGAGCCTGAGCCTAGAAAAGAATTCAAACTAGGTTAGGACAATGGCTAAGAAGGAATTTAGTATTAAACAAAACGCTAGGTTCTGACTTGCTATGTGTTTTAGTTACTATTGGATCCAGCTTTGTTGAAACTTAGTAATCCATTAAGTTTTAAAACCTGGCACAGTCACTTACTGAAAGCAAAGTTGAAACCGGTACAATCAAATATCAAGTTGCATAGGCTAGCGAGTAAGTACCCAACATAGACTTCCATTGACTTAGGAAACACAATAAATATAAGCGACTAAGCAAGAGAAATGTTTTCTAGCCCTTCTGGCAGATCTTAATTTTATTTTGCTTGACGATAATTAGGCTACTATAGTATAAGTAACCAAGTAAAAACCATTGCTAAGTTTAACCCTAAAGTTTTATGCGGATTCCTATACCCCTAGGTTGCAAAACAGGGTAGTTGAAACCTCAGAAAATAACCTAGGCCTCAAGGTTAGAATTAATCTCTTACTTAACCACCTAAAACAAACTTTTATCAGTTGATTTTACCTTACAAAGATGGGTTGTTAGGAACATTGAGGTGCTGAAGTAAGTTAATAACATTTATCATGCACGACACAACTATCCTAACACAAAAATACAAATCCTCCATACAAAAAATAAATAAGTAACTTAAACACAGTGAAGCAACCTTTAATTGCATGCGCAAAACTAAGTCCAGGTAATCGTGAGACCTATTTTAAATACGGTAATCATAATCTTACTAATTACCCTCCTAGTTTGCAAAGTGCATCAGTGGTTATGTTTTATTTTGACACAAGTTTATGGTAAAAAAAAAACTTAATATATGTCACATATTTAAGCCTATTAAGTTTACCATGTGTGCAATAAAAAAAAAAATACTTAGGGGATCAATAATCAACTTAAAAACAGCGCATTTCACATGCTTAATTACTCTCCGGCTAGATAATGCAAAAGAATTACAACATTGAACGAACAAAACGAAATTTAAAAGAGGCGGTGAGGTAAAATGATAAAGGTGAAATAAAATATTAACAGAATTATTATTACAACAAACAGTAAAATTGGACGAGCTTTTAGAAGACTCACCTCTTGTTTAATTTCTTGTTTGACAATACACTTAGTACAAAACCAGTCTTCTTGTCCCCTACTTAACTTTAAATATTCCGCTAAAGTCATTCCCAAACATTCTCTGTGATGCCACAAAGAACACTGGCCATCACACTGGACTGCCTCGTCAGTTTCTAACACATGAATTCCACAGATCCCGCAAGGATGAAATTCCATAGTCCAGACATACAGAGTTTATCTCACTCATTCATTTTTCACTGTTCACTTATTGTACATTGTCCAAATTAGGCCTATATTGTGTCTTGTTTAAGTTGATAGGCTGTACACTGAGAGAACAGGTTAAATGCCATGATGATAACAAGTCTCATGCAAATTTCTGGTTTTGACCATCAGCCTAGTTTCTAGCATCAGGACGTGATAGGGACATTGGATTATTTGATAACTGTTAGTTCAAGTTACATTATTGCACAACCCAACATAAGAATGCTTAAGCTTAGAAGTTAAATGTTTTAGTTGTTAGCACAGACCAAGGGGAGGTTATTAGCCTTTACACAGCCAGCTGAAAAGAGAATGATTGTTTAGCTTCTAAACTGATAACTATTTAGGGAAGGTCTAATAGCTCTGATAGATGTTCTGATGCAACTTTCCCTAATTAATACTTTGAGCAACTAGTTTCAAAATCTGTATTTGGACAAGTATTTGATTCTAGGGTTGGATAACAAAGCTCTGGTAGAATCACATGCTAGCCTAAGTTATATTGTTTCTTCGAATTATGGTCCTAAATGTTAATTCTCGTGTAAATGTATCGTGTGCTGTGTGGAACTGCGTGTATGTGTGTGCGTGAACTATGTGGAACTGCAAAGACTAAGTTAAGTGTTTTAACAATTTTATGAAGATAGAAGATATGACAATGGGGCAGCATGTCTCAAAACTTTTAGTCGTCCTAAAAGACCACTAGGATTGATCACGTGAAAAGGTACCGTAAGTAACCTAGGCCCTATTTTTTTAGCAATTTATACTTATCAATCCAGGAGGCAAAAAACATGTATGTAAATAATATTTAAAACACATTGTAGTTGCCAATGATGACAATACTGATTGACAAACCTATTTAATAAACTCAGGTACTCTTAACAACTTAACAAACCGAGAAACAATCACAAAATATCAATGCAAACTAAGTTATGGTGTTGTATTGAAACACGCCTTGACAAAATAACTTGCCAATGATGTAGTTGCCTTCAAAATTAACAACAAGCTTTCAAATCAAAGAGAGAAGACCACATGACACTGATAAAATTAATAAATTAACAACTGGAATCTACAACTTAAAACTAAAATGTTAACTGTGCTAGCCTAATTTTTAAATAAGCCTAGGTCAGACCTCAACATCGTTTACCACGATATAAGGAAAAAGGAAGGAAAAAACATTTAAGTTTAAATGAGGCTTAAAGGATACTAAAGAAAAAACTACAGTTGACATTAAAGTTTTTTTTTAATTTGTTTGATAAAATGCTTGTTTTATTTTATCAAATCCAAACATGATGGGGTAAACGTTTACCCCATGCAAGCTTCAGCGTTATGGCGATAGACACAGGCACTAGGGTTAACTAGATCTCAATATGTCAACCATCGGCAGCATACCTTTGAGTTTATGTAATATTTGCATTCTGATAGCCATTGCATATATTGATTCAAACTTACAGTAACCTAATGGATCCTCTAATCATAATATTCTAGGTGAGAGTAGCCTCTTAAGAAGCCTCTCGTCCAAACGCAGGGTGTCTACCAGATTTCTCAAATGGCATTCCCCACTTTTTCCCGACTTTTCATTAAGTTACCATTTTTATATAAATCCCGACCAAAAACTCGGTCCATTCTCCATGTCACTACACCTTTTTCTCGCGGTCACGGTACCTTCGTCAAAATATGTTGTCACTTGCGACGCAGTGAATTCACTGACGATCGAAACGAATCATATGCCGAGAAAATCCCATATCAAATGTAGGGGTGTGTGAAGCAGCAAAACATTTCAATTCAAAGCAACGATTCGATTTTAAAAAATTTTATGTTATTTGATTCGAAGCAACACCGAATTTTTCTATTCATACTTGTCAGTAGAGTGAAATATCTGTTTGCAATCATACATTAGAAGAACCAGTATTTCTGGAAATATATCAGTGAGCTTCTTGCCTATTTCATAATTTTTACTTGCAGCATCATGTTGTTAAGCATGTTACCTATTTTATTTTATTGATTTTATAAATAAAGATATGTTTGGGTGTAAACAAATAAAAACCCTTGTAAGATTTAAATAATGAATCTTTCAATTGGTTTACATTGATAAAATAAGAGGATAGAATCAGAACTACAAGGTATACATAAATTTCTTGTATGGCGAAGCAATGTCTCAGTGTATGCCATGTACTTGGATGGTAATAACTTGTATGGCTAAGCAATGTCTCAGTGATTAACTTATATAATTAATGTCAATCATTTGAATAATGTCAATAAGTTATATGGATACTGATAGTCAAAGTAACAGTATCAATGTAACAGTCAACTGTATTGGATACTGATTCAAAAACGTATATGGATACTGATTCAATAACTTATATAGATACTGGCTCAATAACGTATGGATACCGATTAAAAAACGTATTTGGATACTGATTCAATAACGTATGGATACTGATTCAAAAATGTATTTGGATACTGATTCAATAAGTAGATACTGACTCAAAAATTTATGGATACAAATTCTAAAACGTATATGAATACTGATTCAATACCTTATATAGATACTGATTCAATAACGTATGGGTACTGATTCAAAAACATATATTATGGATACTGATTCAATACTGTAGCCTATATAGATAGGTACTGATTCCATAACGTATTGATGCTGATTCAAAAACTTTTTGGATATTGATTCAATAACGTATGGATACTGATTCAATAACGTATATAGATACTGATTTAAATAACATATGGATACTAATTCTAAAACGTATATGAATATTGATTCAATACCGTATATAGATACTGATTCCATAACGTATGGATGCTGAATCAAAAACGTTTTTGGATACTGATTCAATAACGTATGGATACTGATTCAAAAACGTATTTGGATACTGATTCAATAACGTATATATAGGTACTGATTTCAATAAGGTATGGACACTAATTCTAAAACGTATGAATAGGCTACTGATTCAATACCGCATATAGATATTGATTCAATAACGCATGGATACTGATTCAAAACGTATATGGATGCTGATTCAATACCGAATGTAGATACTGATTCAATAACGTATGGATACTGATTCAAAAACATATAGGCTATGGATACTGATTCAATAGCGTATGGATACGGATCCAATAATGTATATAGATACTGATTCAATAACGTATATGGATAGGCTACTGAATGCTCATGATTCAAATCGTTATTTTGATCATCACTGAATCGAATTGGAATTCCGATGCATTTTCGATTCATCCCACGCCCCTCAAATGTAATCCCGTCCCAATGATCAGGAATATAAGATCCAGAACATTTTTTAACAGTTTTGGGACCTGTTCATCCCTAATTTTGAAAGGTTAGATTATTCCCGACTTTCGGCCGAAATTCATTACTTTTTCACGACTTTTCCCGACCTTTCCAAATCCCTGACTTTTTCCCGAATTTCCCGGAATTCCCGCCTGGTAGACACCCTGAAACGGCTACAGTATTGGAATGATTCCATTGTGCATGGAATAAATAGTAGGCCTAATCTTGAATTTAGTTTACCGTACGCTTAACTTAACTTAGGACTCTTGCTATCAAACGTGGAATAGGCCTAGGCCTACGTATTTTTGGATTTAGGAAAAAAATACCAGGCACTAAGTTAGATAGGTTAGCCTAGATTTGTGAAAACAAAATTTAAATTTGTGAAGCGCTAAGTCACGGATATTAACCTTTTCCAGTAGGCCTAATTAAAATAGCCTCACAGATGTTAGGCTACATTAAAATAAGTAATTTGTCCTGAATTTTAAAATAACTGTCGTTTTCCCCGGAAAAGTCGAATAGGCTAGCCTACACACAGAAAAACTACTTTGATTTAAGTTAATTTTTTTCATATCAAAATAGGCTACACATTTAAGGTATATTTAAATTGTGCAGAATTCAACACTAGGCGCCCAACCCAAAGTAAAAAGGTACCTAGGCTACATAAAGTAACCGGTAACCAGATTCAACTTTGAATTCCACACAATTTACTAATTTACATATGCTACGTGTGTTTTGATATGAAAATAATTTCGTTGTTTTCTAGTTTTCCGTGTTTGTTTGACTTTTCTATGGGAAACAACAGTCATTTTTGAATTTGGGAAGTTATTTAGCATCATTAAAGTGTAGAAATAGCCTAACGTCTGTGATTGATTAAATTAATCCTTTTCCAAATGAACAAATATGCAACAGGCATCAGAATCCTAGACTAGCCCTAACTTATGTTAGCAAGACCTACAGCTGTAAGCCTAGGATTAGACTACCTAGCCTACTCAACGCAAACTGCATTTAACTCAGGGGTAGACTTCCGTATCTGTTGACATAAACAACCGAATGAAAATAGCCTAGCCTATCGATCGATCTATCGATTATTTTTATTTGATAGGCCTAGGCCTAGGCCTATATTGTTTGGTTGGTTAGGGCCTAACTTAGTTGCCATTTATGAGGACCAAAGCCTAAAATTCTAACACTTTGTCAGGCACAAGTTAGGCCTAGAGCCTAAGTCCTAAGTTAAGTTAGTGCTGAATAAACAAACCTAGCCTAACTTAAGTTAGGCCCTAGACGAAAAATAAACAACGATATGGCAACTGCTGCCTAAGGTTAGAAATTATTCTCTAAATGAGAGTAACATAACTCTCAATGAGGTATAACATTGATTTTACGCAAACTTTCAAAAATTATTTGGACTAAAAATGTAAAACATTAACATAGTTACCTGATTAAAGTGAGTTGGCAGATGAAATTAGGCTTGTTATTTTTAAACGAACTAAAGATTTACTGCGTGACATTGTAAGAAACTATTTGAAAGAACTAGGTATTAAAATGATACATGATGTATTATAAATCCAAGATCCACGCAAAAACTATAAATTAATTAATGACAATGTTCGGAGACTAGCCTCGTTTTTGCTTTAAAAATGTTGTTAATAATAATGGCGGACCCAACCAAAGTCAACATCAACAACAGTCAATTTCTGAAGGTCAGATAATGAAAAAGGCGGTAAAATGTAAGACACAGTCCATATGAAATCTTGTGGGTGGATGTACAGTACAGCAAGAATACTAATCGATAATTAATTAATTATAGTACTTTTTCCTAATTTCTATTTTCAACAAAAATATTAATTATTAAAGAACCGGAACCAACTATCGCTGATTTTGGGTCTTGTAGTAGTTATAACAAATTATTGATGTGTACACAACAACTAAAACCTTATCGAAACGAAACGAAATACTAATGCGCCGGCGCATTAGTATTTCGTTTCGTTTTCGTTTCGATAAGGTTTTAGTTGTTGTGTACACATCAATAAATTCCAATATTTAAACAATCTTAGAATCAACTTATCTATTATCCCAGTACAACATATCTTTTGTGTGAAACACAATTTGTTGTTTGTCTTTGTTTGCTTTTGTTGCTTGGTGTTAATTTAAATAAATAATATCAATGACTCCAGAGGTTTAACCATGCTAAAGGAAGCAAACATATTGATGAATAAATTTATGTTTACTAAAGTAGCTTTGGTCTTTTGTTTGGTTAGTGATAAAAATGTTTTTATAAAAAAAGGTTGATGTTACTTAAAATCATTTCTTGAGTCAGTTGTATTCCTGGATACTCTTCCACATCTTGCAGGTCTTCCCATACCCTGTTAGCGAATTTCCCTATAGGGAAGTAGCTATTACCGTAGGTGGCACGGTAAGACCTAGACCCGGGACCGATTTACTTTTTCATTTTGATGTCCCCAGAGGCCAAAAACACCATTCGTTCAAATTTTTATATATGTATATATATATATATATATATAGACTTATATATATATATACGTCCGTGAACGCGATAACATGAGTAATTTTTGTCCAATGTTGATGAAATTTGGTTTAAAGGTGTAAAGCGGGATAAACTTGAATGAGTTCGCGAACCAGCACGATCGGACCATGGGAACGGGGCTTTACGGGGGGTTTTATGGGGTAAAAATTGGTTTTTCTCACTTTTGACCCTCAAAAATCAAAATTTCCCGATTTCTCTTTAGACCTTTTTAAAGAGCTTAAAAAAAACAAATAATTTAGTACCTATATAAAAGAATTTTTGTTCAATTATTAGTAACGGAGAAAATTTAAAAAAATTTAAATTTAAAATTCCCATGTTATTCTTATGGAGAAAATTGTCAAATGTTGTAGTTTGCTTGTTTATGGATATATTTTGATCAAACTTGGCAAATTTATTTATTTTGTACTAAGCTATCAATATTTTACTCAAAAACACACTTTATTAGTTTCTTTGTATTAGCAAACCTAGGTACTCGTTAAACCTAATGTTATTAAAATATATTTAACTGAAAATCAATTCAGACAAATGGAAATTCGCTTAGTCGGCAGGTTTGCTGCGGCGGGGGTATTTAGTTACTTCACTCATTATAAAAACAAAAAAATTAAACAAATAGGCTACATTTCATTTGGAAACTTTATTTAGCAACATTGACTTTCGGCGAATAAATTTAAACATTGCAAATAGAGTAACAGCTGATTAGAATGCAGACGTTTTTCAATCCCCATGCGTTCTTATGGTGGATATTTTAAGTTATCTCGTTTTCTGGTAACTTTATGGAAATTCTGCTATGTTTCCCGAATCCCTGGGGTTAAGACCTTTAATTTAAGACCCCACCCACATTTCTGCTACTTACCAGACGTCCACAATTTTCTGGTAAAGAAACTTTGACCTTTTTGAAACAAAACTTTCCTGAATTTGACTTTTTTTTTTAAAAATCAATACACCTTGCGCAATTCATTTAACTTGCCAATTCCTAAACACAAAACTTCTTTTTTCAAAAAACACACATTGTACATTGGCATAGAGCTTTTCAACTCACTTCCATTATCCCTCCCTAGTAGCACAAATATACAGGGCGATTGAAAAGTCTGGGTACGGCTTAATATTTTGAAAAATAATAAACGTAGACCTACAAAACTTGGAATCAAGTTATAAGGCATATAAATCTATCTTAACACATATCCAGTGATCCGCTACCTCCTCAGGGGGACGGCCCGCCAGGAGTCAGAAGAAAATCTTAAATGGAAGCATAGGTCAGTATGCACATCAAATTAAAGGTCTTTTTTAGTAAAATACAATGCCGCAAACCGCACTTGAAAAGGTTGATCCTGCGCAAAATGACAGTTGTTCAAAGATTCATTTAATTTACATTGCTATTATACGCTTTCTCCTCAGGGGGCACAGCCCTAGGAATCGGAAGAAAATTGTTAACGTAAGAATAAGTCGATATGCACATCAAATTAAAGGTCTTCACTTTTAGATTACGATGCCGTAAATTCAAGCTCAAAAGAATGCCTGAGTAAAAAATGGCAGCCGTTCAAAGATTCAAAATGGCGGATTCAAGAAATCTTTGAACATCTGCCATTTTGCGCAGGATCAACTTTTTGAAGTGCGGTTTGCGGCATTGTATTCTTCTAAAAAAGACCTTTGATTTGATGTGCATATTGACCTATGCTTCTATTTAAGATTTTCTTCTGACTCCTTGTGGGACGTCCCCCTGAAGTGTTATTGAATCACTGAATATGTTTTAAAATAGAGTTTTATGCCCTGTAACTTTGTACCAAGTATTTTAGCTCTATCTGCATTATTTTTTAAAATATTAAGCCGTACCCAGACTTTTCAATCACCCTGTATATTAAATACATATGAAAAATATATTTAAAATCTATTTTATATATCTCAATTGTGTATTAATGTTAATTTTATATAATATTTCAAATATATTAAATATATAAAAAATATGTTTTTAAATATATTAAATATATAAAAAATATGTTTTCGAATCTATTAAATATTAAAAAAATATGTTCCAATAATATATTTTAGTGAATAATATTTTAATAAAAAATGTATTTAATATCTCTTCCAAGCATCCCATGGGGCCTAAACATAAAAACATAAAATAATGAAGATCTGGTATGAAAAGCACAATAATCAGTTGAGTAAATTGATTATAGTTCATAAAAACAAATTTTATTTTTTTTTCCTTCGACTTATGAGCCTCTTAGCTTACCTCTGAGCTACTTGTGACTGTTGTTAGCATTAGTTTTCAAATGGTGAAAGAGTGGCCGTCAGTTGCAATGGTTGCAATACTTGAAAAATTTTTGATACTACACTATAATATGATTCTGTTAATCTGTTTTTCCGTCATTCGTTTTTTAAAAGGTCGCCAGTCACTAGCACCCTTTTCTAGCTAATCATTCGAGATTTCTATGATCACATTCATTGTCACATATTGCAATTTAAAAAATAAAACCCATAAACACTTTTTTTCGTTTGACCCAAATGTAGGCTGTCGAACATGTATACTGCCTCTTAACTATATGCGTAATTTTTATTATTATGCGTAAATATGCGTACTTATTATTATTAACTTAATTTTAACGCTTTCACAATAGCAATTATCATACAAAATATGCATGTATAATTTGATAGACACTATAAAAAACAAAAACGATGCAAATTATTTATTCGCTAAATATAAAAGATTATAGGCTATATATTCTACAAATATATTATTATTTTATTAATAAAAATATCTGACGTGTTTCAAAATATATTTATAAATACTTTAAATATATAATATAGATTCAAAAATACGTTATATATATATATTTAAAATATTCTCAACATATAATTTTTTTTAAATATTTAATAGGAAAAATATACATATAAAATATGGATATTATAGATTCTATACTTATTTGATCAATATATATTATGAATCTATTTTATATATTCAAAACTTATATTTAATATATATTTTGCATTGCTTTTTGGTAATATTTTAAATATATATTTGAATATATCAAACTATTATTAAAGATATATTATTTATATATTTTATTCGAGGTTCTATCAAATACAACTTTAAATATATAAAATATTTATAAAATACATATTTGTGATACTAGGGCTTAAGTTGGAACCAAGCCTTTCAAAATTCAAAAAACCATTATTATTGTAAATATTTAAAAATATATTAGTAATTGATGTGACTTGGCTAATGCAAACTGTATAATTGTTAATTTGGCCTAATAAAATGATTTGATTTGATTTGATGATGCAACATGGCTACATACAAAGAATATACACAAAATACAGAAAATACAAAATATACAGATATACCGAAATACAAATACAGAAATATACAGAAAATACAGAAATATATAGAAATACAAATAAATACAGAAATATACAGAAAATACAAATACAGAAATATACTGAAATACAGACACAGAAATATACAAATAGTATATTTGTGCAAAATGTATGATAATTCAAAAATATTAGGAAAGATTACAACAATAAATGCAAAACAAGCAGAAATTACTTTGTGCTAAATTTCGTTCGGATCGTTTGCGCTTCAGCCGTTCAATATCAATATTTGGATTTCTGTATTTGGAAACTAAATTCAGGAGTGCAGTGCAAGAGCTTCAATTGAAGCGCATCCGCATCGCTCAAAAATATAGACATCGAAAATATAATCCATGTTGGTATGATCATACTGCACGAATACTAGAAAAATATTTTCCTAGTATTCGTGTGTTACTGTAATCATAAGCCTTGGATAACGCGTAGATAGCGAGCTATCATCTAAAGTTCTGATCGGGTCCGGGACGTGGTGACGTGAATTCTCGAGAATATATAATATTTCTACACCTTACATTCTCACGTATAAATATATTACTACTAGTTTTTTCACTTAGTGCTACGATGTCTACTAAATTCACCTAATTAGGAACATAAAAATCCTCATCCTCATCAATTGGAAAACTTATTCGAGGAACACGTTACAATTTATTATACGACACTAACTATTTCTTATTACATTTAACTCCTGTACATATAATAAATAAAAATTACTTTGTACTCCAGCTAGACCATGGATTAATTATACTCACTAAAGTCGCTTACTCACTAAAGTCGCTTAGTCTAAATCCATGATGAATTAACAGAAAATTGCATTTGCCTGGGAAACTTCATGGTTCTTCATCTAGAGCCTACCCTATGCGCTGTAGAAGGAAACATTAAAGCATATGAAAAATCTTACACAGCGTACAACGGTAGGGCACACGGGAGGGACTAAGGCTAACATATCTTGTAGTGTCAGCGTTCGCCGCTAGAACCGCTAAGTTGAAAAAATTTATTTTTTATTTTATTTTTACTTATAAAATTAACTTTTTAATTAAAAAATATTGTTTTTAAATTATAAAATAAATTTTTATTTTTTAAAATAAAACCGTCATAACATAACCTAACCAACCATACTAGAAACTGTATAAGATAAAAATCTAATTAATGATTACTTATAATTTTTAATTAATTATAAAATTAATTTTAAAATTTAGTATTATAAAATCAAACTGTCATAACCTAACCTAACCAACCAAACTTGCTGATATAAAAAATTTGTTGACAAAATGTTAGTACTGCCAGCAGGATTCGAACCCGGGACCTCCAGAACACCAATCCGAGACGCTACCAACTATGCCATGAACCACGAATTTTCTAGTATTCGTGCCATGAACGCCGCTGAAATCACATCGTTTCGTTAACGGTAATCGTGTTGCCTCAAGAGTAAACATTAGCCACTAGAGATATGACGTCACTACACCTTTAGCCTTAGTCCCTCCCGTGTGCCCATTCCCAGCGCCACAAAAAAACCTAAACCTAATAATAATAACCAACCAACCTAACAACCTAACCTAATTATTCATTCTTGGATTTGGATTCTTGCATTCTTCTAACTAACTAACTCAACAAAACTTGACGTTAAAATTATGTTCTCTGTTCTCCACTGACTCTTTCTTATTCCCAATTTGTATTATCTAAGATGTAATGAATGTGATTGTGATATAAACTTGAATTTTGAAACAGTAACTTAACTTAGTGATACACAATACGGATTTAGATAAGTTTACTAAGTTAGTTATCTTAGACTTAACTATTTTAATTTGTCTAGGCCTAGGCCTCAAAATAGATCAGGTACTGTAGGCCTATAGACCCAACTTTATTTAGATTTTCATTATAACTTAATATTGTATTGTAGTTGGTCTTATCTAACGCAGTTTTGTAGGCCAATGTTACCAAGTCATACTCCTGAAACCCCCAAATTCTAAAATGTTCTCGATTATAAGACATTTCAAGGTAAGTTAAACAATGAGTTTTAGTTATTTTAGAAGTAAATAAGTCTTCATTAGTTCTAGTGTCCATGCCAGTGGCAATTTTATAAAACTTAACACAAACACGCCAAGCTCTAAATAGGCCTAGGCCTAAATAGGCTGAGAGTGGTCAGTTCTGCCCGAATATGTTATTAGTCTTACGTCTTCTTCTGGAGCAGCAGTACACTTTGGGTGGCATGGTGTCCACACACTGCCAGACTATGGGCTACGGTAGTTGATATTGGATCAAAAAACGAAATATCAATAAACTGCAAGAAATTATTGATAATAATGAATGTTCCCTGTTAATTAAGTTATTAATAATAGCCTAACTTAATGAATTTGAGATCAACATTTTTTGTCGATTTGACACTCGTAGGGTTAACAGGAAAGTACTAATTAATTTAAGCTAAACTTATAAAGCACTAGATGTGAGTGCTCCTGGACAATTAACTTATCAGGCCTAACCTAAGCCTAAGTTACTTTAAAACAGTACCTAAGTTAACTTATCAATTCTACATTAGATAGAGAAGTTTGGCTTTTCATTAAACTTATTGATCAAATCAATTGTTTTACGTTCAATAATACGATGGAGCAGGATATCAAAGTTTGACCTAATAGTAAACCAGTATTCTTAAGAGAGATAGGGTAACATAAGACATTTATATCGTCACTTTTACATGTGTAATGCATGTATTTTTTTAACCTTACAAAACTAGGATAACTTAAGTTACTTAAATATTTTGAATTTAAACTTATTGTTTCAGAAATCATCTGTTTTGTTGAGTAACTTACCCCTGACATCTAGCACAGAATTTACTCAAAATATTAACAAATTTACAAGCCCCAAAATCATAGTGTCATATGTACATTCGGCAACAATACAAAAAAATTCTGAAGCCACTCAAGCTGCCCTTACAGAAGATACAGTGGTAAGTTTATTTCCGTTAGGTATTTACTGGTATCTGAGAATATTGGTAGCCACACTTTTTAGCCACTTTAAAAAGTTTGTTATTTTTGTGCATAAGCAATGAAAGTTCTTATATACAATTACATTTTCTTGTTGTAATTTAACTATAGGTGATCTAAGGATTGCCATTATTTGAGTTTTGTGAGTGTAGCTTAAGCACAGAAAACATACTAACTATAACCCAGAATGCCAACCGCATGGTAAAAAGCGTTTTTACTTTGAGAGAGCTTTGCCTGTCAATTCGTAGGCAGCGCCACCAGCATTGCTATGCACTCAGCTGGTGGCGCTGCCTACGAATTGACAGGCAAAGCTCTCTCAAAGTACTTAACGCTTTTTACTATGTGGTTGGCATTCTGGGTTATAGTAGTTTGTTTTCTGTGGTGTAAGGCATTTAACAATTAATACAAACCCTTTAAGAAACGCAATGCCTTTGTTAAAAATTCAGTCTGGGAATATTTTAGGCCTAATTTCGGATAGGCCTAGTTCTTACGGCGGCCGTAAGGCAGACTATTGTTAGCGCACAGCCAAGTGAGCTGACTGATTGAGAGAGAGTGAGACGAAGAATCAGGGTTTAACTAGAAAGAGAGAGAAAGTAGCACTGCCACCGTGCGAGAGATCCTAGCGGCAGCCAAGCAAAGCTCATTTCGGAGGCAAAATCAAGTCCGACTATTCTCATACTCCATTAGCATTTCACTTCTTAAAGGGTTAGTATTCATTGCCCTTTTTGATATTAAACTGACAAATATGTTCAATTCATGTTGTAACTTATCCCTCTTCAGATATTATGTTGATTGCAGCTGTCAGTTTAAATTATTTTAGGCTCATTGTAATTTTTCAAAATTTCAGTTGAAAATCAATAAAAAAAATTTAAAAACTATGTTTCAGTATTAATTCTATTTGAATACTGTAAATTAATTTTCAGAACGGACTGCCAGACAAACTGTACAAACTAGTAGAAGTGGAAGTAAGGGGAAATGACAAAGAAGTTTTGAAAAGTTATGCTTGGTTCACAAAAACTGCTGCTAACCACTTGGGAGTTCAAGTTGGAAAAAGGTAACTAATTTTAAACCCACTAATTAAATGTGGTAGGAGTTTCCGATTCATAGCTTAATATTATTAATAGATTTTAATCTCAACTTTTATTGGGATCAATTGTGTTTATTTTCTACTATGTCTGACATTGACACCTTGTTCCAGAGATCAAAACAATCTTAGATATAAAAATAAATGTTCATAATTAATGCGCACTCAGTATTAGTAGGGTTCACTCTCAATTATTACAAACGTCTACATTAAATGATTGTGGTCACTCAAGTTAGCACAGGGGGAAAATGTTTCCAAAATTAAATAATAAGAGCAGCAAACTTAAAGAACAACCAGTAGGCCTAAACAAGACTGGTATAGTAGTAATCAAAATTAAAGTCCCATGTCTGCAGGTAGAGTGGACCCGTCCTAAGCCTGCTTGTCAAAACAACGCTATTGTTGGGAGCTCGGCGATGCAGGTGGGCCGGGAATACCACCCTCCCCTCGCTGTTCCTAGAAATTCCATGTCCTACTACAATTTGCATAAATTGAACCATAAGACTTGGAGCATCATGCGAAGACTCATTTTGTTCGTCTGAGAAAGGGGAATAAAAACAACTTTGAGTGAACGCTCTACGATTTCCCTTTACCGAGTTATCAGGTCGAGGAGTTAAGTCTAGATGTATGAACCTGCTCAGGAATTTCTAGGAACAGCGAGGGGAGGGCGGTATTCCCAGCTTGCCTGCATCGCCGAGCTCCCAACAATAGCGTTGTTTTGACAAGCAGGATTAGGACGGGTCCACTCTACCAGCAGACATGGGACTTTACTTTTGATTCCTACTATACTGAGGAGCAGGAAGCTCTGGCGTGCATTTTTGCATACATTCTCTCATATTAAAAACAAGCCTACGGAAAATTTACTTCACAGGCATTCTAGGGTTAATGTAGTGAAAATGTTGTGTACTTTCAACGGTCTGGAACTCTACTGTTGGTTAAATTAGCTGTAGGCTACATTCCTTTCTCTTGAATGTATTCCTGGGCAAAGTGTTTTTTCTGGAAAAAATCTTACCTTTAACTATCTTTTCTATTCAGTTTTATTAAAATGTTGGTGCATTAAACAGGAATATTCTGCTTATTCAAGCAGTACCGGTAGTGACATCACGCTGTTGGTGATTTAGTCAAACTACATCCATTTTCATTTTAGAAACAGGTGAAGTTTCAATGAGAAAATGGGATGTCTACTGTACTAACAACTAACTGTTAATAGTCAAAGTCACTATACACACTAATGTTGGATTGACATAAAACATATCTCTTGCTTGAACCAAAATATTGATTAACCAGAAAATGTTTTACCAAAATGTTCTCCCTTTATTTTGATTAGGCTAATCTGGATTTTACTGCATTAAAAAAATTTCTAAAGGGTTGCATTGCAATTCATTGTTAGAATAGTACCTATCTGATTTGATTCATCATATCTCTACATTCATGAATGTTTTTTTTTTACTTTTTCAGTTGGACTCCCCATAAACCCCATCATGAAAGATATACAGTTTTACGATCGATCCACGTAAACAAGAAGTGCAGAGTACAGTACGAGTTTAGGACTTATTTCCATTTCATGCAATTTCACAAGTTGACTGGCTCAACTGCTGACACTTTTCTCGAGTACATACAACGCAACTTGCCAGAGGGGGTTGCGATGAAAGTCACCAAAGTAAGTTAAAAGACATAGAGTGCTAAAACCTAGGTTTTAAGGAGGTTTGTTTGAATAGCAGGTTTTTGTTTATAAGAGTCCTTCGTGGCACTAGAAACTCAGAGTTACTCCATCAAGTTATAGGTAGTAATCCACATGATTTCATTGATTTCTGATGAGATTTTTTGTTTCCTTGTACTTAAATGTGCCAGAAAATAATTTTTCTAAAGCTTGAAACTTTTCCAGAATTAATTGGTCTAAATATTGTCATAGATAAAACATAGTCCCTTAGTAGATTTCCCATCCTTATGGAACAGCTGAAGCCAATTTTATTTGTTAGTTCTGTCCGGTTTTCTGTAGATGTCGTGTTTTGTTTACAATTTGTTTATATATTTTTTGAGTTACTTTCTCATTATTTGTCTCACTGTGTGGTTATATAGCTAGTGGACGAGTTATTGTTTAAGATTAGATAGTTTTATTTGGTTTAAACGAGGTTTTTAATTACTGAAATAGTAAAATGACCGGTTGTTTTTAAATAATTGTTGGTTAGAATTTGATCTTTAATGAAAACAGAATATTGTACCTTAACATTACTAATTGAGGCGATAGACTAAGGGCCCTCTTCTGGGGAATGCAGAAATTGAATCTCCATGTATTTTTTTGCAAACCTACCAATTTTCATTTTGATATTTTTATTTTTCATTGCAGACCGATAGACCACGGCGGACTATACCCAACCTTTGTCAGCATTTTTCTCAAAATGTTGTTTTTGGTTATAGGCTCTTATTCTAGCTACCGCCTCAATTTTTAATATATGCAGTTTCCAATAAGTTAGAATAAGTTATATAGACCTCTAAGCTAGATTTTTAAAGCATAGGCTACCTACCAAACCTTTTCCTAATAGAAAATTGTTGTGTTCTCAGGTTGGACTAGAGGTTATTCCAGAGTACATTCAACCTCCAGAAAAAGCAGATAAAATTGAAACTCCTAGTCCAAGTTGAAGATCGTTGTAAAATGTAAATAATATAGCAGTAGAAATAAAATGAGTAAAAACGTACAGTATGTATTTGTTGTTTCACAAAGTTTTTCATCCCTATTCAATACCAACAAAATGTACTGTACAACCTAAGGTATCAATTAAGTTAAAATATTAAATTGTATATTTCGCAAGTAGAATTATCGAGGTTACATACCTTGAATATTCTTTGTTTCACTAGTTCTGCTAGCTAAGAAGTTACGAGGGCTAATCAGAAAGTAAGGATAGTTTTGCAACAAAATTAAAAGTTTGTACAAGATTACTATAAAGATTTGAAAGAGCAACTTAAAATAAACAGAAATTGTCTAATTTATCTTGCTGGTTGTATTCATTCAAGTTTATCCAGCTCAACTTCATTCATTCAAGTTTATCCAGCTCAACTTACATTTATCCAGCTCAACTTCATTCATTCAAGTTTATTCATCTCAACTTCATTCATTGAAGTTTATCCAGCTCAACTTCATTTATTCGAGTTTATCCATCTCAACTTCATTCATTAAAGTTTATCCAGCTCAACTTCATCTATTCAAGTTTATCAATCTCAACTTCATTCATTCAAGTATAATCTAGCTCAACTTCATTCATTCCAAATTTCACCAATATCACACCAAAATTACTCGAGTATATATTATTATACAATACTATGTGTTCACGGATACATATATATTATATAAATAAATCTTAGCAAAAAGTAAATCCATCCCGGGTCTACACCTTTCCATGGCGCCTATGGTAATAGATTCTTCCCTTTAGGGAAATTCACTAAAACGTGTAGGCCTACAACTCACTATATTCATTCATCCTACTAAATGTTAAGATTTTCTTTACCTTCCTATTTACACTTAAACATGTTATTACCAAACATACTACATTACTGGCAGCACTAAACACTGTCATAATATTACCAAGCAAACCAAAAATGTTCATCATTACAATTAAATAAAACAACAAAATTAATTTTTATCCACAAGAGTTTAAGGACAAAACAAAACGAAGTTGTAGTGAGAATAGATGTTTACTCATTAAAGATTTATACAGATTATATGACATCAAAAACAGTTAATGGTTATACTTAAGTAAAATATAACAAATACAAAGATATACATATATACATATAAACATCATTTGTACTTCACACATTAAACATTTACAAATCCAAATAACACTAAATAACGTATCCACAATCATGATTAAATGATTTGAACAAGAGGTTTCTTTACAATCAAAATTATTTTATAATTTCAACTCGTTCAGCATTTGAAACTGATGAGAAAATTTTTGAAAGACTAAAATTATTTCATTTCGTACTTATGATAAAAACATCCATGATGTAACTAAAGTATCTTTGTACTACAATATACGTCTTATTAACTACATACGACACCTAATAATGTGAATAGATTAAATCAACTCCCAGTTATTTATGTTGCAAAAGATAGTTTTTGGTGAAGGAAGTAAATTATTTTGTACTAAGACATATCATATAAAATTCCATATCAGAAACAAACTGTTAATAGGGCACATTTTGCTTAAAATGTTAGCATACAAAATGTTAAAACAACCCAATATTATTTTCATTAAATTCATTCACAAAGTTTCATTTGGATTGGTAACGTTAACGTTATTACTATTAGCTGGTAATAACAGAGAGCGAGTTAGTCTTAGTACAGCGCAGGGTTTTGTTACCCAAGGTCACAATGTGATAATGGAGTCACTCTTTAGGCCTGAAGAGAAGTAAACGGGAGGATATAAAAAAAAGTCCTTAGATTATGTGGCAATGCGGGATGGCGTTGTTCTACCACGTAAACTACATAATTGATTATTGGAAAAAGAGGCTGAAAACTCATTATATTTTATTTATTTGTTTCAACCCCCTAGATGCTACCCAATCCAAGTTTATAAAGCCTGTGTAAACAAACTAGCGTCTGAGGGTCCTGGTCAAAAACCAATGAGAACCTATTTTGCGAAGGAGTGGGGGATTGTGGGAGAGCCCCTCAAGTTGATTTAAGAAAAATTGTAAAATTAATTTTATAATTTTTTAATTATGAAATTAAACTGTCATAACCTAACCTAACCAACCAAACGTGCTGATAATATAAAAATGATATAAGATAAAAATTGAATGAAGTTTTACTAATCAAAAAATAGTTCTGTTCATAAAATAAAATTATAAATGCCTCAAATTCTAACAAAAGATGTACAGTTAAGAAGTAATCGCATTCTAAGCAAAATCTTTGACAAAAAGTTAGTATCACTGGTGGGATTTGATCTGGTTACCTCATGGACATCAGCCGAGTACTCTATTCGAACACCGATGGCTGCACTTCGTATAGTTGCGGTAATGGTCTTCTCTCAAGAGAAGAGAGTGACATTGTCCACTCCTTCGCAAAAGAGGTTCTCATCCGTTTCTGACCAGAACCCCGAGACGATATTGTATAAACACTACCACAATAATGCATAAGACAATAGTGAGCAAAGAATAATAACAATTAATTATTTATAATTTGTAAAGAGTTTGTGCTACCAGAAACAGATGACTGTACTATAGTCGACTTTGAACTGTTAGACAAATTTTATTTGTTTACCCCCAGAAGCGGCTGGATAAAGAAAAATCCTGGAGGACCCAAGGTAAAATATGAGAGATGATGTGTATTTGGCGGAAAGAAATTAGCCAACACAAGCGGAAAATAAAAGCACAGTTTGTTTCTGAGCTGGTCAAACCCAAATTAGTCTACCCGAGAATAAACTTCAAATATTGACATTAGCAACCCTTTATTAGAAACCCTTACTTAAGATTGTTAGCTTAACTATCAAAGAATGACATTTTATTAAAACGACCCAGTAGTTATTTTATTACCATGGGGAAATTACGAACAGCTACAGAAGTATACATATTATACATACTTTACTTACAATAAATACTGTGAAGCAAGGAAACTTCAATAATTTCTCCTCAAAGTATTTACGATTATACTTGTGTTCATACATAACATTAAGTGAGAACCTTATACTTACATGTGTCATTGTACATAGTAAAGTTGTATGTAGTAGGAAGGTCACTAGAAGGCATACATTAGGACAAAGTATTGTAACCAACGTTATATCAGTCTGATAGTTGTCTGCAAAGTCTTATTGTATAAACATTTTGTAACTGGAATATACTTTTAAATAAGTTTGTAACGCTCACATTGCAAAGCAAGTATTATTTGTCTACAATAAAAAAATAGTTTTAATTTTCTGCTCTCAATATTTGCAGACTAAGCAAAAATATATTAGCTATTTCAGTCTAAATACGTTGAGAAACGATTATACTGAAGGAAATAAGGTTATTTTTTGGCAGTGAAAATGAAAAATAATAGACTGTACAAGTTTGTAGGTTAGGTTAAGATAATAGTTTTTGTAACATACTTATTTACAGACGTTGTTTGAATTGCCAAAGAATAATTTGAGTACTAGCGAGAATATTAAAGACCAAGTACATTGCTAATGATATTATTCAATGCAAGAAAGAACTATTTTACACTGTAGTTCCTTCTTTCAGTAGGAATCACATTTATAAATACATACAATTTACATCTTACACCACCTTTGTAATCTTTCTTTGGGATTGACAAAGTTTTCAGTGATACTAAAATATTTCATTTGTCTGTATATAAATGTGTTTCTTATAGAGAAAACTAATCCAATGTATGGGTTAAGTATACTCTTCCCATCAAAAATAAAATCAAACCTATTACAGTTTTGCCTGGAGCCATTTATAATGCCAAACAAACCAAATTTGAATTATTTGAGTCTATGAAAATTGGTTCATCTATTATAAGCTGTATATGAGCGACCATCTTTTTCATACAAAAAAAGGCTAGCTGCTTTTAGCCAATATAATACATAGAAATCAATGGCATTTGACAGTTTGGCCTAGTTTTGACTTCAGGATTGGCACTGATTGGACAGCGAGCCCTATTATTTTTCATTAACCTATTATTTTCTGATGCAAACTAGGGTTACCAGAAACCTCCTGATTTGAAGACTATTAGGACTTTTAATTTACAACATTCAACAATATAAGATGTGTTAGAATACGAACAAAATTGAAATATGTGGATTTTTAAGGATCTAGCAGGCTTGCCTAAACAGGAAAGAATAAACATAGGTGTACATGTTTGTACCGAATTTCATAGAAATTGGAGGATTTTTGCTCCAGTTATTAACAGACACACATTATGGATTTGAGCGAATGGTGTTTTTGGCCTCTGGGAACATCAAAACAAAAAAGTAAATCGGTCCCCTGTCTAGGTCTTAGTATGAGACCTATGGTAATAGGCCTTTACCTCTACATGGGAAAAAAATCCAATCACGTTAGCTTAGTGTCAACTTCTAGGGATGAAAAGTCAGACAAGACACATACTATACACTATCTTCTCTCAGCGGTCTTTAATGGATTCCTCATATGAGTTATATTTTACCACTGGCTTTTGATCACCGCACAGACAGCCGGATTTAGCATTTGGGCTCCCTCTAGCCTTTTTTAAGTATACATATATATCCTAAAAACCTTCATACCAAAATTATATCAGGCACCACTCCACGATGCAATTTTATCATTACAAGTTTTAGCGAATTTCCCTATAGGGAAGTAGCTATTACCGTAGGTCTCATGGTAAGACCTAGGCCCGGGACCGATTTACTTTTTCATTTTGATGTCCCCTGAGGCCAAAAACACCATTTGTTCAAATTTTTATATATCTATATATAGAGATATATATATGTGTCCATCCGCACGATAACTTGAGTCATTTTTGTCCGATTTTGATAAAATTTGGTTTGGAGGTGTAAGGCAGGATAAACTTGAATGAGTTCGCGAACCAGCGTGATCGGACTATGGGAACGGGGGTTTATGGGGTAAAAATAGGTTTTTCCCATTTTTGACCCTAAAAACACAAAATTTCACAATTTATTTTAAAATCATTTTGTAGAGCTTAAAAAAACAAATAATTTAGTATATTGAAGCGTTATTATGCGCCTAATTACTACGGAGAAAATTCAAAAAAATTGTAATTTTAAAATTCCCATGTTATTCTTATGGAGAATAAGTCAACTGTTGTAGTTTGCTTGTTTATTAACATATTTTGATCAAATTTGCAAAATACATTAATTTCTAACTAAACCACAGTATCTGTTAACATTTTACATAAAAAAAAACTTTTTACCCTCCCTGTTGCAGCAAACCTAAGCACTAATTAAACTAATTCTGTTTAAATAGGGAATAAATATGATATTTTTAAGGAGACATTTTAGTTTAAATCCAATCAGGCAAATGGAAATTCGCTAAGTCTGCAGGTTTGCTGCGGCGGGGGTATTTTATTTTTTAATTTACTTGGTTCTGGGCATAACGAAATTCCGCCTTGAAACGCTTGAATTTGATATGGGTAAGCTCAAGTTTGTGGGACTGAAACAAAACGATAAAAAAAACCCGCAGAACATTCTTGCAACAAAGCACGGCCATTGCTACTCCCCCAATGGCTTCAAATTTCAGGCCCAAAAACATGAACTCCAAACAGTACGTGATACTGCATCTAGATTAAATTCGCAAAGCAAAATAAAGCAATATATTTTGTCCAACCGTACAAAACCATTCAAGCCTGAGAAAATGGTAAAATTGAAATGGCGATGCGCAGAGTATTGAATTTTTCCTTAACCCATTGCAAAATCAGGTTTATAGTTTTTTTTGCTAAAGACAAACTCAAATTGTTTTAAACATTAAACTAAACATATTATATATTCTAACTTGATCAAAAGTCATAGGCCAATCAAAAGATTAGAACGAATATAAATAACTTATGTTTTGTTCAATTTAGTCATTTGCGCAAATATATTAAAATATGTTGGCAAGATTTGGACGATAACATTGGCACTCACATATGCCCCTAATCACTCCGAGCCAGTATGGTGGCAGTGGCAAAACTGCTCTACGACATCCCTACAGTCATAGTCAAGCCAGTTCTGTGATTGAGATCAATGTTTTAACAAAGTTGACGTATAATATTGAAAAATAGTTTAACTCAAATGCTTCATTAACCTGATTTTTAATTAATTCCAAAAATATGTTAAGTTATGCTCATATATTTTTACTTCCAGATTTTTCTTCATAATTATTTTTTTACGTGCAAACCCTGGGAGCTTGCGCCCATGAACCAGGCCATCCGGGCCTTTTGGAAAATCCTACCCTACGCACATCAGCATATCCTTAGTGACGGGCATCTGAAGTTAGTAAAAAAAAAAAAAAACATAACAACCATGCTACCTTTTTCCTAGCTCGAGATATTTTGTGGGGACCGATTCGCCTACGGAATTCAATATATAGATAATTGCAATACTTCACCATCACTGACAGTATTTACAAATGCAGAAGGTTAAGTTCTAAAACTATCTTCAGTTTGAAATGCTGTCAACTGTGTGTACTGTACAGTAGAAAAGTTTAAGTGTTTGTGTTTCTTGTACCAAGAGGGTAAGTTCTTTCCCGGTCAGGGTAATCGGCTAACCTAAAAAAAATCCTTAAAACCCGCTTATTATGCCCTATATTACTTTAAGAACAAAATACAGTATAATGGATTCCATTACTCTATCCTGCTGAAAGTATTAGATTATCAAGTCTTCCGTAATTCCAACTAGGTGGTAGAAAAATTACACAATACATTTTCTACTTAGTATCTTAGTATTTTTTTATCTGTTGGTGGGGTTGTTCAATGAATTTCCACTTAACTTATACAGTACATATTAACTTAACCAATCGAGTATGTACTTAATTAGTTATCGAGATCTTGTACTGATATTTGTAACTCATTGATTTAACATTGTACTTGGTTTCAGTTTTGAACTCAATAATTGTTTTCTAACTTGTTAATGTCTGCAAGTTTTAGCTTTAATACTCCATATAAAGAACACTTGCTTAAAGTGAAATAAAGAAATTAGTTATGGCTTAAGACGGATAAAATACACCTGGCAAAATTAGTCTACAAACTGTATTCAGTTCTAAAAGGTCGAGAAACTTTACATATATTTACAAGTTTCCATAAACATTCAATGTTTTTTATATATTTTAATACACCTATAATTTGCTCCTGATCATTAAAAAATACAAAATATCAAAAAAACTTAAAATACATTTAAAAATTTAAAATCCTACATTTTGTTATAAATCAACACTTCCAAAATGTGTAACTTGAACAACAAAAGGGATCTGTCAACATCACGTAATTAATCAACAATAACGAAGTAGTTAAACATCAACAAATATTATACATAACAGACTCAAGTCTGGGTTTCTGATAGTTTAGCACATCAGCAAAATTGTCAAATGGTAACTTTGCATTCAAAATAGTTTAAAATCACAATAGAACAATAGTTCAGATACACAAACCCACATAATCCCCGATACTGGAATAACGAGCGAAATAAATCAGAATAATCGTAATATAACCTCCTCTAGAAAAAGAAATGCATTACAATAATAACAAATGTTGTAAGTACTTCTAAATGTAAATAATAATTGATACACAAAATGGTTGTAAAATAAGTACGGTTACCTTATTGATTGACAAACTGTAGTCTAACAATCCAGCCTTGCTTCCGAATTACATTCACAAGCAACAGTATAAACTTTAATAATTTAATAATAGAAGACACAAATTAAGGATTTTATGAAAACAACTAGAAAAAGCTACTGAAATCGACGATTCTAGTCAAACTTAAAGGCTCGCAGTGGGCGCAAAATTTACAAATGCATGAAACACATCGATCACAATTTATGTTTTTTTTAAATAATATCTCAATAACACTTTTGGAAATTGCACTGACTTAAGCTTGGCTTAGAAAATATGGATTTTAAGTTAGACTTAGTCATCGAATACACTAAGTAGATAAAAAGAAACAAATTCCTTTCTTTTCGTATACGTTCTTGGAACTTAAGCATTCTTAAAGGATTTACAACGCTAAGGAGATGTTGTTTGCTGCGTCCACCTTATCCTCAGATGAGGGGGAAATCCTTTGTAGTCCTGTTAAAAAAGGATTTTATGATAGTTTATTAATACAACATATACTTTAAAAACTATGCAAGATGGCCAGTGTTGAAATCAATGCTTTAACTGGCTAAAAATAAGCTGGAAATTGTGTAAATTTGGATAATGTTTCTAGTTTTATTCCCCCTCCCGATAAATTTTGGGTACTGTAGTAGTAGACAAAACAGTGCCAAAACGATATTTTTTTACCAAGAAGGCAAACATGTCTCGAATAAATGTAGTCTCTTATAGATTATTATTATTGTTTATAAATTAGGTAATTTTAATACGCCCAACAGTATCATTAAGATATTTGACACATTCATACATAAACTTTAGTTAAGGAAAGAGTTCTTAAGAAAACTTTCAAAAGCTACTGCTAAAGTAAACCCGAGCAAAATTCGTGAGTACTTTCAAAACTAAGTAAATCATAAAACCCTAGAAGGATTTGAGTTAGCAAACTAAAAATACCAAAGGAATTTTAATAAGTCACATAATGGTAGGCCTTGCTTATTTGTAGAAAATCACTGTTTTTACATTCCTAACCCAAACTATAAATTGTAATAGGCTACTGTACTCTATCAATACAGACATATGAATTAATTTGGGTAGGTTATATCGATAAGTCCTGGCAGCAAGTATTTCCCTACTCGCAGATAAGTTGGAGTATATTCATCGAATAGACCTTGAAAGACAGGACAAGCCTACTAAATCGTTAGCAGCTAGTTCTGTCCCATTGATAATCACTTTTAATTGTTAACTTAAAATAGAAAAATAACAAATCAAACATGAATACTTGCTATTGTCATGCAAAGCTTACCCCTGAGTGAGTGTGGTTTACCTGACAGGTTGTTCCCCTTGAGGAAGACTAGCGCAGTGAGGCAGGGACTGCTCTGACTCTGTCCCTGGTGTATCAAACTGAGCTGCGCCATACTCGTCCCTTGTGGCCACGTCTCACACTTCACTCCCTCACTAGCATCTTCTTCGTTATTGTTGTAATTGTAAATATTTACATCTTTATCACATTTTGGCTCACAGCCGTTACTGGTCGGACAGCCGACGTTATCACTTTTATCCTCAGACTTGTCGCATCTGACGCTTTTGCACACATAGTCCTTAATACTATCCTGTTTTTCTTCAATTTCAGCGTTGTTTGTTACGTTTTCACTAAGTGATGTATCGGGTGAAACGCTACGTTCTATTTGTACACTGGGCCTCGGGTCGGAGTTTACTTCTGCTGTATCGTATTTCTGAGGTACATCCTCGGCCAACTCCGGTACGCGTTCTAGTTGTGCGGGTTCGTCTTCCGTTTTCGATCGAGAAAACGGATTCGTGAAGAGTCCTAAAAGTCTTTCTAAACTAGAACCGGCTTTCCCCGTGTCGTCTTGGGTGATGGCAGAAAACATGGCACTCGGTTGCACCCACGATGATATTTTCCTAACTCTCTGCGATGTCGTGGAAGGTTTTTCAGGTACGTTAACCGACGCTTGTTTCATTACTCTTATCGCCGAAAGGTCTAAACTATCAGCCGCCTTAGGCAGCTTCCTATTGATGTACGAATCTTTTTCACTGTCCTCAGACTCTGATCTCATCTTACAAACTTTGGGAGGCGAGACGCTACTTCTATCGGTGTAATTGAATGGTTTGCTCGCATCAACTTTATTTGAGTCTAGGAGAGTATCGCTAGATGTCAATCCGGTATATGTACTATCTGATATTAAATCCCTTCTCATATTGTTACTTGTGCTATCTTCTTTAGAGTCGATAAAAACATCATTAAAATTATCTTTCTCGGACTCGTCCAAAGTCGAATCGCTGACTATTACAGAAACTTGATGGCTGATTTGGACGGACGGGGTAGAGGTCTTGTTCTCTCCGCATCCACTGGACGGGTTAGGGGACAAGTGTGTGTCTCCTACGTTAATAGTCGATAGCGGAGAAATGTAAGTAGGAGAGGGATTAGGTGAAGCACCGGGAGAGGGTAGTGGAGACGGCATAGGAGTGGAAAATAGGGATGGAATTGAGGACAGCAACGGAGCCGGAATGGGTGTAGGAGAGGGCGCCGGGCTCACAGAAACACTGGGCGATAGCACCGCGGGCGTCTCAAAGCCGACGGTGATGTTGTTAGATGTTAGCACAGTAGGAGTGGCTGGGGCTCCCGAGTCGACCACTGTCACTTTGAATCTCGAGCCCGAGCCAAAGAACACATTGGGGGAAGACGAGGGGGGAGTGACGGGTGAGTCGGACTCGGCCACTCGCGAGACTTGGAACCTGCTGCGAGTAGGGGAGGGACTGGCGACGGGGCTGGGGATGGGGGAGGGGGCGGGGCTCCTCAGCCTACCCCCTCGCTTGGGCTCCAACAGCTGTGAGGCAGAGTCAGGCGGAGGGATGGCCTGTGTCCTGGCTAGTGTCTCACAGGTCAGGGAGATCTTCCTAGTGACAAAGCTGCCTGCCCGAGGTCTCTTCTCTATGTTGACTGTGAGGCTCTCTTCCTTCACCTCTGGGATATCCTCCTCCCGGGGCATTCTCTTAGAGTTGGTCTCACAATGCCCTCTGATCTCTGAGACCAGCTTCATGTATTCGTCTAGTGCCGGCCCCTGCAACAACCCAACAACCAGTGAGTCTCCTGTTTAACATTTTAATCTAAATATTTTTAGAAAAACGTTTACAATTTGTTCAGCTTATTTACAGCTTTAGTTAGTTATTTACAACATGTGTTATTACTGTACATTGAGTTTGGCCACAGTTACCAAAGGAAGACACATGACTTTAAGCAACAGTATTACAAGATTATTAGTTGACAAAGCAATTTACATGACATCAAGTTGTTTTCATTTAATAAAAAAATCACATAACTAACAGAATTTGCTCTAACATAGCTCTGAATTTTATTGAAAATATTTAAATTTAAAAACAGTTTGATAATGAAAATAGTACTGGCCGATTACCAATAGTTTTTTTTTCTCCATAAAGACAAAACTATAATAAAGACTAACTATAATCCCTAACTAAGTGACAAGTCATTAGAAAAGTATTAACCAATACTAGGGGTGTGTACTGTAAATACTTGAAAGTTTAAATAGTTAAACAAATACTTGAGTTTTCGAGCCCGGCTCGATATTGATTAGTATATTCGAACATTCGAATAATTAAATAAACATAGAAATAATATATACCTACCCTGGTTGTAACCGTACCAAAAACAAATAGGTAAAGGTAAAAATAGATTGGTTATATTCAGAATCAACCTTAGTAGAGCAAGTTCCAAAGCTGTGATTGAAATCTTTGGAGTGTATAAAAATAACATTAATATTCCCTCGGTAATATTCAATATTCTAAAATAATATTAAGGAGTATTCTATTCAATTCAATTAAATTCAAATCACTATTCACACACCCCTAATTAATACCTTGCAATTAGTCAAACGACAGTACTAGATTACTTCAAATATATTGCCAAGATCCAAGCTTTTAAAAAAGTGATCAAATTTAATGCTTGGTGATTTGTGTTTGCTTTGTACTATGAATCAAAAACATTTGATGTGATATATGAATTTGAGATAAGACAAAAAAAAATCATAAATGAGTTTTTATTGAGTCTACAACAAGATTTTCATTATATTAATGGGTACAATCCATTATAAGGTATATTTATTTATTACACTGCTAATTGAATAATTTTGTATTATGAACATCAGATGTTTTACAATTGACAAAATAGACAAAGCTGAAGCGAAGCTAAACAAGACAGTATACGATATTTGCCTTAAGGTTAAAAACCGCACTGGTACATTTGTTTTAAGTGTGAAGAAGGCAAGAGCATTTCTAGTTTGGTTAGTTAATTTAATTTCCATCACTGTATCAGTGAATAAAGAAAGAATTAAGGTGTTTTTTTGTTAAATGAATTATAGACTACAAGCTCAAACTGGAAACATATATTCAATATTCATGCAGATGCTTCCTGGACAGAACCTAAGTTAGAGACTGTGAGATATAGTTTGCCTGACCACAAACAAATCTATTATAATTTCAAATAATCCTTAGATATTAAGTATACAATTTTATTCTCAATAAAACGTTAAAATGAAAATAAAAAGGTTGCAGCACTATAACATACCATCATTTAATTACTACTTGGTTGTACAGCAGTTGAAGTAACCCATATTGATCTAACTTCAATTGAACCAATTTTCAAAATTGTTTCACAGGGACAACTCAAATCATGGCAGCTTTAGGCATCTCGCTTTTTGGCTGTTCAATGAGTTATTTTGGAGAGAGTTTAGGAAGCTTACCTAAGAAAATTTATGATTCCGTGAATTGTAGGTACACAAAAAAGTCATATAGCCTAACATTGATATTCTTTCTTCTTATAGAACATTGATACAAACAAATAGATTGAAAAAGAATACAATAAGGCTCAACATTAGCTAAAATTATGATCGTAAAAAATTATGCTCAATAAACTATCTGAAGAAGTCTTATACTAGGATGTAATATATCTCATGTTGTAGCCTTTTTTGGTGTACCTAAAAACCTATGGATTCAGAATTACTTCAACTAAGTTATCAATTTAATTTATTTTTTAATTTTTTTTTTTTTTTTTTTGCTCCTGTCAATGTACATATAGTTTTCTACCAAAGCTCAAGATGGTAGGTTTCATGGATTCCATGAGTAGTGAAAGTGTTTCCTATGCTTATGAAACTACCGTAAATTTTCCCAAGATGTGATTAGTTATTTAATTTGAATCTACCAGCCAAGTTTGTTTGTGGTCGACCAAAAGCCAAGCCAAGACTATGTTATCCCCAGCTACAGAGAGGTTTGCCTTTGAATCCACAAGATCTGGAACAGAACTGAAGTCTCTGCAATCGCCGGCCATCATCCACATCTACCACCAACGGACAAACTTACCATCAATGTGACAGTTCTGACAAAACTTATTGGTTATACGGAGTGCTTTAAACATTTCACTCTAAGCCAAAGAATCACAAATGAGAATGAAACGCTTGAAACTTCTCCCTGGATGTGGCAGGAATCAAACCCACACCCAAGTCCGAGACACCATCATCACTTTTAGCTCTGCTATGTTGTGCTGGTAATATACTTGTAACAAGCAAGGAAGAGACTGAACAGCGAGCAATGTGCGGAAATACCTATCGCACAGGGACAGGGTCTTCCTTCGACGTGAGCATTGTAGTACATGAGAACGATGGGAGTGGTGTTAGACTGCTCTAGAAACCAGCACTAGTGCTAGACACCACTTAAGTGTACCACAGTCTCCTCTGTTCCTTACTTTTCTGTGCTTTACCCCAACCAATTTGATAAATCGCTAAATCTCAGCACGATTCAAGTTTCAACAACATTGTCTGATAAAAGCAGTTAGAAGATTGACATTATTCGAGAGCATAAGGGATATGGTGATAAAATTACCTAACCTAGCTTTGCAGTACATGGTGTGAACAGGCACTCTGTATAACCAATAAGTAAAAATGTACCAGATGAATAACTAAAATACATGTTAAATACAGTTAAGTTACACTACCAAATTAATTTGTATTTTATACAGCCAGACAATTACTTGACTGTGGGCTCAATAAAACGATGTAATTCTGGTTACATTTTTTTTAGTTCAAATTTTCTCTCACACGCAGAATGAACTGGAATACAGAATGCGATCGAACACAAACTGGAGGGATGTGATTTTAAAGGGTTATCCAAATAAAACAAGATTTGATAGAGTTGGGAATGAAAATGTCAAGAGTGGGAGTCGGTAGAACTTTAGAGGGAGAGTAGAAAAATAAAACAAAATTAAAGTGGTTTGGAGTTGTAAAAAAATTTGAGCAGAGAGAATTCCTATCAAAGGTTGGCGATAGAGGGGAGGAGCAGGAGATCAAGAGAAAGAGCTAAAGGAAGGTGTGTGTCGAGAAGAAACTCGAAAAAGAAGTGGGAAGGATGAAGAGAAAGGAACTGTGACAAGATAGAAGAAAGAGAAACCACTCTTAATCTGATCATCCCTCCTTTAACATGTTACCTAAGAATGTTTTAATGCAATTCCACCCAAGTTAAAGGGGGAAAATGTCAATAACAAAAACATTAGTGGAATGTTGCACAACATTTGCTGAACTACACAGCAGATACTGAACAACTGCTGAACACAAACATTAAGATGGCAAATAACAACCCCGTTTAACAAAAAATAACGTAGAAAATGAAAAAAAGTAACAAAAATAAATTTGAATAAAAAATAATTTATCTCAAGTAATGTTTTTATTAGTGTGTTGAAAATTGTAAATCTGTATAAAAATTGTATGTTTGAGTATTATAGCTAAGCTATATTAATTTTCATGAAATTAAATAAATAGTGCAGATTTTAAATATTGTTCAGTTAAACGGTGTTTCCAAGTATTAAAAGAACAGAAAACAAAACCTCCCTTTTGAGAACTACAGGGTGCGGCAAAAAAACCGATCTATTTTCTTCAGCGCACTGTTCAGCGACAGGCCATCTGAGGGTGGTGGGAGTAAGCTCGTTGGATTACCTATGCGATGCCATTTCTTGTAATCATAGAGCAATGGTTGTATGAGCTACGTGCGGTTGTTATCTAGTCGTTTTTGAAAAGTAGTTAATCAGTCATTGCAGCTCAGTGGCAGTTCCGTGCTTTTATTTATTAGGTCGACATGGAGAGGTTCCGTCGTGATTATCTGTATGGATAAAAATTAACTTCAAAATTTGTGTAACTGAGCAGTCAGACATGTTCGGCAAGCCACTTGTTTTCGGGCCGGCCTGCGAGGACTCTTTTCCACAGCAGCACAAACTCTATAGAATGATAGTTGTCTGGCGTCCGAACTGACTTTGGACGGCCTTTCAGCTTCCTTTTCAACGCAGAAGCCGTTGTTCTAAAGTTAGTAACCCACCACATTATTGTGATACGCAATGGAACTTCTCCATGTTGCCTTAATTGAAAGAATGCATGAAACTGCCGATGCCTCTGAGTTGCAATGAATGAATTCAATACTTTTTAAAAACAACTACATGTAGCTCAGGCAACCACTGCTCTATGACTACAAAAAATGGCAATGTGTAGGCTTTCCAACGAGCCTACTCCCACCACTCTCAGACGACCTGTCGCTGAACAGTGCTTTGCAGAAAATGTATCGGTTTTTTGCCACACCCTGTACTACAAACATAAAAGCTTTAGTATCGGATTATTCTGTGTTGCAGGAAAATAAAATGACATAAGGAGACATAATACATAATATAGACATAATACAGGCACTTACTTTTACAACATAACTAAAAATAACAATTTAACAAGTATCCTATGACTTTCAATATATTGCCAGACATACTCTTAACACCACACCTAAATCATGTGTAAGAATACCTGTTTTCTGTAATATTCTATTCAAAGAAGCCTAGCATAACTTTGTTCAAATTCCTCAAACAATTTTCTGTCGGACATTGTATGGATGTAATTTAATTTTGTCAATTTTAAATTTAATTTACGTTATTTATTTTAATAGTACCCTTTGTTGCTAACAGATTTTTTTGCCAAACAACCTATAGCTACAAAAAAATAAATGTCCTGATTTTTAGTATTTTTACAATGGTTTAAGTTAAAATACATTTAACAACCTTGGTAAAAGAAATTACAAAGCAGCGTATCAGAGAAAAGCCAAATTATTTATGCTATTACATTATAAAAAATGAAATATAATATATACCAAAAATTTGATTGTTTACGAATCAAAAAGAAAAAATAGTGGATTGTTTGAGTTTAATCATTGACCAATGATAGAACAGTTTCCTCCAGTAGAACATTCCTTGCCAGTTTCAGGACAAAAATGTTAAATTAAACCGATGACACTAGTTTGCCGATTTTTTTCCAATTTTCAACTAATCTCTGTTAAATAAACAAAGCCAAACTGAAAGTTACTTATTGTGAACTATAATATCTAAATTCATATTAACTATCATTGCATTAAAAACAGAGAAAAATTAGAAATTTTACCTACACACTGTGAGTGACTTATGATCGACTGATACGAGATACTAATATTCGTACTTTTCTGCATAGCTTGACACTACCATAAAGCTATATCACTGACCATGGAGTGTTTGCGACGAGGAGTGTCGTCCAGATCCAGCTGTGACACACTGCGGTTGACCCTCATTGACAACACCAGAGCCATCAGTCCAGCCACCTGTAGGTTGTTGTCCCTCAGGTCAATCCTCTGTGGACAGCAAAGAGTAATATAGGTATCCGTTTTTACGACCATTTCTTATGTGAATCCTCTGGACACAGATTTTTTACTGAATACCTACTTAGTGTCTTGTGGTGTATGGTAAGTCATGCTGTACCCAGTTTTGTTCACAGCAGGACATTGTTTTATGTTTGTTGAATTAACACCGAAACACAAACAAATGGTACACAAATACATTTAACTAGAATCGATTATTGCATTTTTACATATTATATTTTTTAGTTTGATTGACTCCTGCAAATGTAGCACCCCGAGTGAATATATTGCGGTCTCAGCAACAGCAGTGAACTTCTCCCACAAACGTTACATCTTTACGTATATATTTTTTTTGCTAAGTTTTCAGTACAGTAGGCAATGTAGTTTTCAGCACTATATATGTTGTTGAATGAACAATAAATTTAAAGGATTGTCTACTTTTTTATAAGGCAAATACAATACAGAGCATCACACTAAACACTTGACATACCTGTATGGTGGTATTATCAGCAATAATCTCCGCCAGGGCCACGGCTCCCTCGCAGCTGAGGTGAGTGGACTGCATACCTAGCCTCAGCAGCGACCTGTTCTGCTGGAGAGCTTGCTTGGTGGTTTGTAACACCTGTCAACATTCAGGCTTATGAGATATCCAAAACTAAAAAAAAACTTTTAACAACTTTAAGAATTTTTAAAATTTTAAATCAATATTATTAAGACTAATTAACAGTACTAAGACATAAATTATACTTCTCAAGCTCAAAGTACAAGAACAAAGTTAAGTTTTGTTATATACTTTACTTAAACTATGTTGACAAGCAGTGCTTTTCGAAGATTTATTCTAACAAACCTCATTGCTCAGCACATTCTGTCCGATGTTGACAGTCTCGAGGGACGGGACTCCAGCAAACATCCGGGTCAAGTGTGGACCACATTTACGACTCAGGTGGTTGTTCCACATCACCAGTACCTGCAGACCGCCTCCGGCAGAGCTCTGCTCCAACAACCCCTCCACTATGTGGTTCAACCCTTCATCTTGTACGTTGTTGTTGCTGAAACAAGGTAGGGTTATATGTTGTTGTCTATGTGCAATTGAAAAATTGCAAACATTTCTCTTTACAGTTTTCATTATTTTACTTTACAAGTTGTCCGACCCTTCCTGTGTAAGATGAATGTAAAAATCCCCTTATATTCTTCTGCAGTCATGTGGACATAATCTTCGTCTCCAGAGGTCAAAGAAGAATAAGAATAAGAATGCTTTATTGCCGTTACACTGGTTTACATGCATGGCACAGTCAAGGAAATGTCTTAGAACTAAAGGTTTTAACTTAGGTTTAATTTAACATCATTTATAAAGTCTATTTCTCTATATGGACACAGGAAACATTGTAATGGTTTTTGCGAGCAAGGCAAGATCTTGAATATCCCCCACGGTCGTGTAGACATAATCTTTGACCCTCTCAGTGATGGAAAATCATCATCGTCCTCTGTAATCATGTCAATTTTTTGACAGTGAAATCTTTGCAGAAACGTTCTGCGACCATGGTAGTAAAAGGTCAGTTTAACTGGTCCTATTTACTATAAAATACCCCGCATTACAGTAAAAATCCAACTATCCGAATTTCGATGAACTAATGTGGTACAATTTTAATTGATTTGGATAGTTGCAGTCCTACTGTGTTCCAAATAGCCTAATTTTGTTTCTTTGCTAAACTGGATTACCGATTCTCCAAACACTAACTAACTCAATCATGTCCTCATTCGAATCCACACAAGAAATCTAACCTGATCTTATCTGTATCTGACCTAACTACAGAATCGCCAGTACTCAACCAACCTTATCTGGTGTCCTTTGAGCACCTTGCCCTAGCCAACTTACCTCTTCTGGATCCAATGTTGACCTATGTCTGAACCCAATCTGGTAAGCTACTGAGTGCACACCTTCTAGCTTGCAATGTCAATGTCAATTTAGAAGAAATAATATACAAAAGTTGTACCTTATATCTAGCAGCTGTAGCACCGTGTTGACCTTCAGTAAAGCGCTGAGTTGTGCCGCATCGTTCTGTACCAAGTAGTTCTCTCCCAAGTACAACTCCTTGAGACCCGTGTTAAGCTTGAGTGCAGCAGCTGTGAAAAACAACAGTTCAATTGCGTCTGCCGGTGATAATATGTAACCACGCTGTGATAAAGTTCAACAAAAAAGTTTTGCAAGTAGGCCTAGATATCCCATTTTAATAGACCTGATGTAGGGTATTCAAGTTTTAAACTTAGAGAACTGTTTAGAAGGGGTTTTTTTCCTGAGCCAGTGATTATAAAGTCAACGTGAAAAAAATCGCTTTTAAGCTAAAGCGCTCCAAATCCATTACAGTTTTGAGGAAGTGCTGGGAATTGAACCCATCCCTCCCACACCAAAGTCTGAGACGCTAACCACTGTGCTAGCAACACAACCATAAAATGTTTAAATTTAAATTGGCCAGGAAAAATTTGTCACTGCTACTTTAGTTGTTTCTTCACTTCAATAAAACCCCATTGCACCTAAATTACTATGTATGGACGTAGAGACAGGGGTTGATGTAATAAAACCTACTAGGTGAAACCAATTGAAATCGGCCGTTAGGGGCCTCCTCGTTTATATGGTGGCTTCATTGGCAACAAATAATGCAAATAAAATAGCAATATGGCATTACCAAAGAGAAAAACATACTGTAAATTGGCCGTTACGTAAATATTGACGTTTACATGCATTGTTAATCAACGTATATAAAAGGAATATGACCTTTAGAACTGTCATGACAGGAGCTGCTTAAATAGTATTTACTCTTACAGCCAAAATATCGTGTTACTTTCAATGATGTTACCAACCCAGTGGGCCACAGTCCGTAATATAGGCCACTGCAAATAATTTATCAGGATAGGTACCATTTTAGGCAAGGCTTTGGTGTTTGGATATTATTAGACACGATAAGAGAGCACTGAACTTCTTCTGCAGATGAATAACTGTTGGAGAAATATAAGCCGAATCATAAATGTCACAATGCGAGTTTGAGCATTTTGTAACTATATGAGGAAGTTACATAGTATTTTTTAGGCTGCTGCTCAGTGCACTTTAAGAATATATTTTTTAGAGATAAATTAAATTGTTTTTGTTGCTGAGTAGCGCTTGAAAACATGCACAACCCATTTTCGTTAGTCTAATAACATTCAAAGGCTCTCTAAGAGTTCAAGAAAATAACATTGCAAATACTTCCTTTGGACAATTCAGTAACTTTCAATAAATGTGTGTTGTTTAAAATACAATTACAAAATTAACAGCTGTTTCATTAAATAGTATTATCCACATGGCTAAAATGTAAACAAATCTGTGGAAGGATCTTTTAAAGGCTTCTGAGGCAGAGCCTTAAAGGAATTTACTTTGTTTTTCTTTTGATAACTCATCTACAGACCAAGACCTTTCTGTGGACACCCCTACCAAGTTTCTACGCCCAGTCGTTCTCTTAAATTTGTGGAGACAAAGTTTCCAATTAAATATTTAGATTCCCTCATGTTAATCTTATGGGAGAAAACCCAACTTTGATGGAAGACCCAGCCCGAACTAATAAAGATTTCAAAAAAATAAAAACACTTTGCAAAACTACAGATCAGGGCCATTCTTTTGACACTTTTATCATCGAAATAGGTCCAAAAATGAGGGAGGAGTTCTGTTCACAAAAATTGGCCTAGCGTATTATATACATATAGTTTAAGATACCAGATTATTGAGGAAAATTTGTTAATGGTATCAGTTTTGAGAACCTAATTTTCAGGTATCACGAATCAAGAATCGATTAATTTGATAACAACACATCACTAACTAAAAGGTTTATACATAAAGAAGGAAACAAAATTTCACAGCAGCAACCACAAGTTGTGTAATATGTTTCATATTACACATTGACTTGTGTTCTTTAATATGTTATATAATTTATGCCTGCCTTCATTCTTTATTTTAATTGAACCAACATATGTTTTATTATCATTATGACTTTGTAAATATGTCCAATAAATATACACATCTTTTTTGTCAAAGTCTTGTCTGTCTTTAATATTTTTTACATTTGGTGCCGAAACCCGACTTTATCATGTCAATAAGGAGATCAGAGAGGGAAAGACACCCTCCAGACAGATATACTCCAGCAATTGGGAATAACAACGACAAAACTGTTAATCCAAAGCCAAGTAAAGACCAACCATCAGTATCTGCCAAATCTAGTACTTCTTCTAATAGACGACGATTAATGGAAGTGGAGTTGAAGAAGCTGGAAGAAATACAGAAATTGGAAAGAGCCCATGAAGAAAGAGAAATGGAGCGACAACGACAAGTTGAAGAAATGGAGCGACAACGACAAATGGAAGCTAGAGAACTAGAGCGACAGAAGCAACTGCTGACAGCGAGAGCTGAGCTTGAGTCTGCTTCAGTGTGTGGCAGTCAACAGTCAAGCCACCCTAGTAATCGATCTGAAACCAAGGTAGGACTTAGCATAAATCTTGATGATGAGGAAGAACCGCAAAGCAAGGTTGAAAAGTGGTTGAATGAAAAAGAACCGACAGTTCTTAAGTCCTCATCAGCCATCATGACCTCAGCCGTGCAAAAGCTTGCGGATACCTTCCAAAAAGCTATACAGCCTGTTTCATTTCGTCAAAAACTTCCAAACTTCAGTGGCAAGCCTGATGAATGGCCGATATTTTTTTCGGCGTATGAAAAAACTGCCCATCTTTTTAGTGAGGATGACAACCTTATAAGAGTACGGAATTGTCTAGAGGGAGAAGCATTTAGAATGGTTAAGCCTCTTTTTGTCTCAAGTCAAAATCTTAAGTCGATTATCAAGACCTTACAGATGCGTTTTGGTAGACCAGAACTCATTTTGGAGTCAATGTTAAAAAAGACTCGTAGGCTACCTTCTGTCAAGGAAGATGACACTACAAGTCTTGTTGAGTTTTCGACAAATATTTTGAATTTTACTGCTACAGCAGAGTTATTACATCTAGAAAATTATGTATTAAGCCCTTACTTACTAAATGAATGTCTCAACAAACTTCCCTATAGTTTAAAATACAGGTGGGCTGAGCATGTAAGTAATAATGCTCTAAGCAGTCCCGACTTGAAGGAGTTTTCCAATTGGTTGGAAAAACAATGCTCAATCCTGAGTATTTACTTTCGTCCTACAGAAGAGAAACTCTGGCAGAAGAAAACTGACATAAAGCCGGTTTATACAAGTTCTACCGAAGACAAACAGTTTAACTGTATGTTTTGTCTCGACAGCCATGAAAGTGAACGATGTGGAGTTTTCAGGAAGGCAGATGTATCGCAGAGATGGAAAATGATTGTCGAAAAGAAACTATGTTTCTTCTGCTTTCGACGTCACCAGCTCCAAAAATGTAAAGTAAAAAAGGTTTGTGGGATAAATGGGTGCAGGTTGTTTCACCATCGTCTTCTCCATACTGACAAAATTGAGAGGTTTCCCAAACAGGACAGCGAACCGCAAAATAAAGAAATTATTAGCAGTCATGTTGTTAATAACCGTGTTCTATTAAGAGTATGTCCAGTGACATTATATGGCCCAAGTTGTCAGATCAACACTTACGCACTCTTAGATGACGGGTCAACAGTATCTTTGTTGGATTCAGCTACAGCCGATAAATTAGGCGTCAACGGTAGTATTGAACCACTCACGACATGCTGGTCCAATGCAACCCAACATTTCGACCCAACATCCATGACTGTGAAAGTTAAAATTAAAGGGTTATATGAGGACGAAGTATTTACATTAAACAATGTACGAACCCAGTCACCATTGGACTTACCAAATGGCGGATACTGTCAAACTGAAAAAGAAGTGGTCTCACTTACGGTCAATTGGTCAACCTTTACCGTCAGCAAATTTGAAACCTACAATACTTATAGGTCAAGACAACTGTGACCTTATTCTAGCAAGGAAAATAGTTGAAGGTCCTCCCAACTCTCCAGTCTTGTCTTGGAGCCGTTTAGGCTGGACATTGCACGGTAAATGTCATGAACACATTGGACGAGTAGATAGTCAATTCACTTTAACGTCTTTAGAAAGTGAAAAACTTCATGATATTATCAAAGATTCTTTCGAAATCAAGAATTATGGCGTGTCCCTAGTAGAAGATGACAATGTGAAATCAGTTGAAGACGAAAAAGCCCTCAAGATTTTAGAAGATACGACCAAAAAAGTAGGGGATAGGAATGAATCCGGCCTACTATGGAAGTCAGAAGACTTTAAATATCCACCGAGCTATGAAAATGCGCTGAAAAGGCTTAAGGGTATTGAAAGGAAGATGGCAAGAGACGAAAACTTTCATAACAAATACAAAGCCAAGATCACTGACTATGAAGAAAAAGGTTACATCAGAAAACTATGTGATGACGAAGCTAATGTTATAAATGACCGGACTTATTATCTGCCTCATTTTGGGGTAATAAATCCAAACAAACCTGAAAAACTGAGGTTAGTATTTGACGCAGCTGCTAAAGTGAATGGTGCATCATTCAATGATGGTTTGCTTAGTGGTCCTGACCTTTTGAACCCTCTGCCAGCAGTACTTCTCAAATTCAGATTAAGAAAATTTGCGATCGCAGGTGACATACAAGAAATGTTTCATCAAGTACGTATCAGAAAAGAAGATGTCGATTCGCAAAGGTTTCTATGGAGAGAAGATCCGAACAACAAACCAGATACCTATATCATGGAAGCAATGATATTTGGATCAACGTGTTCCCCGAGTACTGCCTTGTATGTAGTAAACAGCAACGCCAAGAGGTTTCTACAAATTTACCCAGAGGCAAGTAAAGCGATCCTCTGCAGTGAATACATGGACGATCTACTAGACTCTACTTATACAGAAGAAGAAGCTAGAATTAGAATACAACAGATAACAGAAATTCACAAGTCCGGAGGTTTTAAAATCTGTAACTGGTTGTCAAATTCAAAAGAAATTTTACTTGAAATGCCGGAAGATTTGAAGGCAAACTCTACAAAACAGCTGCAACCTAAAAGTCGTCTAGCTACAGAACGTATCCTCGGAATGTGGTGGGATGCTGAAACTGACCAATTTTCATTTCACCGGAACGCCGAAAAGGTACAGTTAGGTGAAACAAGGTATCCGACCAAACGTGAAGTTTTAAGAGGAGCTATGTCCATTTTTGATCAATTTGGATTAGTTGTACCTACTATTATAAAAGGGAGAATGCTTGTTCAAGACTTTTGGCGAACAAACATAACGTTGGACGAGGTTCTTTCAAGAGAACTTAGTAAAATATGGCAAGACTGGCTTCAAGCAGTGATTGTCTGCAGAGCTTCACCATACCTCGATGCTATTTTGACGTCAAAACAATTGAAAAAGTTGAACTCCATATGTTTGTCAATGCTAGTGAAGAGGCTATGCAGCAGTTTCATATCTACGTGTGCCAGAGGTACCCGAAAACTGCCCAAGAAATACATGGCCCCTTGGCCGAATCTCGGCTGTCTACCCAGGTCACGATGGCCAAGTACGAATAGTAGACATCACAACATCAAAAGGAACTTATCGTCGGCCTCTGACTAAAGTTGCAGTCCTTACCGTTGGAGGAGAAAAGATGTAATATGTTTCATATTACACATTGACTTGTGTTCTTTAATATGTTATATAATTTATGCCTGCCTTCATTCTTTATTTTAATTGAACCAACATATGTTTTATTATCATTATGACTTTGTAAATATGTCCAATAAATATAGGCTACACATCTTTTTTGTCAAAGTCTTGTCTGTCTTTAATATTTTTTACAAGTTGGTTGTTTAATTGAACTCAGTTTGTTTGTATATTACAAATCTGGCATCAATGAGAATGGAATGTCTATGTTATTGTATCTACAGTTACTCATGAGATATCTACAACTTATGACTATTGAAAGAACTATAGATTCTATCCCCATATTGTAGTTATCGCCAGATTTACGTAATTTAGTCAAACTGAGCAGCCTTCAGAGTGAGCTGACGTAAATTATTGATTTATTTAAAATAAGATATCTTTTAACCAAGTCAAACAAATAGGGTGACTTATTGTAAGGTATAGCATTATTTAGGTCTCATAAAATATATCAGAACTAAAAGTTTACTTTAAGGGATAAAATATACTTTTTAGAATGTACCTCAGCGTATTCTGTGGGTGACTGATTTCATTAACTATGTTCTTTTAAGTAAAAATTAGCTATAGCTCCTCCTATGCACTATATAGGAGAGATGACATTTAAGTCAATGCTTCAACTCAACCGATTAGGAGGTCTGGCCAATAAGTGATCTACAATCTTAGGAAGAGATGGTCACAATTGCTAGTAGGCCTACTAGTGACATTCTAGTGACTATGATTAGTTAGATGATGTCCTGTTTTTCCAAAAATCTCAATAATAAAACAGGTCATCCAAGTAATTTACCTTTATCCTAAACTTGACCTAACTGCTTTGGTCTATTGAAAAAAAAAAATAGACCAGGCCTAACCTACATTTGGAAAAACTTGTAAAATGTTTAAATTCACTACTACACTGATATACTATGACAGGTAAGTATTTTAAAGTTGAGTTTTGAACAAATAATGGTAGCCACTAAGATACGCTGGTTCATAAAGAAAAACTTGATACAATACAGATAGGTTCAATTTCAATAAGTGGATTAGCCTAAGAACTTTTTTCTGGAGACCTTCTGCTCATGAAGTGAGCTTTACCCACTTGTGTGGAGATGTGCTAATTGTGTATAGCTGTGCATGAATATTGATTCGTTTGCAGACATGTGTGGCACACGGGTGACCTGGTCGACCTTAACCAAACATGCCTACTGTTCAAATTTACACCCATCAAGGTTTAAAACCCCTGCCTTTGACTCAATAGTAATGAACGTCGCAACTTACCGAGGATGATTATCGGACGGCCGCTGAGGTTGCAGTTCTCCAGCTTGAGTACGTGGAGCTGCGTGGACAGCCGCAGCGCTCGGCTAAGGATCGGCATAAACTGTTCATTGAGAGTTGTGTTCCTAGCGTCTAGCTCCTCCAAGCACTTGGTCTGTGATACAGAAGCAGTGAATTAGAAATTTTGAGATTCGATCGACCGATGTATCAGATAGGCTACTAAAAGTTAAATAACTAACATGAGGATAGAAAACTCTCTCAGGATTTCTCACCAGTGACTCTAGATTTGGGTTACTCCGACGAGCATTCAATGAGCGTTTGCATCACAACAGTTTTGATACTTACAGTGACTACTAGGTGATCATCAAAATCTCAAATGGTAAGACTAAGTGCAATCGCCTCAGACTGACCTGCGTTTTACTATCGGTTGAAAAGAGCCATCATAGATCAAAGCAAAAGAATGTGATAAAAATGAAAACAAGGGCAGCTAAATGAGAGTGTGTAGGAATCTGCTATTGTAGCTGGTGAACAAATATTCATTTTTTTTTGTAACTGAAGGAAAAGTAGGCCTAGTTGATTTTTACTCAATACAAAACTCACCCGTTTGATCATCCGAGAGCAAGCCTGCCATCCTCTCGCAGCGATGCAGTGATTCCCCGTGATGTTCAACCTCACAGCTGACTCATAATACTCCATCATGTCAAATAATGCAACAGACGACTGTAACATACATTATCATTTAGTTTTTGAATGTTTCACTACGATCCACAACATTGAACATTTCACTCAAGGGTGTCATTGAGTAATTGAAGACACATCGACTAGGTAAAACTGTTGGACGGGTAAGTTTAGTGCTTTCATGGTTTTAAGTTAGCATCACAGGTATCAGCTAATTAGGTAAAATCATATCATTCTATGGATAACCTCAAAAATACACTGGGTGTTGGTATAAGTAAATCCACTTGGAAAATTCTATGTTGATTGAATAAGTGTGTGGGCTTAATTCATTTACAAATTTCTGAAGGTTAACAACTAATGAAATATAATTCAGACCAAAGAGAATGGGGTGTATAACTTAAATTATATCATGAGGTGAATTCAGTGAATCTTACAAGTGTGCAAAGCAGTAAAAAAGTCTACTCAGTAATAACTGACGAATACACAATTCTAGACAATCAGGTTTAAATTCAACTTCCTCACTTAAAACTAAAATGTATAGCCTAACATTATTTTTGCAATAAGGTCACTGGAAATGAGTACAAAGTCAATAGGTCTGCTAATACAGTCCAAGGTGCTGTGTCAAACAAACCGCTGCAAGCCAGGTTGCAACTAAAGGAGTTGACGTGGCTACATAGAGACAGAGCCTGCTTAGGATAGAGAATTTTGTTAAAGAGAAGGTGAATTTGAAATAAAACATTGTGTTGGTATAAGTTACTAAATTATGAAGATAGATCAAAAAGAAAAGCATACAGTAACTTAGATATTTTTATTTCTAATAAAACATTACGTGTTGGTCTTAGGCTACTAAGTTAAATTATGAACTGAGAAATAAAAATGAAGAGCATAACTTAACTTAAATTGAAATGAAATGATGTTTATTGCCGTTAAACTCAAATACAGGCATTGGCAAGCGTCCCAATCAATAGGTAAACAAAACAAAATAAACATTATTGCATTGTTTTCATTAACAAATAAAATCCTTAATACTATAAAAACAATTACAAATTAAAAGTTCTTTAAGCTATCTTAAATTTACAGAAGTCTATTTCACTCCTGGGATCATTTGGGAGGGCATTAAAAAAAATGACAGAATTGTAAAACATTTTATTAAAAAAAAATAAGTTTTGTGTCTGGGGATATTCAAAGTATATTGAATTTGGTATAAGATGCTGATAAAGTTCAGAGTTTTTCTTAAGAAAAAGCAGTGTATGAAAAATGTAAATACACGGAAAAGTGAGAAGACCCGTTTCAGAAAAAAAAGCACTTGCATGATTGTTTTGACTTCAGATGACCTCTGATGGCTTTCTTCTGCATCCTAAAGATTTGTTTGGTGTGGACGTTTTCGGAACCCCAAATGACAACAGCATAGGATAAATAATGGATATACGGGGGCAAAATATACAGTTAGCAAAACATCTCTGCTCATAGAGTTCAATAGAGTTCAAAGGTCTATATCTACTCTATGCAGATATCTCTAAAATATCAGTGGGGGATGTAGGCCTACATTTACCTCATCATCAAGATTTGTGCCTTCTAGATTTATTGTTATGAACTGTATTCTCTTCAAAATTTCTTCTAGGGACTCACAAGCTGCTGGTCCCAGCATCTCGTCTTTAAGATCCAGCATTTCATTTCTGTCCAAATCGTAGTCTAAATTCTGCAAAGCACGAAAATGATATGTAAATATATATAGCTTATAAGAAATTAAACAGACAACATAACTTAGGCTGGATAACAAATGTTTTTGCATTAGGTATCCCTACTTATTTTAATGTAGGTAATCCTATATGGTACTAAGGCTAGGTACAGTACTTTTTCCCTTCTATGGCTCAAGCGTTGACAAACTGAGAAAGAGACGATTTCCTACAACTGACATAGGGGCAGAAGACATAACTTAAGACATTTATTTAAGTAACTTTTACATGTGTAGGCTACATGCATAGACAGGTCATTTTATTTGTTATGCCTAATAAATTGCATTCAGTATTTAGGGTAAATATAACTTGGAATAAATTACAGGCGTTATAAATACAAAATTAAAATTGAGCGACGCCCCAAATCTATGTTTGCACTTATAGGGCAGGAGAAATACATCAGTAATCAATGATGATAGATTTATTATGCTCATGAAGAGTTTAGACTAGACTATGTTAAACACCAGCCACCATCTGTGTTAAATCTAGTTTGAAAGTGTGACCTATGCTCTTATTGTATGTGACTCAATTTTTCATCTTTTCTTTGATTTACCGGTACGGTACCTTAAATAGAATTCATTAACTTACACGTATCTTTTTTACGACTGAAACTTGGTTAAAATATTACCTGGAGTTGAGTAATCACCCTACTTATGGGTCTTGCTCCATGTTTCTCACAAGAAGAAACATATTTTGCCACCAAGTCATCTTTCGTAACACTATCGGCTGCAACAAACATTGAAACACATTAGGTTGGTTACTACTACCATAGACAAAAAGAATTAAATATAGACCGTCAGCTGTGCTGCGGTTACCATAGCTTCTGGCGCACACCGCTTGGAGCGCCATGTATTTACGGCGTACGCGCTACGTAAACTACAGCGGTGTGCGCCGGAACCTATGGTAACCATGGTAACCACAGCACGGCTGACAGTCTAAATTTAATTCTTTTTGTCTATGCTACTACTAAGGATGATACAGTGTATTGTAATGGAAGGAATCATATATTGTAAAGAGGAAGTGTTTGGAAATGTTGTGTGAGTAGGCTGGAAGTGTTGTTAAACAATAGCTTTTTGTGCTGACCTACTGAAGGTTGTTTCTTTAACACGTTCACTGCTAAAGGAAATTATAAAATCGAATCGTATTGCTAAAAAACTTTATTGTTGTATAACATTCCTTTTTGTGTCCTTATTGAAATACAATATTATATAATACGATCGGAAGTGAATATGACGTCAAAAAGTGACGTCATAATAATGGGTCAGTACTGACCCATCAGGAGCCAGAGTCAGAAAAAAATGGAAATGTCACTGAATACATTATATATGTCACTAAAAATATATGTTCTAAAGATAAATGTAGTCATTATGATAAAATAACCAACATAAAATAGTATATCAATTGATTGGAATTGATTATGACTTCATAATGTGACGTCATATAGGTACATGGGTCAGTGCTGACCCATTAGGAACTGGAGTATAAAAGATTTGAAATGTTAATATTATTGAAATAAAATAGTTTAAAAAATAATTGAAATTGAATATGACGTCACAAAGCACAAAAAAGTAGCAAAGCGAGGGGCGTTCACAGTAATGTGGGTCAGTACTGACCCAGCCGCCACGGCGGGAGCGAGAGGCGGGAACCAACTCAACGGTGAACAAAGCAAGTCACACACTACACGCTAACGTGGTTTAGGTCCACCTTCAACTGACACTAGGCTAGCACTGAGCAACATATTGATTCACTGCAGTGTGGGTTAGTACTGACCCGGCAGCATGAGCGATTCGATCGCCGTGGGTCAGTACTGACCCACCAAATTGGGGTTTCAGTTTCTAACTAAATGATTTATACAGTTCCACTCTGCTCTACCTTTTTGATTATAGTTTAAATAGCTTGGTGTTCTTTGTAGGCTATTGTTTTGGGTTTTAATAAAGTTAGGTTTTGTAAGCGAGTATTTCAGGGAAGAAATACCTACCGTTACAGTCTAGATTTAACCCTCGAGGAGGCACTTCACCAGTAAAACAGGAGCGGGCGCATGCAGAGTTTTATCCCGCAACACTAAATAGCATAAATTTTACCCATTTAACTTGTTGTTATAACGAAATATTGTATGTAAATGTTGAATAAAACCTAATCAGAAACCTAATTTCTTTGTCAATAACACCAATCTTTTAACTTGATATGACGTAATATTTAACGTAATATTTCAAATAAACATATTGAGCAATTTTCTAGTATAAAGACACTGTGGGTGTTACGATAGAGGGCGCATGCAGAGTTTTGTTCCGCAATAATGCAATTATAGGGTACATATAGTCTACATGCAAACAAAATATATTTGATCCCTAATTATAAATGAAACAATAAGTTAGCCTACATTTAAACATGATTATATTTTCGTATATATAAAATATACACACAGTTTGACAAGAGAGCATGAGAAAATAAACTCTAGCCTACGCTATGCAATAGGGCGCACACGGAGAAAACCTCTGCAAAAATGACACCACGATACTGAATTGCAACTGACAACAAAATAAGGACGAATTAGGGGGTAAAAATAGCTTAGGGGCATTCCCAGGATGAGGTGCGTGAAGTATGGAGCCGAACACGACTCCCAACACCCAATATGCATTATTTATATTAACAAAAACTACAAGTGCGGAGGAAAAGTTGAGGAATAAGTTACGAGTACCCTACCTAGTTTAGAAGTAGGCCTAACTTAAGTAAATAGATTGTTTAGGCTAACTTATTTTAATCTTCCAGAAGCCTTGTTTTAGTTACAGAAAAGCAACAACGCCACTTTGTTGACAGAATTCCTTTCAATTCAATTAAATTGAAAAGGCTATTTAATGCAAAAACCCATTCATGAAGCAGTACAATAGGCTATAGGTTAGAAGGTTTGTTAAGCTTCACCTTCACCTGACAAAATAAGGCTTTATGTCTAAGTATTGAGCTTTTACATTGTTGCAAACCATCAAAGGTCGTGTAAATTGTTACAGATAACGAGTAATTTAGGGTCTTACAACCTGATAACTTGTAAGTTAATCTTAAAACCAACTTTAATGAGACCTGAAAAACAATGTGCATTGTTAACTAATTAAATAAAATAGGTTATTAAACAAAAAATAACGAAAGATAATACAGCTTTAAAAAGTTAAGAACAGTATTTAATTAAATACTGGGGCAATCAAACATAGTCATGTGATTATAACTACGAGACTTAACAAGTTATTTAAGCTAGGCCTAGTCTTAAGTAATCAATGCTAAATGGAGAGCCCACATTTACCGAATTCCCAAGGATTTGCCGGCTCTAAAAATCCAGTGACTATCTGTTGGTCATCTTCTGGAAATGATACTCTCCTGTCAAAGGGATGTTTTCTTGGGGGATCATTCCGATTTCGCAGACAAGACGGCACGGAGCCAGCAGTCAAGGTCGTCAAAGCTTGTTCGGGAAGTTGATCTGTTTTAACACTCATCTTAGCTACATGAACACACTTAAATGAATTTTATGAACACTGATTATCTTAATACAACTTCTCTCATTGTAAATAAACCCGTCGTAATATATCCCTAAAAGTACACACAATTTCAGGTACAACTTTCACTCAAATTTACTAACACTAGAAGTAAGCAGCCATGATAGTTCACCCAAACAGATGTTTGAGTTTGACTGCGGTTCGGTTCTGTTGTTCTGCTACTTCTCTCTGTTTGATTGCTTCCAGATTGCAGCTGGTGGCAAAATCCTAATTGTTATCAAGGTAAATTACAACAATTTTGTTCGACCTAAATTCCAACAAGACCGAATAACTACGGTACTGTATGAGAAACATTAATTCCACAAATATAACCTCAGCATAAAGTAACCTTATTACATCTGGATCTGCAATGCGAATATGCTTTGAATCGTGGTAATATAAATATGTTCATACAGGACAAGTTTTTGCAAACAAACAATAAATATTATAAGTAGTAAACATTACATTTACGTATAGTGAGTGCCACCATAGATTAAACATACTGTACTCCCTCGAGTTGGTTGGTCTATGGTACCACTAATTATGGATCTATGATCGAAAGGCGGCCGTGGATCGTATCATAGATAATAAAATAGCCTTCATTAAGCATTCTCCCTAATAAAACCAATCGATTTCGTCCCTAGAATTAAATTTAAAAAAAAGATGTCCCATTTCGCATACATCACAATGTATGCGAACGTCACCAATCGCAAACGTCACTTATGAATAATGCCTCTTATAATATACCAACCGGTCAAAACCTTAGTCAATGGTTACGCCTTCCAATAAAAAAATGTTAAAAGAATGACCACTATCACCATAGACTAACCAACACAAGTATGTTTTATCTAAGCCACTATCATAGACTAGCCAAGGAAGTGGGTTTTATCTATGATACTACTATTCTTACAAGCCAAGCTTCTGATTGTACAAGGGCGTGAGTGAAAATTTAAAAACGTACGTTTTCAGGAAAAGCACTTTGCAAATTGTTTTCTCCTTTTTTCAAAACTTTTATTATTTTTTTTATTTCATTACCATTTAAAGTTTCATAAAATGTCCATGGTAACGCAATATCTTTGGTAGTTTTTTTTTTAAGAGTATCTTTAGTGGAAAAAACAAAAACCTGTCACGAACATAAAGGACGTTTAATATTACAAATGGTTAATATTATTTTTATAACTATGTTTGGCTATAAACTAATTTACTTTTATGACAATTATACAATAAAAAGGTCACTGAGCTTTTAGTATATTTGGTCTTTCTAGAAAAAAATAAAAATCTCAAAAAATTGAAAAAGAGCCAATAAAATCTTTTTAAGTTTGTATAACTCCGAAAAAACTTACCTGAGACCCAAAAAATCGTTATGTTTGTATAGAGGTGTGCTTCTTTTGTGTATAAAACATTGAAATATGACGATATTTTAATTTTTGAAATTTTTATGATATAAATCATAAACGTGGTGATGGTCAGGGACAAGCGGTACGGTCGTAAATTGTCTGGAATAATCTAAATCTTTCTAAACAATCTTTCAATTATACTGTTAGTTATAACAAAAATATGTGTTTCAATTGAACTAAACTGTTCAATTTACAATTATATTAAAGTTATTGTCACGTCCAAACACACTATAATCCATAAGGCTGGATTGGAAGTGAAAAAAACCCGCGATGGTCGTGAAACTTTGGTCGTGAAATTACGTGTTATTTGGTTCTGTTCTGGCGGTGGTAGCCCTGCACCTCATGTTCCAGGATACAAAGTGGACTTCTAGGTTAATCTAGCAATTGAAATATCTTATAAACAAAAATTAACACCATGTCTACTTCATCGAATGACTACGTACGGTCATGGACACAAGAAAATTACAAAAAACACAATCTTTCCTTTATTAGTCTTGTAATTCCTCCTTTCAACTCGAAACGACCGGGACTACAATCCTGACGTACACCCCGAACTAGTCTCTAAAACCAACTGACTCCATCGACGCCTGCAGGCTTGCCACTGTCGTGCTCCAAAGTTGAAAATTTTTCCCAAATGGTCGTGACGCCAAATCGAGGGACAGACTTATTTTGTCGTGGTAGTCAGTTTGCAATGACAATAAAATTATAATATGCTCCTTTTTTGTAAGTTTAATAACCATTGATGACATAAAAATATGGCTTTATATATTTCGGCATGAATAATTAGTCTAAAAACAGCGTGAAAGTTGGAAAATGTACCCTAGGGACACTTCATGGTCGTGAATTTCGAGACTTTAAAAATACGAAAAAATTACCTAGAACCTATTTAAAACCAAATAAATGTGTGTAACATGTTGCCCCCGTCCCAAAAAATATTAAAACACATAATAATAAACTACAAATCCAGTATCTACGAAGTAAAAGGCCAGGGACATGAAAACGTACGTTTTTAAATTTTCACTCAAAGGTGAGTAGTCTGGAGTGTGGGAACTGTTTATGATGATTAGATTAAGGTATCTGCAATCTAAAAATGTTATGGGAAGGGAGGGAAACATGACCGCGACGTAGGAAGTGGTGAAGGAAGTAGAAAAGGTGAGCAGTCTGGAGTGTGGGAACTGTTTATGACGATTAGATTCAGATATATGCAATCCTAAAATGCTATAGGAAGGGAGGGATACAGGTCCACGACGTAGGAAGTGCCGAAGGTATCTGCAATCCAAAAATGTTATGGGAAGGGAGGGAAACAGGTCCGTGACGTAGGAAGTAGTGAAGGAAGTAGTAAAGGCGAGCAGTCCGGAGTGTGGGAACTGTTTATGACTAATAGATTAAGGTATCTGCAATCCAAAAATGTTATGGGAATGGAGGGAAACAGGTCCGCGATGTAGGAAGGGGTGAATGAAGTAGAAAAGGCGAGCAGTCCGGAGTGTAGGAACTGTTTATGACTATTAGATTATGGTATCTGCGATCCAAAAATGTTATGGGAAGGGAGGGAAACAGGTCCGCGATATAGGAAGTGTGGTGAAGGAAGTAGAAAAGGCGAGCAGTACGGAGTGTGGGAACTGTTAATGACTATTAGATTAAGGTATATCTACAATCATAAAATGCTATGGGAAGGGAGGGAAACAGGTCCGCGACGTAGGAAGTGATGAAGGAAGTAGTATAGGCGTGCAGGCCGGAGTGTGGGAACTGTATATGACGATTAGATTAAGGTATCTGCAATCCTAAAATGATATGGGAAGGGAGGAAAACTAGGTCCGAGACGTAGGAAGTGGTGAAGGAAGTAGTCAAGGTGAGCTATACAGAGTGTGGGAACTGTTAATGACTATTAGATTAAGGTATCTACAATCATAAAATGCTATGGGAAGGGAGGGACACAGGTCCGCGACGTAGGAAGTGATGAAGGAAGTAGTAAAGGCGTGCAGTCCGGAGTGTGGGAACTGTTTATGACGATTAGATTAAGGTATCTGCAATCCAAAAATGTTATGGGAAGGGAGGGAAACAGGTCCGCGATGTAGGAAGTGATGAAGGAAGTAGTAAAGGCGTGCAGGCCGGAGTGTGGGAACTGTATATGACGATTAGATTAAGGCATCTGCAATCCTAAAATGCTATGGGAAGGGAGGAAAACTAGGTCCGAGACGTAGGAAGTGGTGAAGGAAGTAGTCAAGGTGAGCTATACAGAGTGTGGGAACGGTTTATGACGATTATATTAAGGCATCTGCAATCCTAAAATGCTATGGGATTGGAGGGAAACAGGTCCGCGACTTAGGAAGGGGTGAAGGAAGTAGAAAAGGCGAGCACTGTGGAGTGTGGGAACTGGAAACAGTTTGTAGCAGTTAGAATAATGTATCTGCAATACTGAAATTCTACGAGAAGGGATGGAAACATGTCCACGACACAGGAAATTGTGAAAGAATTAGTAAAGGCTAGCAGTGCGGAGTGTGGGGAATGGAATCATGTAACTGCAATACAAAGACTGCTTTCAGAGTAAACTAATGATTTAGCTCGGTCCCCAGGTACTTCATATTAAAAGGAATAAAATTGTGTCAGCTGTTTCAACTTCACATTGTTTTAAAAACACGGAAGTTAAAAATTAATGAAAATAAATCAGCACACATTAATTTTACCCTAAATCAGGCTACAGGTCCTCCAGTATCCATGAACAATATTCATTTCCCTCCAGTAACAGTAACAGAAATAAAATACTTGGGCATGCACTTATAGATGCAACACTTAATTGGAAGGCACATGAAAATGAAAATCATTTCAAGGCACATATCTGGACTAAAAGACAACATCTAAATTTAAAATAACTAATCTTAATTGGCTTCTTGGATCTAAATCAAAACTCTTAGTACACAAAATAAATTGTTACTTTACAAAGCAGTTCTAAAACCAATTTGGACTTATGGGATTCAGCTTTGGGGATCAGCAAGTACTTCAAACATTGAAATTATTCAACGTTACCAATCAAAATGACTACCTAAGTAAAATAGTCAACACACCTTGGTTTGTTACCAACATACCAACAGAACACTTCAATGATCTTAAAATTCGAACAGTCAAAGAAGAAATTACAAAACCTAGTGAAAAATACATTATCAGATTGGAAAATCACTCAAATCATTTTGCACTAAATTTATTGGACAATCACAACTCCATTTTCAGACTGAAGAGACATACAATATATTGGGCCTCCCATTCAGATTCGCTCAAGTGTTATCAAAATTCTCTTTGTTAGCTAGTGTTGGCAGTGGTCAATCACTAGCTTATGTTCTTCAAGTTAACTTTTAATGTTGTACTAGTGTACGCGTTGCTCGAAATCGAGCAATTGCAAAAAAGTAAAGAAGTTATTTAAAAACAAATAAAAGTCATCATAATTTCCGATGGGTTTAAAAGACTCGACTAAAAGATTACGTACCTAACAGTTCCATATAATCAAAATTTCAGTCAATTTTTTATAGCGATAACAATTTGTTTACATGACTAAGAACTACCTGATTTTCTGCATAACCTCTCTGTCGTAATTTTATTTGCATCAATTGGCATTCTATTTGGCTAGTTACTGTTATATTGTAAACTATATTTACAGAATTGAAAGGCTTAATGTCGTTCAGATGGTTTTTTGTTTCCCTTATAAATGTGAATGATAATTGAATAATAAGAATCCTTCAATGAA